ATATGGCAATTAATGTATAATTAGTGTAGTTAGTTTCAACACTTTTTTGTGTGCTTTAACTTTCTTATTAAAAGTCACGCAGTTGTGTTTGTATTGGGAACAGCTACAACCAGATAAAATTTCGAAATATTGCCAAATATAATTTAATATACAGATCTAGACTCTAAACAATTGTTAAAAATACTAGATTTCTATATTTTCATGTTAAATGTTTCGGTTTGTAACTTCTGTGAAACCTCGGTTTTCGTCGATTATTTATACAATTAGGTGGGTGAAATCCAAAAGAAACGAAAATTGGAATGATTATTAAAATACCAAATTAATATAGAATTTCTAGCTAAACATTAAAATTTAACATTTTTTTTTAAAATTTAATCTTTTAGCGATACTCTAAAACAGAATAAACTTTATTCACTGCAGTCAACAACACTAACTACAGTGGCGTCGCTAAGTCGGGTGTCACCCGGTGCGGCACCTCATGGTGTCACGCAGTTGTTTTCACCCCCCCCCCCCCCCGGTAAAAGCTTTAAAGTGTTCACATTTAATCTAATGATGTTTATCTATAATCGGTTAGGGTTAGGGTGTAGTATTGTTTTCTCTAAAGTTACAAGTTACATCATGGTGTCACCCCCCCCCTTCGTGATCGTTATTATGTATTTAAAATACATTTTTAAATCTAATCAACCAGAGCCGGCGTTAGGAATACGCGGGGCCTAGAGCCAACCATCCGCGCGGGGCCTTTCCATTATATATATATATATATATATATATATATATATATATATATATATATATATATATATATATATATATATATATATATAAAGGCCTGTATAATGTGATGTACACATAATAACACAAATGCTTTGGAGTTTATAAGCTAATGCCAAACTTTCCACTATAATAACAGATTTTTATCTCTCCCATGTATTGACCCAATGTTCGTAGTTTTTTTTCCTTTGCTAAGATATTAAATCACTTTTGACAGTTATGTAATTCATACTAAATCACTTAAGAAAATTTAATCACGTGCCGAATAATTAGGAAAATAAAGTTTACAATACAGCTAACTCGGCCTTATGTATCAACACAGTATAGACCTCAAAATTTGTTTAGAATTCATACAATATTTTAAAACCAAAATCATTATTGTCTTAATTATTGAACGGGTGAATCCTTAAGGTGAAACAACATAACATCAGTTTTAACTTTCTTCCAAAAAATAATAAATCACTCTGTTTAATGCCGCCTGATATAGATCCTAAGCCCCCCCTCTCCTCGTCGCCCTCCTCCCACCCCTCTGCACGCAACTGAATGTTAATTTTGTTATACCAAGACAAGTAGGCCTACATATAGAGTTTCTTCCAGGCATCTCTTCGGGGAAATAAAATTTATATAATTTATAGAGAAAATATATACTTTTAACAGTGTCCGCCCCCCCCCCCCGAAGAAAGTCTACCGCCCCCCCCCCGAAAATTTCAAGTGCCCCTCCCCACCCCCCTGAGAAAAAAGTCTGGAAGAAACACTGTACATATACGACATTATACGACATCTACAACAAGAAAGTCAGGACTAGAGTTCATTAGGTCACTAACTGTCTACTACAGACATCCCGTCTGCTCACTAAAAGGACGTCTTCATCGGTCCGCATACAATAGGGTATCTCTTTACGTCGTGGGCTAATTCTCGACCGCCATCTCCAGTCAGCTCAGGTCAAATGCCAGGCGACCGTACCCTACACAAAGGGTAGGTGTGACACTATTTTTGTATCGAATTACGGCCTGTCCCAGTTCAGGTGGGACTCACCAACATCAACCGTGGCCTCAGTTATAACAATCAACAACGTCGGCATTCGACCATTTAGTTTTCCCCAATTGAATTCAGCAACAATTTTTTTAAGTTTACGAACTAATTCAGATAACAATGACATTGCTGAAGCGCGGGGTCCCTTCAAGCGCGGGGCCTATGGCGACCGCCCCGTTCGCCACCCCCTAACGCCGGCTCTGTAATCAACCATTCATTGAAATGGCAAAAAAAATATGCTATATATCTTGCAATTTTTTTGTCATGGTGTCACCCCTCTAAATGGTGTCACCAGGTGCGGTCCGCACCCCCCGCCCCCACCTTGCGACGCCTCTGACTAGTTGTAAGTTCACCAGAATGAGCTGCACTTGGCCCACAACACTAAAGCATTAAAGTGAGAAATATTTTTTTTTGGGTTTCAAACTTGTGTGCATATAACTAATTTTCACTTTAATTTTACACTGATTTTTAAGCACATAATCTTTAGCAATATTTACAACAGAATATTAAGTAGGTTATGCTATTTAGATGGGGGGGGGGGGGGGAAGTGGGTGGCGTGCTTGTGTGTGTGAGTGGGGGGGGGGGGGGGTTGGTACATGAAAAAAAAACCCCACCGAACTCTATTTTAGAGAAAAGTTATTTTTCCCTCCCCCTGAATGACCAGGTGCTTACATAGCTTAGGGGTCATCCATAAACTACGTCAGGCTTTTTTGACGATTTTTACCTCCCCCCTTCCCCTCCGTCACACATCGTCACAAAAAGCCAGAACCCACCCCTAAAATGACGTCACACCCCAGCCTACAACCCCACCCCCCCCCCCCCTCAAAATTGCAGATGAATTTTTGTAAAAACATTGATATTTTTTTCAAAATCTTGTCTGAACTCTCTCAACATAGAGTATTTTAATCAATTCCTATTACAATGTATTAAAACTGTTTTCTAAAACGTGAAATAACGGCTAAAATTCGTTTTCTAACATTACTTTTTGCTAATGCAAAAATGTGATGTCCCACCATCTGAACCCCCCCCCCCCCTTTCCCCCTCATCACACACCGTCACAAAATTACTAACCCCCTCCCCCATACGAGTGTGACGTCATTTATGGACGACCCCTTATAAAGTCTAGTCCAGCTTTGAAGGTGAGAATTCCCTAGACCACCGCCCCTCATATTTTCACACCATATACATAAACCTGTTGAAATAAATACTATAACAAAATTTCACAGGATAACTATTTTCCTATGAATTTTGTCGCATTTGCGAAATACTTCAATTTCACACTAAAACAACTGTGGTTTAAAATGTACAGGGGATTATTTAATATTATTTAATAATTTAAAGAAAACGAAGATATAGATAACGAAATTTTTAATAACATTTTCTTGGTAAAGCATTAAAATTTAGTCAGTCTCGTATGGGAAGAAACTCTGGATAAGATACTATTTTAAAATGCATCCCCTTTAGATTATGGGATAGAAAAAATAAAATTAGGTTAATTTAAAAGTATTATATCAAACATGATAAAATTCATTATAATATTTCATTATAAAATATAAAAAAATTGTTTCATTTTTAATCATGAAAAATAATTAAAAGTTTGTAAAAATAAATATTTTTGAGGGAAATTATTTTAGAACATTTCATAGGATAAAACCCATAAAATTTTGGTTCATGTACAGAAGCATTGAAATACGTTTAGCAACGGAAGTTGAATGCCCGGATGAGCCTCAGTGGTCTGGGGTGCAGGCTTCAAACCTGTAGCCGACTGACGTCGGAGTGGTTCAATTCCACCCTTCGGGCGATAATTTTTTTAGATCGATTATAACGAATCTCCGTCTTAATATCAATTATTTACAAATTAAGGAAAAACAAGTTTTAAAAATCGGCTTTAATAAATACACACGGCAGAACAATAAAGCGAGAGTTCAATTGAGTGTTTTTTATTCTCTGAGAAACGGAATGAGATCTAGACATCTATATATATATATAATATACAGATCCAATTCTATTCTAGTTCTAGACCGATTTACTAATTACTAGACTAGATCTAAATCTAGGTTGTACTATTGATAGTCTGCCGAACTCTTACTAACTAGATCTAGTCGAAGTAGACTAACAAACACATCTTCCAAAGTTTTTTCTTGTGAGAATAAAATAAAGCCTGACATTTACAGAAAATTTACAACACTAAACAACACAACTAAAAAAAAATAGATTTTTATTATGATAACTTTATTCACGATGAACTGAACGAATACACAGAAACAGACCGACATAAATATGATAAATTCTGTACACCAGCAGTGAAAATTAATGCTGTCAACATTAAAGGGGTATAATCAATTAAATTACAGAAGTTACGGAGCGACACGAGTTAGTTACCTTAGTTGAGGAGGTAATATACTCTACCTTACAATTTACTTAAAAGTATGTTAACGTGATTATAAGCCACAATATTAAATCCCTAAACTTGTTTCTATACATCTGAGTTTAAGATGGACAAGTTGATGATTAGATGATGAACAATCACAGTGTGTTTAGAATAATGATTTTAATATATTATGATTAACAATCACAGTGTGTTTAGAATAATGATTTTAATATATGAGGGCCACCTTGCAAAAAAAAAATAAATCACCCAGGCACTCTTAGCTAAGGACGGAGTGGTCTAGCAGTAGAGAGCTGGACTGCTAACCCGTAAGTTTCGAGTTCAAATCCGGGTTCAAGTCAGTAGACCGTCCCTGAGTCAACCCAACTCTGATGGGTACCTAACTCACATTAGGGAAAGTAAAGGCGACTGGGCATAGTGCTGACCACACTATCTCTTCATATGCCAAGGTCACAGAAACAAGTGAACTCTACTTCACTTGCCCATAGACTGTCAGGTTTGAAAGGGAAACTTTACTTTTTTACTCATAGCTAATGGGAATAATTTTTTAAACAAGAACAATCAGGAACAAGTGTAATCTTGTACAAGTATTAACTGGTAGAAGAAAATACAAGAATAATGCAGAAAAAAAGGCCTAACAATGATAATAAAGCTTTTTTATATATGTAAGCATTATAACATTTTAAAAAATATAACATAAATGTATAAGCAATAAATATGATTTTTATACTAATTTACGCAAAATCCACATATTTACAATGTTAAGTTTTTTCAAACTCAAATAAAAAATTAAATGTAATTAATCATGTTCAATGACTGGTAATATATTTTTATTTAATAAACTTACATGAATCACAGTCATATTTTAAAATGAGAATAATAAAGTTACAACAAATGTTTCAATACTGGGGCTGGTAAAAACAATGCAACATTCTCTCTTTCCACATGTTGTCTATGGATCTACTTTGTTCATCTGTCAGCCAGTTTCTCCAGTCACCTTTAACTCCTGCTCAAATTATAAAAAAAGCTGAGGTCAATCTCTAAAACAAAGTTTGGCTTTATATTTTTACTTAATTGACTGGTGTGTGTCAAATTATCAAAAGTAAATTAAAAAGTCAAAATACAAATTAATACATTTTTATAAATAGGCCTAGAATTTTTTTTTTACTATTATCAAAACTAACAGATAATCATTCACACATCAAATAGAGAATCAGTAGTGAGAGATGCTGGTAAGGGAAGTGGGAGTATAGGCAGAGTGTAACTATATGTTCTTATGCTTCTCCATAGAAATATACGTCTACCTTTTGACTTGTTACAAAATTCTGAATATCTATTATGAATTTGAATTGCTTAGTTACCTTTGCGATAAAATTGGACTAGCTCATTATTCTGTTTTTCTCTTTGCACTTTCATTTTGTCAAACTGGCATGACTCCAGAATTTGAACTGCAAAAGAATCTGTCAGTTCTATGTTCAGAAATCTGGCAACCTGCTGAATTGTCTCTACTGGGTTATCTTTGAGGTTTTCATATGTTAACAAGTGTATGGCATTGTTACACTGGCTTCTCATGACAGAATCCCACTCTAGGATGTAATCAAAATAACCACCAAACTCCAGCTTGCCATCCATAAATAGTTTAAAGTAGTCACAGAAATTCCCATCATATCCTGTTATTCCTTTCTGACTGATGTGGTGATTATAAAAAGAAACAACTGTATCTTTTGGGTTTCTGACTAAAAGTATTATTTTTGTTTTATGTTCTTTAATCCCAACAGGCAACTCAGGGTAGCATAAATGTGAGTTCAGCACCCTTGGAGAAGGGAGAGAATCAAGTAAAATATCAGGCATGACATCAATTCCACCTTCAAATTCTTTTCCAGAGCAAGTAAGACGCAGGTGCTTGTTTAACATCATGTGGAGGATCTCGTAAACCCAATGGCACCCGGATTTTGGATAACTACACAATAATACATCGTCTTTTCTGATAGTTATGTGTGGTATAGATAACACTTTGCTGACATCAACGACTGGGTAGATTTGTCCATTACATTGGGTCACTTTTATTTTGTGACCTGATTCATCGGTGACATAATGATTCCCTAGCTTTGTAAGATCAATAAAGTGTTTTGCTAAAATAGGGAGCAGTCGAGGAAGTATGTAATACATTAATCTTGATCTGACTAGCAACCCATACATCAGGTTTTTTATAGTTGACCAAATCGCCATCATTTGGGCTGAAGTGAAAAGATTATCAAAATTACTTCAATGATAGGGAAATACAGTTGAGTGTTGAGGTGTATTTTTTGCTGGTACACTGGTTTAAAGAGTTAGCACAGTGATCCAAGCAAAACAGAAATTTTAAAAAATTATCATAAATGTTAATAAAAATCAGTCTAGATACAATCACTAATAAGATATGAATCTAAATAATAATGATTATGTTTATGTGATAAGTGCTAGATCTTAACAAGCAGATGTATGTGTTATTCTAACCAGTACCTGATTTTTAAGTAAGATCTAACTGTACAAAATAAATCAATAATTATTTATAAGCATTAGGGTAGGAAGTTTTGTGATCTTGACTAAAATAATGGTTTTCATGTTATTATTGGATTAATTAACATAAAATAAAGACATTAAATTTAGGAAAATAGGTGATGGCCTACCATTAAAAATTTGTCAGATATTAAAAATTCAAATTGACCAAACTATTATATATATATATATATATATATATATATATATATATATATATATATATATATATATATATATATATATACATCATCACCTTTTCCTGTTCGTGCCTAAGACACATAGGGGCAGATGAAGAGTTCATCTTTTTAATGACCTTGAATGGCATACAAGGGGATAGTGTGGTTAGCACTATGTCCAGCCGTCTTTACTTCCCTAACATGAGTCAGGTACCCATCAGAGCTGTGTGAACTCAGATATATCCTACAGACTTAGGCTTGGATTCAAACTTAAGAACTCTGGGTTAGTAGTTGTAAGTTCTTCCTTAGACCACACAGTACTATGGCATAGTTACTATTAGTTACCTACGTTACCTACATTGTCAGCCCTATAACCTTGGCATACCTGCATATATATATATATATATATATATATATATATATATATATATATATATATATATATATATATATATAATTATATAATTATATATATATATATATATATATATATATATATATATATATATAAAATTATACAAATATATAGGCCTATATATTGTGTGTGTATAAAGTATAATATATATATAATAGTGTTTATGCTAGTGTCTATATTATAAACTATAACCTTTATCTAGATTACTGAATAAGAAACAATAAGTAATAATGAGTCATTAATTTATTATATTAGGCCTAGGTAGGTTTATATTAAATATTTAGTTTAAAATATAGGCCTAGGACTTATATTAAAATTATTAGGCCTGGATCTATATTTATTTAAATATTAGGCCTATTTATTATAGACTAATATTATAAAATATAATCAATAAGCTCTAGGCCTTAATTAATCATTAATTAGTTATTAGGCCTATTAAAAATCATAAGATATTTAATTATTTTTATATCTTTATTGTTTTTTCTTTATGTCTAGATCTGGATTCTAGCTCTCTAAACACTCCAGACTCCAGAGAGAGAGTTAGAAATCTAGGATATAATTATTATAATATTATATCTAGATTCTACGTAATCTAGTTTTAGATCTCTACTAGACACTAGATTCTATATATTCTATTGTATTAACTATTAGTAGATTCTAGATCTATTAGTTTATTAGTGTCTATTAAATTTTATTTGGCCGTAAAAATAGTTATTTTTAGAAATTTTAGGCTAGGCCTAGATTTAGATCTACGACACGTCTCACTATTCATTCACTAGGCCTATACTATAGACTAGATTTAAAAAAAAAAAAATTAACTATAAAAATTTCTTAAAGTAGTAATAAAGAATTATAATAGAGTCTAGATCTAGATCGAGCTTAATACTTAATACTAAGAATAGCATCCTAAATCTAGATCTAGATTTTTAAAAAATGTGATGATGAATAAAAATTACGATTGTTCTACAGAAAAACAGATTATAACTAGATCTATATCTAGATCTAGATCTAGCAACAGAAATAGGTCTAGAGATCTAGATCTAGAATCTAGATCCAATGATGCGTTATATTTTACTTTTACTGAATCCTAGCGAAGTTCAGTTTGTGATCCACGGGAGGTAATTCTTATATATCATAGCATTATAAGAAATCATGGATAATTTCCCATCTCTATACTACTAAAACTCAAGTTTGTTTACATGTTTGAATATATTTTTTTTTTTTTTTTTGTTTGTCTGATTGACTACTGGAGAGAATCTGCTCTATGTGGAGAGCTGTAAAATAGTATGTAGGTAGAGAACAATTTTTGTTTTCAGACAGACTGTTAATCACAAATTTATTTAAAGACGTTAATTAATTTATTGATTTATTCATTGGTAGATTAACCACATTAATTTTAAAAGTTTAGAAAAACGACTTTACTTTAAGTGAATAGTGACGTCACATGATTTGTTTACTTTTTAGTATAATAAATAGCGGCTTCTATCGAAGAAGATTGTATTCCCATTCCAATGTTTAACGCGTTCTAAAGCTAATTTTCCGTCGGCTATAACTTTAACAATACGTCCGTATGCTGTATTTATTACGTTCCAACACTTATATCAATTTTCAACTGACTTTTTCATTTAGTTTAACAATAAATTTCTCTAGATCTACAGATCAGCTGTCGAAGGAAGAAAAAGTTATGAATCTAGATATCTAGATCTAGATCGGGATCTAGAAGTCTAGATCTAGATTCAGGTCACTAGACTTATGTAAATTCTACATCTAGAATCTATTTCAGGCCTTAATTATTTTATATAAATGTTTGTTTAGCTTCAATGATCATCTTATTCGAGACTGTATATATCTAGATGTAGGTCCAATTTATTTTTTATCTATCTAGGTCAATTCTAGGTTCTAGATTTCTAGATCTAGAATCTAGAACTAAAATCTAGATCTAGATCTATCTAAAATTTAGATCTAATCTAGATTCTAGATGTAGAGTCTAGACTCAACGTAAATTCTACATCTAGAACCTAGAATCTATATACTAAACTATTTCAGGCCTTAATTACTTTATATAAATCTTTGTTTGTTTAGCTATGGAATAGGCTAATTAATTTGGGATAATATTAAATTTGAAATGCTCGATCTAGGGCCTATTTGCGTAACTTAAGTTTCTTAGAAGGATTCTATACCGCTAAATTTGCTTATAATTGTAACTTTCCAGATACGTGAGTTTATAGTGTAATCGCTATCCGTTCCAAACACATCTTGTAAATATTAATTTTTTTTTTGTAATTTTTTTTAGATGTGAATGATAGAGTTGTCTCTCGCGACTTGGCAGGACACGGTGCAGGTGAAGTAAAGTTCACCTGTTTCTGTGTTCTTGGCATATGAAGGGATAGTGTGGTCAGAGCCATGCTCGGCCGGAATCTTTTTGTAAACGATAAAGAGATGTTGTCTGAGACTTGGCGGGACACTGGGCAGGCGAAGTAGAGATGGGTAGGTATAGAGTTCACCTGTGACGCCAGCATATGAAGGGGTAATGTGGTCAGACCTATGCTCAGCATATGTTGGTGTCAGTGTTTCTTCCAGACTTTTTTCTCCGGGGGGGGGGGGGGCGGTAGACTTTCTTCATGGGGGGAGGGGGAGGGGGGCGGAGCCCTCCACCTCTCACCTCCCGATGTTTTTTAAAAGACGAAAACGTCTGAGGTGTGACGTCTATTTGAATGTGGGGTCTGGTTTTTTGTGACGATAAGTGACAGACGTGATGTTTTTTATGGATGACCCCCGAAACCCACAGTTATCCAAGGGATGACGGGTAGTCTAGTTAGCAATTAAAATTGTGGTAATAGTAATAAGATTTTTACTCAAATTGGGCGCATGATTATGCCCACAATTTCTCGGAGCTGGGATCTAACTATATCGAGTCCGGCATCTGACCTTACTACCAGGTGATGTAATGCACCAGGGAAGGAGGGAATGCATAAAAAGAACAATGCCTAACCGTACAGCAGCTGTCAACATGGTATGGTTCAAACTACATTGGTTGTTGTCTGACAGTGTTTTACAAGAATCGTTAAAAAATCATTAAAGGATGCAATTAGTTTTCTTTGACCACCAAGTTTCAGTTCTATTTTTTTGTCTTACTTTTAGCGTTTCCGTTTCTTATCTAGTGCGGATAATACTTGAAGAAAATTTAATTTAATTTTCTTACATTTTGTGCATAAAAAAGATTGTCGTTTGTAGAAAAAACACACTTTATTTAGACATTGCAAAATGTAGAATATGAAGTCTATGTTTAAGGTTCAATAAAAAATGGTACATTTTTGTTTGTTTTTCATTGAATCGACACACTGTCGAAAAAATATTTGCAATATACATTGACATCCTAACTCCCAAGACAATCACATTTAATCGGCTTCTTGTTGACGTCCGTTATTTCTCTAGGAATTGTAAAGACAACATAATTTGAACAACAAGCGTCTAGTTATCTTTATTAACATGTTTATCTCCCATCAGCTAGATTGTCAGCCATACAGTCCTTGCGCTGTCAGCCCTAATAATCCTGGCCAAAATACATTTTCAGCCCTATAATCATATAATCATTGCCCAACTAAATTGTCAGCCCTATAATCTTGGCCCACCCACATGTTCAGCAATATAATCAGTGCCAACTGAAAACATTAACAATTACATTTTACTATTTGTAACTGAAAACTAATTAAATAGCTTTATTTTTTAAAAAAATCTACGAATTACTTAAAATAGGAGTAGAAAAAAATGCGTACACAAGAAAAATAAACCGGGAGCGATCTCCCCTAAACTTTCTCGAATATTCTTTTATAAAAAAACAGGGGAACTCGGGATATAGACATGAATTTTAATCCATTTTAAATACTTAAACTTTTTAAAGTAGAATAAAATCTCGTAGAAAAAAGAATTGCACACATGTGAACGCCAAATAAAACGTGCATAATAGTGCGGAATATTGCTTTATAAACTTACATTAGTTTTTTGAGAAATCGGAAATAGCGTAAATTAATACTTTCAATCAACGGAAATTACTTAAAATTTGACAGAAGGTAGAGAATTAGATCTTTTACTTACATGTGAAATTTCATTCATCTATCTGAAATAGTACTCAAGTTATAGGCTTTTGAAAAATTCAAAGTAGAAAAAGTACCACTTTCGGTTATCGGAAATCGCTCAAAAGTTAATCAGGATCTACGATTTTAATAAAATACTTATATATGAAATTTCATCAACCTAGCTGTAACGGTACTCAAGTTATCGTGTTTTCACACAGACAGACACACAGACATACGGACAGAATTGCAAAGTCCAGTTTTTACGACTCGATAAAGCATAAGACGCCAAAATGTTTATATATTTGTATTTATAATTTTTGCCTGATTAAAATTAGTCCTCTATACTCCGGATGTGATGAAGGACTGAGGAGTAAAACGGTGAAAACTGTCAAAATTTCATGTTATTTTTGTGCACGATAACATAACTTTCTCTATACTTTGTATATACGAGAAAGTAAAAAACTACATAAAATCTCAACGCAATCAATATCGAACACGTTAGTTGAGCAATAGGTGTCGAATTACTTGGTCACATTGAGGCCTGAGTATTTTCTTACTAAATCGTCCATCAATTTACATTCACTGCACTCCACCTCCAGCTTGTTTTGGTGACACTGAAACCTTATCCAGTGCTCACAGAGTCCAAGGTGCTTCATCCGTTGTTGACAAGGTGGACAACTGAGATGGTGAGACTGTCCACATTTATGTCCCCTTGCGCATGTCCTCTCACACACCTTTTGACATCTGCCAATTTCTGAGACCTCATTCTCATTGCAGGGCAGCTTCAGTATATGATTGCAGGGATAGTGGTATTCCACTAGCTTAGTGCAAGGTGGGCATACATCAGAGCAACTTCCGGGGCATCTGTGATTATTTCGGCATTTCTTCAGGCATGGTTTACTGCAAACAACTTTAGCAACTTTCCCAATGTTCTCAGTTTTAAATTCTAAGTCGCATTCGTGACCGCAAGGCAACTTGTTCTGGCACACAGAAGGGCATATTTCGTGGCATTTAGCTGGGCATTTGTGCCCACGTTTACAAACTTTCCGGCAAGGCTGAGTACAGCTTGGAGCTAATCCTGTGCTGAATCTCCTGGGTGTGACGTCACACTTGTGTCCACACTGAAGTGTCTCAGGACAGGGTGGACATTTTTCCCGGCATCTGGCCAAGCAGGGGTGACCTCTTTGACACTTCAGTCTGCAAGGCTCCATACAGGTGTGTTTATCAATGGAGAAAGTTGCTTCGTCGTGGCAGGGGATACTTGCGACATGACCACACGACAGCTGGTGTTCAAAGACAACCACACATTTCGGACACGTCTGGTCACACTTGTATCTACATGGGTGATTACGTGAGCATTTTTTCAAGCACGGCTGTGTACACGGGACTTTCGTGTGACTTAATACATGACATAAATATGGACACACGTGACCACACAGCAGATTCGCACCACACGCTTCCCCACAGCCTCCAGTTTTAGCAGTAGAGAAATCCTTGACGTCCTTGATCTCCGTCATCCGCCGGTGCCTGTGACACCTGAGCTGTAGAATCTCGCCTGTCTCCCCACAACCTTCTGCTGTTCGCTTCACCTTGGCCCACAGCTCGCTGTGCCGTGCCAACAGGTCGATGTTCCCAATGACGTACATGCCGTATTGCGCCCTGGACAGAGCCACACACACCCTGTTGTCCGTGCTCAAAAAGCCCACACTCTCCTGTGTGTTGCTCCTCACTAGAGACAAGAGAATAATTTTGTTCTGCTCACCCTGGAAGTTATCCACTGTTGACACGCGGATGTTCTGGAGAGAGTTTCCAGGGAAATTATTCACCATCGTCTCTTTGATGAGAGACACCTGTCCGCCATAAGTGGCTAGAATTGTGATCTCCTCAGGTGTGTAGCCTTGGTAGATTAGGTATTCTGCTAGCCGTAACAGATAATTTGCTTCGTATTCGTTCAGTTTACTTTTACTGTGTTTAACAGTGCCCTCCGATCGGTTGTGTTTGATGAAGAAGATATTTTTCACCATCCCTTTCACGTTTTCTCTATTATTGACCGATGCACTGTTTATCAGTTTGGGGTAAATGTGTAGCATGTACTTAGAGATTTCCGGTCTCATGCGATGCTGCTCTGTGAGTTGTACACAGCTGACGTCATTGTTCACGAGACGTTCAAACAACGAAATCTCCAACCCGAATTGTTTCGCCAGTTGATAGACTTCCGTTTTCGGCCTCAGCTGCTTGTGGTCGCCAATAAGGATCAGATGCTGGCAGTGTTCGCTTAAAGCCGTGACGATGTGGGCCTCAAGAACTTCTGCTGCCTCCTCCACAACCACAATTCTTGGTTTAACGGCCTGTAAAAGCTTTCTGTGCTTGGCCGCACCCGTGGTCGTCATTCCGATGACCTGGGCTTGTTCTAAAATATCAACATCTTGCATTTTTCTTACCTCCATTTTTCTGGCAAGAACTTCGTCATACTCTTCAACTAAACTTTTGATTTTGCCATTCAAACTTTTCAAATACCTATCAATCCAAAGCTTGTACAGACGATATCTGTCGTTAATGTCCAGTAGCCATACGTTGTTCACCTGCTTCTCTTCACGTTCTGACATAGGCTTTGTTGCTTTAAGCTTCTTGACCACTTGCCCAAACGACAACTTCTTCTGAACCTTCTGCCATTCTTTGGCTGGGTCTGTTCCGTCTTCAGCAGCATCAACTGTCACATCAACTCCCAGCACTTTGGCTCTCTGCAGGATTGTCATTTCTCTCTTTCTGTGTCTGCTCTCTGTCGCAGAAGTTTCGTGATCGTCATCTTGTTCGTCACCAAACACCCTCTGGTCTCTGATTCTAGCGTATTCGTCCGCGTCATCAAACATCTTAAGATCTGTTTTAACTTTCTCAGTTTGGATTTCCTCAATGGCATCAAGGAAATCTTTAGTACTGGTTCCAAGCAGCCACTGTCTTATACTTAGGTTCATTCTGTTTAGTGAGTCCAAAACTTGAGAGGAAATTAAGTACTTTAAAACATCTTCAGATAACATTTTTAATTGTGGAGGCGGCCCAAATGTTTGTTTATATTTTGTGCACCAGTAATGGTAAACTTTCCTTTTAGTTAGAGTTGAAATTTTGGACCGGAAGTTTAAGTTAGTATCAGGCAGGGGGTTAACTTCAACGAGGAACAGCTTCACCAAATGAGCTTCTGCTGCGTTTTTGATTTGCTGCTCAAGGTCAATGCTTGAAGCATTCAGCCATGTCGACAATCCTTTTGTAGTCGACATGCCCAACATTTGTGTCTGATGTGCAGCAGTCATAAAATGACGTAACACATTTTCTTCTTGTATAACAAGCTGAGATTTCTGCATCTTAAACACCAAGTCCATAATCTCTGCGCCTATTGCGTCCATCACACGGTGACAATCTCTGATACAATTTCTCATGCTGAGGGAATCCCTGCTTTCCCTTCTCAGCTCACTCAGATTAAACTTCTTCAGAGCAACGCAGTCCATTTTCCCACCAACTCGTACTATACCACGGGGACAGAACTTCAACATTTCTTCCAGAAACTGATCTAGGGCGTGGTTAGTATAACACACGACAAGTATTGGACCAAACTTATCATTTCTAACGCCTCTGACAACGACGTGACAATTAGCAAACAATATCTGCATTATCTTCAGGCCAACATACGTTTTACCAGTTCCAGGAGGACCTTGAAGCAAAGACAATTCTTTAGTTAAAGCATTTTGTACTGCTTTACGTTGCTGGGTATTTAGACAAAGTCTGTCCATAGTAGACCAAGTGGTTTCCTGTAGTACTCGATACATATTCTGTTGTCGCAATAGACTTTGTCGTAATCCGCTATCTCTTACAATACAGGACAAGTCGTAGGTGGTTGAATTGTTCACATACGATGGTAGCTCGATTTGGTTGTCACAGTGAACAAGGTAGTTCTCCATGGGCAGGGAGGTTTCCATCATTTCTTGTAGGCCCTCCAGCACATGGCGATACGCCTCAAAAAACGAGGGGTTTTCTGTCATGGTTAGGCTGTCCTCTGTCGAGAACTGATACACGTCTTCAAGACAGTTCTGGAACCGAACCCTTAGGACGCCCCTTTTCAATTCGTCTCGGTCCATCTGTGAAACGGTGGCGTATATAATAGTCTTGAAGTTGTCTTTAGATAAGCAGACAAGACTTCCGAAAATCAACCGCTGGTCTGAGTTCCATCGAATGGTTTTCAGCCTGTTCATATCCAAGAGAAGAATGTGCTCAATGCCGTTGAAAATTTCCACGCCGACAATCTGGACGTTTTCGTAGAAGATCATGTCATCCCCCAAGTCTGCCGAGCCTTGCAATCTGTAGCGGTTGATGCCCTCTCGAAGCGGTTGGATGAAATCTTCCCGCATCAGGCGAAACATGACATCGAAGTAATGTTCCTTGTCTCGGTAGGCGCTGCGGACTTTGTTGGCTCTCAGGAAAGGTTGGAAATCTTTCTCCATGTCTTTCATCGTGGGGAAGATGGACAAATCCCTGATGTCATCCGGTGGGTCATCGCTGTCCCTCCATTTTCTCAAACGACTTTTTTCTTTTTTTAACTTTACATTTTCGGCAGAGTTAAAACACTTAACTGTATTGTTCAAGAGCTGAACGTCACAATCCAGATTTTTATAATTATTGATAATAAAAATTAACACATCATGGCAAGACATGACTACAGACGGAATTATTCGAGCCGTCTCTTGGATATACTTAACAATGGTGTCAACCCTTCGCTTTTTTTCACTACCGCTGTATGTAAAAAATTTGTTGAGGCTAAAACTTCTAAAAGTTTCTCAAAATTCTTCTCATGCGTTTGTACTTGTAACACGGCCTCAAGACAGATTAAAAATAATCTCATCCAGTCAGGTCTAATGACACTTCCATTCAAAAATGTATTTAGCTCTGGAACATTGGACATCATCCAGACTAACAACTCCGAGGGCCGGTCAATCACTCGCACCCACTCCTGAAGTCTGCCGTATCCAATGTAGCCCGTGGGTCTCTGCCCCAGGGTCTGAGGCTGTGGCCGTCCCATGGACCGACCTCGTCCACCACTGTACATGGTAGCTTACGTTCTAGTGGAGACAGAATAAACGTTTCTGAGATTAAAAGCCCGTCTAAACATTTGTATCATAAATATTGAAATGAAAACTAATTGCAGCGTTTAAAGTTAAAAAGAAATAAATCAATACAAGGAAGGAAATAGAAACATTGGTTCGTTGGTTAACTCGTTAATTAGTTCGTTCTTTGATTAATTCGTTCATTCATTTTTCGTTTGTTATTTCGTTTAATCTTGTGTTCGTTCATTTGTTCATTTGTTCACCCGTCCACTAGTTTATTCGTTTATTTGTTCGTTAGTTCATTCGTTCACTCGTTGAATCGTTCATTTTTTTTCTCACTTCTTTTCTTTATTCATTCATTTACTTATATTTATCATACGCATATTAAACCTATCTATTTAAATGAAATGTTTTGTTTATTATGTTTATTTTTGCAATTATTATATTGACGTATAAATAAACATAAACATACAAAAAATACATTTAAAATTCATATATTTAAATACCAGTTTATAACTTACCAGCCGTATGTGATAATAGCACTTATGAAATTCAGAACACTGTTATTTTTTCTTATCAACCTCCATAGCTACGTCCCCTGTAAAAATAGCGCTGTGTCGCCACGTATATTACCTAGTGTAGATACGCACTTTGACACAATAACCACGTATATTACCTTCTGTCGTAATCTGAAACCGCAACCGTTTCTTCGTAATCGCCAGGTTCGAAAAAAAATGACTCAATGATAATTTGCTGGGTAAAACTTAAGAAGATTTATTTTTCTTAACCGCGAAGAGTCTCAAAAAATTTAACCGGCATCCCTTTTCTAAGCAGTGCCTGATTTTTATTAGTTGATGTCTTATTTTAGTCATACGCAGTAGGTCTTCATGATCAGAATATTTCTACTAAAACAAGAACTTGATTTGAACAAACCTGATATCCGCTTTTGACCATTACACAATCTTTTGCTTAAAGGTGCGAGGAAACAAGTTTTGTGGTCGCTGATCGAAAAGTAAAGTTTATCTCACACACTGATATGCAGACTCAGCCGATTAGTGATTATCATATAGCATAGAACTATATTTTGAGAGATAATTGCTGTAGAGCTGGGGTATAATTAATTTAGACAAAGGTATTCAATAGAGATATTGTTCCGATATAATAAGTCACCTCAAATACCGGAGAAAATTTTATTTCGTAATCAGAGCCACACTGAGTATAAAAAAGGCATTGATATATTATACACGTACGCACACACACACACACACACATATATATATGTATATATATATATTTATATATATATATATATATATATATATATATATATATATATGACATCTCCTATTACATCACAAAATAGGGAGTGGGGATTAAACATTATTAGGGAATTAGACAAAAGACGTGTTCAATAATTTTGTCTTTTGAGAAGCTAATGTAAGAAAATTTACTTTGAGAATCCTTCAAAGTTAACAGAAAATGTGACTTGGCAATTAAAAAGTTATACCTGGATAGCTCTTTGGTACTGAATAAATTCTTTACATTCTGTGAACCTTATAATCGGCTGACCTATAATAAATCGATTTACATTGAACGAACTTAGATTAGATTGCGTATGTATTTACGTCACTACTATTTCCAAGAATTTCCTGCTGTTTTAGTTTTTTACTAAACGTGTCATCCCCCCCCCACCCCTCACCGTACCTTTACTGTCGCACGCCGTCACAAACAGAGCCCATCCCCTAAAATGATAGTACACAGACCTACCCCATCTTTAAATATCACGTTTTTTAAATTATATTTACCTTACAGAAAGAAACATTAACCACGCCACTTTCCCTACCTGTAACTTCTATTTCCGGCTTCAGCCAACGCCCCCCCCCCCCACTCTACCCCAGGAGTGTGAAGTGTGGACTAAATGACCATTTAAAATTATATATTTTAACCTTAAACAAATAAAGCTGCTGTACCGTGTGAGCAGTCTGTGATGGTGTGTTCTAGTCACGTCCCATCGACGTATCGAGCAGCGTCCTCATATGGAACTCACCACCACGCTATTCAGTGGTTGGTTACTAATAACTTTTCAAACGAACGAGATTTTGGGGTGATATTGATTATTTCTGCTTTCAGGCGAATTCGATCCGAAATAGAAAATAAATGAGGAAGGAAAGAAGAATATAAGAGATATATTAAGTTTCAGATAAGGGGATTGAAATCTTTTAAAAATTTCAGAGGGAGAATTTTTATGATTTTACTTAAAGTGGTATAATTAGACCCATGTTTCTACGCTAACAATTTCTATGAAAGGAGATTGTTGTTTTTGTTTAGATTAATACTATTCTTAGTATTCTTAAATTGTAGTCGCCTGTTTAATTTTTCTTTTATATTTCTTCCTCAAATTAAATCTTACACACCCAACCAACGACTCTATCGAATAATTACACGCTTAATTAATTCGGCGTTTCAACACCAGTGTTAAAAATATTGCACCGGGAAAAACACTTTCGATCTGAATCTATTTTTAGGTTTCCTAAGAAATGTAACTTTATGACGGGAGATTAATCAATGAACCCTAAGATAGGTGATAGCTGCTGGTGTATTGTGACGTCATATCTAGACGATACCTTGACACTCACGAACATAATTGATTCTTCTTAGTTCTCAATATACTGGAGGAATCGTGCAACAAGATCGACATGGCTGACGAACTGCACGGTCGTCTCCAGATTTGTAAGATCCCAATTTTTTTTTTGAGTGGGGTGTTTCGGGACCAGAGTCTAGAACTCAGAGGCGTAGCGAGGGGGGGGGGGGGAGGCGGGGGTACATATGTCACCGGGCAGAGGCGTAGCGAGGGGGGGTGCAAATCGAAATCTTGAGGGGGGTGCAAATCGAAAGTTTGAGGGGGGGGGGGGGTGCAAATCAAAAATTTGCTCCCGAGGGGGCGCCAAATTGAACTAGTCTATTACTAGAAATGATTTATTTGTTAATGTTCTTATTATACGTCTTCGTCTATTTATTTCTTAATGCTATTACTAGACGTGTTGGCTTAAAGTTTCAAAGTTTTTGTTTTACTCGAACTTTTAATTATCATCGATATTTTGTATTAGGGGTCGTCCATAAATTTTAGTTTTCCTGATGGCAAAGATTCTCAAACATTTGGTAGACCTACCCCCTCTTTTCATTTAATGCTTTAAAGTGTAATTGTAAACAGAGGGGTGGTAGTCTTCATGTTACGAACGGCTATTCTTACTACCCAGTCAATTTATTTTAAGAACCCATGATAATTGCACTGCACGGGTGAGGTCGTCGAAAGTTATCAAAGGTATTCCTGAATAGCTACTAGCTCTATTGAAATTATTCAATCAACCTAAACATTTTCTGAGCTATATATAGTAAAGCGCGTGACATAACATTAAAAACTGATCGCTTATCTAGGTCATCATACTTTTCAAGAACTACCTGGTGTGTTAAGTTTCACATGATTATTCCTTGCCATGAAGCGTCGTCGTAAATGACGTCACGCTTTTGACCCCCCCCCCCCTTCACTCAGTGTCGTTGCAAGTCGCATAGCGCAACATCATCATCACTGTTTGTCACCCGTGCTGGGGTATGGGCCGCCAATCAAAGATCTCCAGAGTCCTATGTCCTGCTGGGGTATGGGCCGCCAACCAAAGATCTCCAGAGTCCTATGTCCTGCTGGGGTATGGGCCGCCAACCAAAGATCTCCAGAGTCCTATGTCCTGCTGGGGTATGGGCCGCCAACCAAAGATCTCCAGAGAGTCCTGCTGGGGTATGGGCCGCCAATCAAAGATCTCCAGAGAGTCCTGCTGGGGTATGGGCCGCCAATCAAAGATCTCCAGAGTGTCCTGCTGGGGTATGGGCCGCCAATCAAAGATCTCCAGAGAGTCCTGCTGGGGTATGGGCCGCCAACCAAAGATCTCCAGAGAGTCCTGCTGGGGTATGGGCCGCCAACCAAAGATCTCCAGAGAGTCCTGCTGGGGTATGGGCCGCCAACCAAAGATCTCCAGAGAGTCCTGCTGGGGTATGGGCCGCCAATCAAAGATCTCCAGAGTGTCCTGCTGGGGTATGGGCCGCCAATCAAAGATCTCCAGAGTCCTATGTCCTGCTGGGGTATGGGCCGCCAACCAAAGATCTCCAGAGAGTCCTGCTGGGGTATGGGCCGCCAATCAAAGATCTCCAGAGAGTCCTGCTGGGGTATGGGCCGCCAATCAAAGATCTCCAGAGAGTCCTGCTGGGGTATGGGCCGCCAATCAAAGATCTCCAGAGTCCTATGTCCTGCTGGGGTATGGGCCGCCAACCAAAGATCTCCAGAGAGTCCTGCTGGGGTATGGGCCGCCAATCAAAGATCTCCAGAGAGTCCTGCTGGGGTATGGGCCGCCAATCAAAGATCTCCAGAGAGTCCTGCTGGGGTATGGGCCGCCAATCAAAGATCTCCAGAGAGTCCTGCTGGGGTATGGGCCGCCAACCAAAGATCTCCAGAGTCCTATGTCCTGCTGGGGTATGGGCCGCCAATCAAAGATCTCCAGAGTGTCCTGCTGGGGTATGGGCCGCCAATCAAAGATCTCCAGAGAGTCCTGCTGGGGTATGGGCCGCCAACCAAAGATCTCCAGAGTCCTATGTCCTGCTGGGGTATGGGCCGCCAATCAAAGATCTCCAGAGTGTCCTGCTGGGGTATGGGCCGCCAATCAAAGATCTCCAGAGAGTCCTGCTGGGGTATGGGCCACCAACCAAAGATCTCCAGAGTGTCCTGCTGGGGTATGGGCCGCCAATCAAAGATCTCCAGAGTCCTATGTCCTGCTGGGGTATGGGCCGCCAATCAAAGATCTCCAGAGTGTCCTGCTGGGGTATGGGCCACCAACCAAAGATCTCCAGAGTGTCCTGCTGGGGTATGGGCCGCCAATCAAAGATCTCCAGAGAGTCCTGCTGGGGTATGGGCCGCCAACCAAAGATCTCCAGAGTCCTATGTCCTGCTGGGGTCTGGGCCGCCAACCAAAGATCTCCAGAGTCCTATGTCCTGCTGGGGTATGGGCCGCCAATCAAAGATCTCCAGAGTCCTATGTCCTGCTGGGGTATGGGCCGCCAATCAAAGATCTCCAGAGTGTCCTGCTGGGGTCTGGGCCGCCAACCAAAGATCTCCAGAGTCCTATGTCCTGCTGGGGTATGGGCCGCCAATCAAAGATCTCCAGAGTGTCCTGCTGGGGTATGGGCCGCCAACCAAAGATCTCCAGAGTCCTATGTCCTGCTGGGGTATGGGCCGCCAACCAAAGATCTCCAGAGTGTCCTGCTGGGGTATGGGCCGCCAACCAAAGATCTCCAGAGTCCTATGTCCTGCTGGGGTATGGGCCGCCAATCAAAGATCTCCAGAGTGTCCTGCTGGGGTATGGGCCGCCAACCAAAGATCTCCAGAGTCCTATGTCCTGCTGGGGTATGGGCCGCCAATCAAAGATCTCCAGAGTGTCCTGCTGGGGTATGGGCCGCCAACCAAAGATCTCCAGAGTGTCCTGCTGGGGTATGGGCCGCCAATCAAAGATCTTCAGAGTGTCCTGCTGGGGTATGGGCCGCCAATCAAAGATCTTCAGAGTGTCCTGCTGGGGTATGGACCGCCAACCAAAGATCTCCAGAGTGTCCTGCTGGGGTATGGGCCGCCAACCAAAGATCTCCAGAGTGTCCTGCTGGGGTATGGGCCGCCAACCAAAGATCTCCAGTCCTCTGTCCTGCTGGGGTATGGGCCGCCAACCAAAGATCTCCAGTCCTCTGTCCTGCTGGGGTATGGGCCGCCAACCAAAGATCTCCATAGTCCTCTGTCCTGCTGGGGTATGGGCCGCCAACCAAAGATCTCCAGTCCTCTGTCCTGCTGGGGTATGGGCCGCCAACCAAAGATCTCCAGAGTCCTCTGTCCTGCTGGGGTATGGGCCGCCAACCAAAGATCTCCAGTGTCGTGCTGGGGTATGGGCCGCCAACCAAAGATCTCCGAAGTGTTCTGCTGGGGTATGGGCCGCCAACCAAAGATCTCCATAGTCCTCTGTCCTGCTGGGGTATGGGCCGCCAACCAAAGATCTCCATAGTCCTCTGTCCTGCTGGGGTATGGGCCGCCAACCAAAGATCTCCAGTCCTCTGTCCTGCTGGGGTATGGGCCGCCAACCAAAGATCTCCATAGTCCTCTGTCCTGCTGGGGTATGGGCCGCCAACCAAAGATCTCCAGTCCTCTGTCCTGCTGGGGTATGGGCCGCCAACCAAAGATCTCCAGAGTCCTCTGTCCTGCTGGGGTATGGGCCGCCAACCAAAGATCTCCAGAGTCCTCTGTCCTGCTGGGGTATGGGCCGCCAACCAAAGATCTCCAGTGTCGTGCTGGGGTATGGGCCGCCAACCAAAGATCTCCGAAGTGTTCTGCTGGGGTATGGGCCGCCAACCAAAGATCTCCATAGTCCTCTGTCCTGCTGGGGTATGGGCCGCCAACCAAAGATCTCCATAGTCCTCTGTCCTGCTGGGGTATGGGCCGCCAACCAAAGATCTCCAGTCCTCTGTCCTGCTGGGGTATGGGCCGCCAATCAAAGATCTCCATAGTCCTCTGTCCTGCTGGGGTATGGGCCGCCAACCAAAGATCTCCAGTCCTCTGTCCTGCTGGGGTATGGGCCGCCAACCAAAGATCTCCAGAGTCCTCTTTCCTGCTGGGGTATGGGCCGCCAACCAAAGATCTCCAGTGTCGTGCTGGGGTATGGGCCGCCAACCAAAGATCTCCAGAGTGTCCTGCTGGGGTATGGGCCGCCAACCAAAGATCTCCAGTGTCGTGCTGGGGTATGGGCCGCCAACCAAAGATCTCCGAAGTGTTCTGCTGGGGTATGGGCCACCAACCAAAGATCTCCAGAGTCCTATGTCCTGCTGGGGTATGGACCGCTAATCAAAGATCTCCATAGTGTCCTCCTGGGGTCTGGGCCGCCAACCAAAGATCTCCAGAGTGTCCTGCTGGGGTATGGGCCACCAACCAAAGATCTTCAGAGTGTCCTGCTGGGGTATGGGCCACCAACCAAAGATCTCCAGAGTGTCCTGCTGGGGTATGGGCCACCAACCAAAGATCTTCAGAGTGTCCTGCTGGGGTATGGGCCACCAACCAAAGATCTCCATAGTGTCCTCCTGGGGTCTGGGCCGCCAACCAAAGATCTTCAGAGTGTCCTGCTGGGGTATGGGCCACCAACCAAAGATCTCCAGAGTCCTATGTCCTGCTGGGGTATGGACCGCTAATCAAAGATCTCCAGTCCTATGTTCTGTTGGGGTATGGACCGCTAATCAAAGATCTCCAGTCCTATGTTCTGTTGGGGTATGGACCGCCAATCAAAGATCTCCATAGTGTCCTCCTGGGGTCTGGGCCGCCAATCAAAGATCTCCAGAGTGTCCTGCTGGGGTATGGGCTGCCAACCAAAGATCTTCAGAGTGTCCTGCTGGGGTATGGGCCGCCAACCAAAGATCTTCAGAGTGTCCTGCTGGGGTATGGGCCGCCAACCAAAGATCTCCAGTGTCCTGCTGGAGTCTGGGCCGCCAACCAAAGATCTCCAGAGTCCTATGTTCTGCTGGGGTATGGGCCGCCAACTAAAGATCTCCAAAGTCCTCTGTCCTGCTGGGGTATGGGCTGCCAACCAAAGATCTTCAGAGTGACCTGCTGGGGTATGGGCCGCCAACCAAAGATCTCCAAAGTCCTCTGTCCTGCTGGGGTATGGGCTGCCAACCAAAGATCTTCAGAGTGTCCTGCTGGGGTATGGGCCGCCAACCAAGGATCTCCAGTGACCTGCTGGGGTATGGGGCGCCAATCAAAGATCTCCAGTCCTATGTTCAATTTGGGTATGGGCCGCTAATCAAAGATCTCCAGAGTCCTATGTCCTGTACCATCTTCTGACTCCAGGTGTAGACCATCTTTGTGGTGTCAGCCTCAAGGTTACGTCTCCAGGTGTTTTTTGGTCGACGTAAAGCGCTTTACTTGTGATTTACACGACTCGTCGCATAACACACTACGTCATAAAAAGCCAAACCCCTCCCACAAAATGATATCATTCTCCCTCCTCCATATATCACAATTCTGACGACAATTAACATGTTTCTTTCCATTTAAAAAACTACAAAATCAATCATTAAATCATTGTCCCATAAATCCTTTGACGATACTTAGCAGCTTCTTAAAAGGAGAAATAACAAAATAAATACAAAGTCACAATCCTTTAAAAACCTCTTACATGATTATTATACAATTTAATAATGTGTATATACTACATCATGCTCCTAGTATTCAAACTCGCGTCTACTTTTTAATTACCCCCCCCCCCCCCCCAACTCACATCCATTTATTCTTTACAGAATACATAAATTGACTGCTCGGTCATATCGCTTTAGCTATTCCGTTGGCTTCATACTGATCAAATCGAATGGTCAACAGCATGTTTGTGTGCTAAACTGATTTTCATACCTAACCCAATTAATAAAGCTATGTTAACTTTGTAACTTCAGTCAGCTAACACAACTAATAAAGCTATGTTAACATTGTGATTTTCACAACTAACCCAACTAATAAAGCTATGTTGGAAAATTACATCGGGAATTACACATATGATCTCAAGTTATTTATAGTTTAGCTAAGAATATAACCTGTACACCTAGCAAGGTTGCAGAAAGACAAATGGCGACGCTATAACCTAGGCGACAGTGGGAACCTCACAAGAATTGGTATACTACGTTTTTAGTTTGTTGCTGTTATTATTTGAACTGTTCGTTTTCTAAAAAATATTTTGTTTTGATAGAATAACAATTCAAATCGGTATTAGACCACACTTTCACAGGTATTAGAATGTTTTTTGTTGCGTGAAGTACAGGCAATACATTTATCAACGTAAAGATGGTTTAGATGTGTGAAAATATTTAGTTATATTTAGAAATATTTAGATGTGTGAAATATTGCTGTATAAATTCGTAAAATAGAAGGAAACAAAATGTCAGCTACTAAAGGCATGATATTTCTGAATATCTAGTACTAAGATAGCCATCGATTAATGTTACGACATAGTTTTCCAATCAATAAAGTCAAATCGATATTGTAGGATACCTATTGATTTCTGTTAAGAATAGAAAATGCACAAAATAGATTGAGTTTCAGAAATACGTTTATTGGGTTAAATCTATAACAGCAACTTGTACCATCGAGGAATTCTTTTTGTCACATCAAGACAACAGAATGGGTGTAGGACAAAAGGCCGACATCCAAAAGGCCGACAGGACAAAAGGCATAGTATACAATTTATCATACTAGGCCGTATTTTTTTTTTCTATTTTGTAATATAACTTTATCATTATGTAACTGGGTTTCAATTCAAATGAAAAATGTCTGTAATTGTAGTTTGTTGTTTTATAAAACTTGTCGGCGTTTTGTCTTCTAGGCTTTTTGGATGTCGGCCTTTTAGCTGTCGACCTTTTGTCTTGTAGGCCTTTTGTCCGTGTCGGCCTTTTGTCCGTGTCGGCCTTTTGTCCGTGTTGGCCTTTTGTCCGGATCCTCAACAGAATAGACAAAATGACGTTTGTCACACCTTGTCAGCAGCACCCGCATTGTACCTAATTTCCCGATAAATCGAATATGTGTTAAGTTAGGTAGAAAGGGAAGGGGGGGGGGGGGGTTAAGTAATCATAGCAAGTAATTATTTAAAAAAATGTTTTTTTTTTTTTCAGTTGAAAAAAAATCGTTTCAAATAATGAGTGGTACAGATGAGCCCACCGATCCGTTTGAAGGTAAAAAGCTTCATTTCTCTTGTTGCATTTAGTGTAATTAAGCGTCTTTTAGTTGAACAAAAATATTTACCGATAACACGCATTTAACAGTTAACAAACTACTTGTCGCTAACAAGCATTTCATCATTTGCTTGTAGGGACCCATGAGGTGCAGATCTGTGGTCCCGGAGAGATGGAATCCAACTTGGACAGTTTTTTCAAAAACTGCAAGAAAAATCCTGGCCATGCTGGCTTTGTACCCGTCAACGACTTTAAAATGGAGCACCTTCCTCCCGGTTACCAGGACAACGATGTTGTCGATTTGATCAAGGCCATGGCGGATTTAACGGTCAGGATTTGTATCAAATCTACAAGTCTCGACAGACCCGAGTTCATCGAGAACACAAAGGACCCCTACCCGTGCTATAACGAGAGGGGAACGAAATCACTGAGGTCAGGGACGGGGAGGGTCGATCACGTGATCCAGCACACGGAGGAAGAGAATGAAAGCTGCCCTTGCGAGGACTGCATGAAGTCTGGCAGCCCCAGTAAAGTGTGGGCGGAAGTTGTCGTGTTGACAGCGAGGCACGTGATCTTTGACGAGAGCGAGGCCAAGAGCTCAAAATGCCGGTTATGGTTTTTTGAGGACAAATGCCCGATGGTCACGGTGGCGGGGTACAAACTGGGCATGTGGGGCTCAGGGGTGGGGGGAGATACCCGGGCGCTGTGCTGTGTGACCCACGACATGGACGTTGCCGGTAAGCTGCAGAAGATGTGGTGCCGGATGTACCGCGCGTGCGAAAAGGTGAAGGCCAAGTACACACCGGATGTGGACAAGCTGATTGTGATTGTGTCACACCCCCATGGCTGCTCCATGCACGTCTCAGTAGGTCACTGGCTGGATAAGACGTTCGTTAAGTCCAGCGATAACGTTAGCAAGTACTCATACAATGCCTGCACGTGCCCAGGGAGTAGCGGGGCGCTGGTCTACAGACTGGGCAGTGGCTGGTCCGGACACCCCCACAGTGGAGGCAACAGTAGGTTTAATTACAGTGGAGTGTGGGTGGATTCAAATGTCAAATAAATGCACTATTTGCTAACTCTCCGATTAAAGTAAGGACTTCAGCAGTGTAGTGACGTCTACCATTTACTCTGATCTTTTTGTGCAAATAGTAAACCGTTACTTGCGTGTTGTAGAGTTTAGGCCTAATCTTTTTGTTGTTAACGTTTTAAAACCATGTAAACAATACACATGTATTTAGGTTTGTTGCTAGATTTTGTAGAGTTTTCTAACACAACTTGCAGAAAATTAAACTTAAAATTGCACATCAGCTTTTGAAAGGTAGCTTCTGTAAGGTGATTACAATTATTTTATTTACAAAACTTTGCTAAAGAATGTTAAACTAGAACACAAATTCCATTAATAAATAAACAAACAAACTCTTTTATTGTTTTGTCTATCATATCAACACTTTGTTTAACTCATGTAGTAACAAGATGTTTGGACAATGTAAAGCATGAAACTAGTTAAAACTTATTTTAGAAAACATTTTACAAATTATTTTAAATAAACTGGTTAATCACCTTTCGAGTTTTGTTTTGAAATTTACTAGAGACGTATGCTTCACTTTAGTTTAAAATTAAAAAAAAAAATGTCCCAATTGAATAAGCTGTAAAGCGATTTGTTTATAATGGATTGTATGCAAGTTAGATAATTTTATAAGTAACAAAATCACGATTTGTCTTTTAATATCAACAACACAAAAGATTGATAAAGTTAAACACACAGTAAGTTATAAAATAAAACACGCCACATTATAATAAAATATACCAGAATAGTGATAAAAAAATATATATAATTAAAAAGGAGGCCGGTAACACCTGGATCAAACACCTGACGTCTGCATGAGAAAGCCAGAGAAGGTGTTGAGGAAGTCGCTAGTGGTGCCGTACACACTGCCAGCACTGGAGGCTTGCACGAAGACCTTGTCACCCACCTTAAGCTGCAGCACTGCCGAGTTACCTGTGGACATTGAGAGTTACAGGTGTATAGTTTAGGTGCATTGTTTTCATCTTTAAAAAGTTGTTTAGTAATACACTATGTAAGAATAACACAGAAACAATGTATAAAGAAATAAGGAATACAAATAAATAATCTCAAGATTTTTAAGTAATCATTTTGTTTACCTGTTAATTATTTTCATAACAATTAAATTTTTTGAAGTAATTTGAAATGAATATATTTGATATAAAAGCAGCGAATTTGAAAAAAAAGTTTCATTTGATTTTTTAATATAACTTTATTCTAACTTATATAATAAATCATGGACAACATTTTGTGTACATTCTGGCAAATGTCAATCGAGGCATTGCATATGGCCATAAAACTCTCTTATAGGCTTCGCTCAAAGAAACTAGTGTCTTTAGACACTGAAAGAAACAGATGAGAGACATTCACATACCAGCCATTGTAAAGTCCTGGTTGGTGTAGCTATGAAGGGTGACAACCTTAGTTTTGTTCATTACTAGCGACACACTGAGTTTACTCCCCTTGCTAGCTGTACAGTGGAATTGGAAAAAATACATTCCTGCCTGATTGAGGAACAGTAATTGATATATATATATATATATATATATATATATAAATATATATATATATATATATATATATATATATATATATATATATATATATATATATATATATATATATATATATATATATATATAATATGTATGTATATGTATTCTACATACCCGAAAAATGATAAGTATTTAAGCTGCATTTCAACAATTATCTATCTGGAATTAGAATGTTGACCTACTGTTTGACATGTAAACACTCCAGTTTTGATGTTGTAAGCGTTCCCAGCATTCGTGACAATCTTGTTGTAGACAAGCATTTGGTTTACAACAAGCTTCAATGTATTGGACAAGACAGCAGTGAAACCAACTGGTCCCGGTGCTCTAGCTACGTTGTTTGAGGGTGCCACGGTTCCTGCTACTTGAGTCACATTGTTTGTGGGTGCACCACTTTCAGGTGCTACAGTGGTGCCCACGGTACTGGAAACATCAGTGCCTGGGGTTGTCGCTGAACTGTCCACACTAAGGACACCAGGGCCTGGCGGTGTTGTAGTACTGACCACAGTAGGGATAGTCACTGTAGTTTGTACTACTTTCACTGAGTAATATAAAATACGAAATATATACTAACAAAATGTTTGAGTAATTAGTACTTCGTGGTTAATTAAGAGGCTTAGGTTTATTAGCAAAAATAATTATAAATATATATTTAGGATTTTATACAGTGCGTTAATTTGTGTGGATTAATTTACTGTACCTATAGTAACTAGATGCAACTCAAAGAATAAAACAAGTTAATAAAAAGTCTAGTGACAATTTAAGCGCAATTTCCTTAATTAACTTTTTAGAATTCACAGACCTACGTAAAAATCCTTTCGAACCACCGCTCATTCGCTATGGTAAAATCCTTTCGAACCTCAGCGCTTTGTGCTAAAAACCGACACGATGCTCAGTTTAAATTAAAAATATCATCCTAGGTCTACACGATGCTAAGTTTAAAAATTCTAAATTAATTTTTTGTGACCGAACGAAAGGATATTTTTGAAAACTTTCTTTGGCAATATTGTTCTAAATTATGACAGGAATCGATTGGTAAATGTTTCAAGTCGCTAAGTGGTCTGGTTGCCGAGATATGGACAAAAAACGGCATTTTTTCGAGTTTTTTTTTGGCTTTTCCGGGAAATCCAGGAAGGAATTCCGGGAATTTTTTTAGCCTATGTTCATCCTCGGAACTTGTTTAACATATATGCTTTTGGAACTAGTCCTCGATATTGCTTCGTTGAGGAGGAGATACGACTTAAAGCTGCGGACACGCTGCGGACACACATCCATCCATCCATCCATCCAGAAATGACGAGTTAATAATCGCAATCCCCCAGTATGGAAATTGCGCTAAAAATAGATTTTTAAAATATGTAATCGAAATTCATATAGTTCGTTTTAATGCAACCCAACTCAACCGAATTGCAATTCAATTATATATATGTTTAATAAAAAAAATATTGACTGCATATTTCATAATAGCCTACAGCATTTTGTTTTCCAGGAACAAAGTCGTATAAAATAAAAATAAAAATGACGATGTAAAATTCATCAATAATGTATTCACTGTTAAAACTAGTTAACTAATTACAGATTAAAACAGAAATAAAGTACGTTTAAAATAAATTTAAAATCGATCTGTAAATAAATAATAATAATACATATATTTCTTACGTTCCATACAAACAAATTGTCGCGACGCATTACATTGCAGATCATTAAGTTTTCCATCTACATTGATCTCCACACATTTTTCGTCCCCACCTCGATTGTTGGGCTCACCAGTCCCCCACAACGACGTCATGTTTACCTCGCTCTTGTCTGTCCAAGTCCATTTGCCAGTTTTATTGAGGCTTGCACCTACCCAAACTTCGAGGGAGAAGACAGTTGAAGATGCAGCAATGAGACGTGAAGGCGAACAAGGAATGAAGATTACACACATACAGCATAAACTTACGAAACTAAAAATCGGAAAGTTGCAGCTTGTGATCAAACACCAGTTGATAGACCACCTGTGATCAAAGACCCTCTGCTGAGAAAACACCTGTGGTCAAACCCCCTATGGTCAAACCCCCTATGATCAAACCCCCTATGGTCAAAGCCCCGCTGTGGTCAAACCCCTTATGGTCAAAGCCCCTATGGTCAAAGCTCCGCTGTGGTCAAACCCCCTATGGTCAAACCCCCTATGGTCAAAGCACCTGTGGTCAAAAGTCATAGGACCGAATAACCAGTGATGCATGTAAAAGTAGTAAAAGAGTATCCAACACTTGTATTTCTACTTTCCCCACGTTTACGAAACACGACTATCTATTTCTATAAACTTCAGTGAGATATGTTTTCTAATCGAATTAATTGTTGCTGTACATTTTATGACAATAATTTCCCAGTCAAAAAATTTCCCAGTCTCTCAAGTTAGTCAAAACAAAAACAAACTCAAATCAACATAAGTAAACGGACATAATGATTAAAAACATAAGCTTGTATGAAATAATGATTGTCTTCAATAAGATGGTCATGGAAACAATCAAGCAAACATTAATCACAGGTATGACTACAATAACTTACAGGTGCCCGACTGTTTTAGGCGAAACAAAAATGCCAGTTCAGCTGGCGAGGAGACTTTGGCCAGGGTTCTATCCCCCAAAGAACTGGAGCAGTAATTCTACATGAAAAAATATATTTAGTATCTGCTGTAATTCTATTTTTAAAATTGGTATTGAATATTTGAAAATGTTAATCATAAACTTCAATATTTAATTAAAATACAAAAGTAGAGCATGTTTTGATACGTGTAAAATTTATTGCAAACTATTGAAATAATAGTTTAACTATTGCTTCTGTCAATTTGACATTATATCACTCTGTCTGAACAATCTGTAACACATTTTGCATGCAATGTACACATAGGTGCAACGCTTTGGTACTTAGGTCCAATGGACATCGGCGATGATTTTATGTGTGATAAAATAGTTGGATATTATCTGTTTTTAGATTATTAATACAGATTAATCCGGATTCAAGTCAGTAGACCGTCCCTGAGTCCACCCAGCTCTAATGGGTATGTAACTCACGTTATGTAAAACAAAGTCGACTGGACATAGTTCTACTCACACTATCTATACCGAGGTCACTGAAATATATGAACTCTACTTCATCGGCCCCATGCGTCTTGTGCACGAAATGATGATGATGAATACAGATTAGTAAATATTTGTATGTATCATTTATAGTTTGTACTCCGTCTTAAGATATAACGGCCGTTTTGAAAAATGTTTATATTACTTGAAATTTCGCCAAACGCCCAAAATCAACTTCTTCTGAAAATTTAATTCTGCTTGATATTTTCATTGTCGTCTGTAAACTGTCGTGACGGACGGCTGCTTTCACGGGGGGGGGGGGGGGGGAGGGGGGGGGAAAGGAGAGAATAGTGGAAAGTGAGGATGAGGATAATCGTCCTTGACTAGCTACTGATAGTGTTTTAAAGCAAAATATTTTCGGTCGTAGCATTAGTAGTGTTGAATTCACAAATTATAAATTACTGAAAGCAGAAAATAAATCAACCAATTAGCGGCGTATGCTACGTCGCGGGTCAGCTCGTTGTATATGTTATTAATGATGATTAGCGATAAAACAGGTTTAATCTTCGGAGAATGGTAAATACGAACAATGAATAGTCTAGTGCCCGGTGTATTTTTTTCGTCATCGGTACAAACCGTCTAGTTGAAACACCATCAACACACGACAAAAGTTGATGACATCAAACTGTTAGTTCAAGTCAATAAACTTTTACCTCTGCTTCGTTCCATGACTGCTCGTTACTAAAGTACTGATAGCATTTGTTTTCAAACACAACTGCACGAGAACTCAAACACTGACCTGAAATAGCAAATGTGTTTCTCATGATTTCCTTCTAACTTGTCCATGGACATATATTTGGTAATTGGAGAGTTTGATAAAATTTGGCTCCTTCTGGAGTGCTCAGTCAACTAGGCAATTTTGACCAGAGATTTCTTATTATCTCGTTATATATATATATATATATATATATATATATATATATATATATATATATATATATATATATATATATATATATATATATATATATACCAATATTTAATGTGTTGCCTGTGGGTATGTATATATGTAGGAGGCTCTATAAATATTAAATATTAGTGGCTTATGAAAAAAAAGAATTACACGTTTGTAACGGTAGGGGAAGGTAAAAATTTATGCATTATGTGATAATGTGATTTTTTTACTGTTAGATAGGCCTAGTGTAAACGAATGTTTACCTCGTGTGTAAGCTGCAAAAAGAATAACAACCAGGCTACAAAGTAAACATCTATTTATAGCACTGACAGAATACATGGTGACTTGTCTGAAAAAAAATATTTTTGTAGGTTTGATATTATCATGATCTAACATGAGCTAACATGAGCTAAGGTTATGATCTGACATGACTTACATAATGTACTAACATAAAATAACACAATGAACTAACATGAACTAACGTAATGATCTAACATGAACTAACGTAATGATCTAACATGAACTAACGTAATGATCTAACATGAACTTACGTAATGATCTAACATGAACTAACGTAATGAACTAACATGAACTAACGTAATGATCTAACATGAACTAACGTAATGATCTAACATGAACTAACATAATGAACTAACATGAACTAAAATAATGAACTAACATGAACTAACGTAATGAACTATCATGAACTAACATAAGGAACTAACATGAACTATTGTTTCAGAAACGCCATTGTTTCAGAATTATCTTCTTATAAACAACAAAACTATTTCAAATGTTTTGTTGATTTTTTTAGCACTGACTTAAGGGAACTTCCTTACGCCGAGAACTTATATTTTAACTTAAAATAAAATATAACAATGAATTCTAAAACGAATCTTACTATGTATTAGTATGTTTAAATTAATTAGTTCATTTATAACAAACAACTCCCCTATTGATTTAGCCTGGCTACATTGTTTATTGTAACAAAAACCCAATACCGCTACTAAGTTCGATAAACTGAAACGATTACTGTCTGTAAAAATAAAAGTTCTGGAACTTACACGAAAACGCTGAAGCTGCTTCCGATTTTTAAAACTATTGAATCTCAAGAAGATATACAAGGTGTTTATGACTGAAAGACTCTTTTTATTACCCAGGTCACATGACCGTATCAGTCATTTATGTTTTAAAATCGAAACAAAAAGTCAAAGGTTTTCAGGAACTGCTCACGAACATTACGTCATAGTGACGTGGGATTCTAAATTGGCTTGGGTTTTTTTAAAATAAATTTTCATGAAATCAATTTTATAATAATCGATAACTGCATAATGTCAATATCTTTTGCGTAGGTACCTGGATAGGTGAGCTTTAGAAAACAACTATTCAGACACTTTAGACTGTAGGGCATTGACATGTCGCTGGAAAATACCTGCTGTATGTAAGCCTACCTGTACCCAAGCGTGAAAGTTATTCGTTTTTTTTTCTCCTCTCCCTTTCTCTCCCACTTATACTGACACAAAGGGCTGGGTTAAAGCTTTTTAATTAGGCAGACCGCAACAAAATGAGGAATAGAACATTTCTCTTAACTATGTTGCAAGCCGTGTATCCAAGCCAGGTTTTAATTTTCTCCTTTGGTTAAGGAGTGGCAGGTCATCGAGCACTCAACGGTCCTGACACACTTAGGGTCACCATATCCACCCCACTAAAGGTCACCCCTACCTACCACTTAAGGTCACCCCTACCTACCACTTAAGGTCACCTCCATATCCACCCCCACATAAAGTCACCTCCATATCCACCCCCACATAAAGTCACCTCCATATCCACCCCCACATAAAGTCACCTCCATATCCACCCCCACATAAAGTCACCTCCATATCCACCCCCACATAAAGTCACCTCCATATCCACCCCCACATAAAGTCACCTTCATATCTACCCCACGTTAGGTCCCTATGTATCCCACTTAATGTCACCTCGTCTATGTCTCCCAGTTGGCTCCTGATTTAGCACAAAGAAAGTTGACGAGAATGTTTAAAAACATGAACCTTACATTTGAATAAGTTTAGTTTGACTGTCAAGAAATACTTTTAGTTCGACAAGCCTTAGAATGTTGTATGCCGTTTTGTTTAGCCATGTGTTTGAGTCAGCAGTTGAACTTCAAAATATGTTTAGTTCTGTAGCCCCAGCAATGTCACGCTTACACCACGTCATCTTAGGCAATGTCACGCCATGACGTGGTCACCACTAAGTCACATCATGACAGTCACCGGTCAGTCAAGGTATTGCAGAGTGACCAGTCAGTCATGATATGACGTGGTCACCAATAATATTACCTGAGCTGTGTTACCATAAGAATAAACAAATACATTTTTATTACAGGTTACAGACAAGTTTTAAAAAATACAAAAATAAATACTAACAATTACTTTTCAATAAGCTTTCTGGATACACCCCCCCCGCTCGTAACACTTCATGTCAATGGTCCGAAACTCCCCTCCCCCTAGAGTGTGACGTCATTTATTGACGACCCATAAAACAAAATGGCTGCTACTAAAAACACCTATGTGACCGTGACTTAGAGCAGACGATTAATCAAACTGTAGCCCTTGATACAGTGCACTGAAAACATTTCGTCTGCTGACAACATTTTTCCGCACTACTGAATGTTGTCTTTACATAATGTATTTTGGCAGACGATAGCAGCGGTTTGAAATAAAAATGGCGGCTACATAATTTACACATACAAATAAACACGTCATGTTGATCTAATGCGATATGATGTCCAAAGTAAACTATTAAGTAAATTACTATAATTAGATCGTCGTAAATTATCGTTCTCATTATCTTGCCAGATGAGTTTGTTTAATATAAAACTTATTAGGTTAACTGTGAACAAGAGGGTAATTACATGTAGAAACTTAAAAAACAACTTTTATTTCTCCTTCGTCTTCTCCGTTATAAATTTTTTCTCCAATAGATTCGATTTTCAGTTAACTTTATAAGGTCACGCCATTTCAACAAGTATAATCTGTGGCATAGTTATAACAAACGTTTTATCTACTTGAAATCGCTATAAAATAAATCCCTCTGCTGTTTGAAGGTATTTTTTTATTTCTTGCACTTGTTAATTACATAAAGGTTAAAAAAAAAAAAAACAATTCTTTAATATGTGCGGTACAGATAAGCGAGATAACCTTTGATATTGTTAATAATACGAGACACTCTCTGTTTATTCCACTTTATTGATAGCGCAGATAAATTAGAATAAATATTACTGTGCTCGAAGAGAGTTGATTTGTGCTAGTATACTGTATGAATACATACATCATGCCGATACAACAATATACAAATACAATATGTTAATACAACAAAACACCTAAAAGTAATATCATAAACTTTATTCTAAACACAACTTTTGTTTTGTAAAAGTAAATATAAATAATTTATTATTTGAACAATCTTTAAGCGATAGCGTATGATAAAAAAAATCGAAATGAAATAAAGAATGAATATTCCATGAAGCAAGACTAATATTTTGGTGCCCAACATAGTGGTCATTATGTGGTGATATGTCGTCTAACGTGTAGTGTGTTCGTCTAGTGTGTTGCTTACGTCTCATTTAGTGTGCGTGTGTGTGTACCTAATTTCTGGTGTGCTAGTCTGATTACTAGTATGTGTGTGTGTGTGTGTGTGTGTGTGTGTGTGTGTGTGTTTATGTGGTCCATAACGCCATGCGTGAGGTCGTTGTACATGCGACATTAGAAAACATGATGGAGTTTTACCCTATACGTCATGATACACATCAGCAGTTTTACCTTATACATCATAATATACATCAGCAGTTTTACCTTATACATCATAATATACATCAGCAGTTTTACCTTATACATCATAATATACATCAGCAGTTTTACCCTATACATCATAATATACATCAGCAGTTTTACCTTATACATCATAATATACATCAGCAGTTTTACCTTATACATCATAATATACATCAGCAGTTTTACCTTATACATCATAATATACATCAGCAGTTTACCTTATACATCATAATATACATCAGCAGTTTTACCTTATACATCATAATATACATCAGCAGTTTTACCTTATACATCATAATATACATCAGCAGTTTTACCCTATACATCATAATATACATCAGCAGTTTAAAATAAATACTAATATACTAATATCACATTCAGTTTATTGCGAAAGTTACAACAAGCATGTGAAAATAATTTTATAAATTATGGCATTATAATTTTTCTAATAAAAACAACACCAACTAAACGAAAAATAAATACCCGGCAAACGTAAACTATTATCTATTAAATGGAAATGTTTTATAGTTAATAAATATAAATAAGGTAAAAATGGATTTTAAGCAATAATAAATGGCATTAACATTTTTAAAATTAAAATACAAGAATAGAATATTAAATTGTTATCACACTAAAAATAAAGTATAAAAGAAATAGTTGTAAGTATCTGAATATTCAAAACTATTTTTTAGTTTGAAAATCAGGTACTTGAAAAATTTACTTTGGAAATTTTTTTCCAGCGGAAAATCTTATGCGTCTTCAGAGTATTTTAAATCTGGTCAAGGGAAATAACTTGATATACATTTTGTTTCGTTCATAGTCCACTTTTTAAAGAACTAATAATGTTAATACAGTTATAGGAATATTTGATTTTGTGTGTTAATAACTCGTTTGTGTTGGTAATCAACTTAATACCTTTTCTTTTTGTTTTTTGATGATTTTTTAACAGTTTTCGTGTCCTGTTCTGTCTTAGTGGCGCCATGCTGGGAGTTATTGGCTCGCTCACTCCTTTCCTCCCCCAGCCTACCCCCCTCTGGGCTCGCTGATGGGGAGCTGGACGTATCCTGAGTCTGGGACAAGTTGCTGGCACAAGTCTCGTCTTTGTTGTGGGACATTTTGTTGTATTCTTTCAACCGTTTTCTGCGCTTTTCATGCGGCTTCGGTTTTTTCTTGTCCAGCGTTTGTTGTGGATGTTGTCCCGACTCAGCTGGTGCCGTAGAGTTTCTGGCATGTGGTGCTGGTCCTACGTGTGGGTTGTGGAATGGTCGTGTGGGATATGTGACATACGGCATTCTATAGCCGGCTGGGTTGTAGTAGGTCTCATTGCTTTGGTCTTGTGAGCCATACGGCACCCTATAGCTTGCTGGGGTGTTGTACATCTTAGTGCTTTGGTCTTTTGTTGCTGTTGTTCTGGTAGCAGAACTACTGACCGATCTATTGGCCGACCCACTAGCCGACCCGATAGCTGACCCACTAGCTGACCCGATAGCTGACCCAGTAGTTGACCCGCTAGCTGACCCAGTAGTTGACGCACCAACCGACTCATTAGCCGCCCCATTAGCCGCCCCTCCAATTTTATTTTGCTCCCCTCGCATTGACTGGGAGACGCCCATCTTCTGACTTTGAGTGACAGACTTAGGCAGGCAAATTTTCCCCTCAGCCTTGAGCCTTTCCCTCTTGATAAAGTGATCTCTGACGATGTTATCGTATCGATGGCACTTGGTTATTGGCTTGTTACATTTGGGACACCGAATAAATTTGGTTCCATTAGGGTCAAAGTTGAATACAAAATGATCTAGTTCATCCACGTAGAAAATATGCGAGCAAGAGGGGATCTTGATGATTAAACGATCTTGATTTTGGTTTCGCTGATAAAAAGGAATTTTTGAAGCAAGAAGTTTTGGGTTTACAGGCTGTACTGTTTCACAAACCACACAGACACACGTCTCGCCGCAAATACCAGCGCACGGATGTCTACAAAAGGATTTTTGTCCTTTCTTAACGGATACAATTTTCAGAATTTCCGTGCATTTTTGCTCACACGGTTTTACCGTCCATTGCTCGTGGCATAGTTTGCTCATCTTGTTATGTGGGCATTCGATCAAGTCTGTCTCTTCACATGGGGGACACGGCTGACCGCACCGATGATGTGGGTTTATGCTGTTGCAGGTTCGATGTCGGCAACCAGACGGACACTCCATCGTACACGGCACACACGGTTTCCCGCACACACCGGTACACTTGTGGCCACATACAAGTGTGTTCCCACAATCCTGCTGACACTCTGCGTGCTGGCCTGTTTGTGTACACACGCCACACGTTCCCTGACAGTTGTGGCCGCACGGCAGAGGTTTCTTGCACTTCTTGACACAGTAGCTGTGCTGGCCCGTCGTGCAGTCACAGCAATCCCCGCTACACGTATGCTGACAAGGAAGCTTGACTGGGCATTTCTCCACACACGGACTGTGGACCCCGCTGGCACAGGTCCCACATTCACCCTTACATGTATGTTTACAAGGAAGTATTTCACCGCACGGCTCGAGGCATTTTGTATGGCCATTTAAAACACATTCGCCACAAACTCCTTTGCATTGATGCTCACAAGGAAGTTCCGCCTCACAATTTCTACGACACTCAGCATGTCCAGACAAAGAACATTCTCCACATTTCCCCATGCATTTGTGTTTACAGGGGAGGTACACGATGCAGTTCTTCAAACACTTAACGTGCCCTTTTACTGGACAATCCAAACACTTGCCCGTACATCTATGTGTGCAGGGGAGGGAAGCTCCACATACACTTATACACTGCGCATGACCTTTGTCTTGACATTCTCTACAAACTCCCGTACACGGGTGCTTACACGCCAGCTTAAAGGTGCACGGACTGGTGCACTTCTTATGCCCGTTGTCTAGACAATCCCCGCAGACACCTTTACAGTCGTGTTGACAGGGTAGTTTAGACCCGCAGGTGTTTAAACACTTGACGTGGCCTGTATCAAGACAGGTCCCACAGCTTCCCTTACACTTGTGTGAACATGTAAGCAGCAGATCACATTTTTCCAAACATTTAGCGTGGCCATTTTCCATACAATCGCCGCAAGTGCCTCTGCATTTATGGTTGCACACTAGAGTTTTACTGCATGGGCTCCTGCAACTTGCGTGACCTTTTTCAGTGCAGTTGCTGCAGCGACCTTGACATTTGTGATTGCAGGGTAGTAAACTGCTGCACTTTTCAATGCATTTTTCATGTCCTGTTTCTGAACATTCCCAACAAATTCCCTTGCATTTGTGGGAGCAAGAAAGCTCTGCTTGACATCTCTGCGCGCACGGTGGATGGCAATCGTGTTCACATTCAGAACATTTGCCGCGGCACTTGTGCCCACATTTCAACATCTTCCCACAGTCTTCTCTACAGGGTTTGTGCTGTTTATTATCAGCACAATCCACACACCTGCCTTTACACCTGTGTCCACAAGGCAGAGTCTCAACACAGACGTCCTGACAGACCTTGTGACCATCAGTGGAGCACGCAGAACAAGTTCCGGTACATTTGTGCCTGCAGTCCAACATCACCTCACATATTCTGGTACACGGTGGGTTTTGCTTGGTCAGGTTACACGGAATCTCCTTGACATCCCCACATGGCCAGGTGTAGCTTACCTGGACTGTACAGATTTCGTGGTTACCAAACGTAGAGCATCTGTTACAGGTACCTGTACACCTGTGCGAACATTCTAGAATGTTAGAGCATTGGCTTTGACAGGCGTGGTAATCCGGGTCCTCGCCGCATTCAATTTTAGCTGCGTGACCACACTTTAGAGTTTTCTGGACCAGCGTGTCGCAACCCCCACAGTCTTGGTAGCATTTCTTCCTACACGGGTGTCCCTCACCGCACACCTTACCACACGGTTTCCTACATCTAGAGTTGACGTGGTTGGGGTCGCTCCCGTGGCAGGGTCGACCACACACATGACCACACGGCAGCAGCTGCTCACACTTTTCTCCACACCACCCCGTCCCGCACTTGCGAAACTCAGCCGCTGTTTTTATCGCCAGCACGTGATCCGGGTGGTCAACACAACGTATGGGTAGCCCCTCCCCGATGATGTCATCTTCTTTGGCATCCTTGACGATAGCCGACCACAGCGTGCTCTGGGAGGCCAACAGGTCAAAGTTCCCAATCACGTACAGCCCTTTCTTCGCCCTCGACAGCGCCACGCAAATTCTGTTTTCCACTTTTAAAAAGCCAACGCTGTCAATTTTGTTACTCCTCACAAGAGACAGTACAATGATGTCGTTCTCTTCACCCTGGAAGTCGTCGACAGCAGCGATTCTCACATTGTAACTGAGGCCACTTTTTCTCGCGAGGCTTCTGATCGCCAACACTTGGCCGACGTAGGTAGTAAGTATAGTCACATTCTGTGGGCTGTAGTCTTGGGTTAGAAGATATTTACAAAGCGCAACAACATACTCTGCCTCGAACACATTTTTCTTGCTTAAGCTGTCGTGGACGTTCGACTCCTCGTGGTGATGGTTAATCAGGAAAATATTTTTACCCACGCCCTTGATGTTTTCATATTCCTTAACCGAATCATCGTCCTCCAGACTGGGGTAGATGTGACGCATGAGCTTCGATATCTCTGGCCGCATCCTGTGCTGCATCTTCAGCACCGCATGCGGGACGTTGTTCTTGACGAGTCTCTCAAACAAGGAGATCTCTAGTCCGTGATCTCTGGCCAGCTCGTAGACGTTTGGTTTCGGCCTCAGCTGTTGGTGGTCACCAATCAGGATCAGATGGTTGCAATGTGCGTTCAGTGCTGTGATGATGTGGGACTCAAATACTTCGGCTGCCTCCTCGACCACTATGATCTTAGAACCCACCTGCTGCAGGACGCCGCGGTGCTTGGCTGCTCCGGTTGTTGTCATGCCAATTATCTTGGCGGATTTCAGAACAAAAAGCGTTCTCTCCTTTTCGATTTCCTCTTTTCTTTTAAACTCGGCGTTGTATTTTTCAACCAATTTCTTTAATTTAACATCAAGGTCTTTTCGGTAGCCTTGAACCCAATTATTGTAGAGTGCGTATTTCTCATATCCACTGAGCTCCCAGATATTAGTCACTGACTCAGCTCTCTCTCTGGGCATCGGTTCAAGTATAAGTCCTTCAGATGTGAATCTGGGGTTTGTTTTCTTCTGGTCATTCTTTGCCCAGTTGCTTTCCTTGCTGTCGCGTACAACATGAAACAACTTGTCCACGTCCTCCAACATCTTGTTGTAGTTCATGTAATCTTTTATACTCATCTCATCCGTCTCCTCCTCACCATCAGAGGAGTCACTATCTTCCAGATTGCCATCAATGTTATTATATTCGTCTTCAATGTATTTGCTTTTGGTCTTAGAGCTAGTTTCTTTATTTAAAACTCCGACTAATTTGATCCCCATATCTGAGATTAAGGTCTGAATGTCACGGAGCTTGTCTGTGACTTCCGTGTTCACTCCCAGAATCCATGTTTTGATTATCTCCCCTGATGCGATGTCCAGGTTTAAAGGTTTCATGTGGCGTTTAATTTTCTCAAACAAAAAGTCTGGAAGGAAACGTTCAATTTCTGCGTCCTGCAAAATAATCATGGTACTTAAGACGAGCCTTTTCTTTAGATGTTCTTTTTGCTTTAAGACTTGGGTTCTCTCCTCTTGCTCGCTATCATCTTTCAATGATTTGATCTTCATATTTAAACCTGCCAGAGATATCTTTAACTCTCTCCTGAAGTCTACCACAGCCGTGTGGTACAGGCTAGCGCGTGCGGTGATGTCAAGACACAGGGGATCAGTGACGTCATCAAGATGGATGCTGTAGTCCCAATTCAGTACGAGCTTGTAAAGAAACTCATCGACTTTTTTCTCCAAGAGATCCTGGTCTCTTTCTGTATCAGCATTCAACCACTGAGCTATTTTAGAGTTAGTGTCACCAGCATCAGGGCTGTCGTTGCACAAGGATTTGTAATGAGCATCACTAATGAAATCCCTGAGCACTGTTTCAGATTTAATATTCCACTTGAGATATTTGATTTCCTTCTCGAGCCGGTTGATGTCTGCTATAATCTTTTTCATGTTGTTGACGCATTCTTCGCGTGATTTTCTCACGGAAACAAAATCAAATTTTTTGTTATTTTCTCTGTTCCGCTTTAGCTCGTAGAGATTAAACTTCTTCAGCTGTTCACATTTACTCCCTCCGCCGACTCGAACAATGCCGTTTTCGCAAAATTTTAAAATCCCCTCCAAGAACTGGTCTAAGGCGTGGTTCGTGTAACACACCACCAGGATGGGAGTCTCTTGCCCTTGACCAAAAGCAGCGCTGGCGTTTCTCATGATAGCCTCCATGACTTTAAGACCCACGTACGTTTTCCCCGTCCCCGGGGGGCCCTGTATCAGAACCATTTCGTTGGTCAAGGCCAACATGGCTGCCTCCCTCTGTGACGAGTTGAGACACATCCTCTCAGCACTCGGCCATTTGGTCAGCTCCAACACCGGACACTGCCAAGCTTGAAAGCGATCCATCAAACAGGACAAACTGAACTTTAAACTTTTATTCGCACTCAGATAACATGGAGGCTTTAGCACCTTCTTACACTTGATTACATATCTCTTGAATGGGATCTCCGAAGACATTTCCTGAATACCTTTTAGAACATGAAGATAAGGTTCAAATAAGTTCACGGCCTCTGCCATTATATACAGATCATCGGAATTGTTTCTGTACAGCGCGTCATACCCGCTACTGATGACAACAGAAATCCTCCCTTTCTTTAGTAGTTTCTGGCTATGGACTGTCGCGACGATTATTGTTTTAAAATTATCTTTTGACAAGCAAACAAGAGCACCTTTTATAAGGCGTTTAGTTGTATTCCAGTTTATTTTTTTTAACTGTTCCATATTCATTGCAAGTTGGTACCTTAACTCACTACTAAAGACTTTTTGAATTAACCTAACGCCGTGATAAATTCTCAGACTTAAGTTTGATGTTTTCTGGCGCCCTGGGTTGTTCCTGAGTTCTGCGAGACCCTGGCGTATGGGTATGATGAAATCTTCTCTCATCAGACGGAACTGAACATCCAGGTAATGTTCCACGCTACTGTAAGCCCCCTCCTTTACGGCTGACCTGAAAAATGTTCTTGCACTGCTCTCCAAATCTTGCATGATTGGATAAACGGACATTTTCCGGAAATTTTCTGGAGGTTTTTCTTCATTGCTGAAAGACACGGCGGTGTTCTGTTCTGTAGTGATTTGATTCTGATTTTGTTGAATCCTATTGAAGATTTTAGTCAAATCTTCCACAATGTCAGTGAGATTTATTACATTTCCGTATGATTGTACAATATTTCCCAAATTGACAGCAGCCCTAAAACAGAATTCCGACTTTGATGGTAAAATATCCAATATACTTTGTATAATCGTAGATAGTGACTTTAAAACACCCGCTAAGAATTCTGGTGGTGCAAAACTTAAATAGTACCTCAAATGAGCATCGAAGAAACTGCTGGCACAGAGGGTCTCAAGCAGTTGCATGACACTCTGGCGTTGGTGCTTGGCTGTGACGGCCTGACCCACAGACAGCACCAGATAGTAGAACCAGTCGGGTGGTATGAACTGTTGGTGCAGCAGTTCCTCCAGCTGCTGTCTCTCTGTTGTCATGGACAGCACCAGCTGCCCGGCATCTGTGGCCGCTACCCAGTGCTTTAGCTTCGTGTAGGTGATTGGTCTGGGCAGGGCGTGGCTGTCACGTGAGTTCTGACTTGGTGGGGCGTGTGGTGCACGTGCATGCCACTCACCATTCTGTCGGTCCGGTCGCTGTGACCTTGACCCAGAGCCACGATGTCCCTTCTGTTGTCTAAACTCTTTATTTTTCATCTTTGTAAAGCTCTTGTGGAACTTCTTGTGGAACTCTAGTGGAACTTTTGTGGATGTCTTTTGGAATTTTTTGCGGAACTTTGTTGAACTTTTGTGGAACTTTTGTGGAACTTTTGTGGAACTCTTATGGAACTCTTGTGGAACTTTTGTGAAACTCTTGTGGAACTTTTGTGAAACTCTTGCAAAACTCTTGTAGAAACCTTATGAAGCTCTTGTAGAGGAACTCTTTGGAGCGCTTGTGAAAATCTTGTTGAACTTGTGGAACTCTAGCCTTTTTTCTCACTTCAGATAAAAATTAAATTCTGTGAACCTACATCTTTGTTGCATTTTGGCTTGATCTTGTTACACCTGATAGCCTGAAACTTTGGTCTGGGGATTGGTAGAACGTGTCCATACAACTTCCATCGCCATCTAACAACAAGCTATAGATACAAAAATACCAGTTTAGAAGCATATAACTTTCAATACTTTTATCGCATATATGCTAATAGCAACTTTGGTAAAACAGAACGTATATAGGTGAAAAAATCAATTTATCCTAAATGAATAAGAATATCACAAATGGAAATCTTTTAGTACCGCATTGGGCAGGTGAAGCAGAGTCGACCGTAATTTTATACTGAGCATATGATTTAATTGCGTGATCAATAGCTAGCAGATGTTTGTTAATAATACATTTTTTTTAATTAATAAAATTCGAAATCTGAATCCTGATCTAGATTGTGTTCAGTATAACTTTATTGATTATTCAAAGCAGAAATAAATGTACGTAGCATAATCTTTGTTCACTATTGGAGACTAAAACAAATAGCATCCTTATGAAACATAAACCTATATAACATATGAAACTAAAACATAAACCTATATCCCATATGAAACTAAAACATAAACCTATATCCCATATGAAACTAAAATATAAACCTATATCCCATATGAAGCTAAAACAGAAACCTAGATCACATATAAAACATAAACCTAGATCCCATACGAAACTAAAACATAAACCTATATCCCATATGAAGCTAAAACATAAACCTATATCCCATATGAAACTAAAACATAAACCTAGATCCCATATGAAACTAAAACATAAACCTATATCCCATATGAAACTAAAATATAAACCTATATCCCATATGAAACTAAAATATAAACCTATATCCCATATGAAACTAAAATATAAACCTATATCCCATATGAAGCTAAAACATAAACCTATATCCCATATGAAACTAAAACAGAAACCTAGATCACATATAAAACGTAAACCTAGATCCCATATAAAACATAAACCTAGATCCCATATGAAACTAAAACAGAAACTTAGAGCTCATATGTTATTACGTAACCTGAGCCTTGGAAACAGCTAATTAATAATAATTATTATAATGTCCATTTTAATTAATTGTTTCCCTATATAAAAACCCTATGACAATTACCATTTCAATTAATTGCTACCCTATATAAAACAACAAGTACTTACATACATTGAGCAAGAAATATGAATGTGAAGTTTTACTTACCTTTCCCTGATGCACCTCAGCGAAAACTGTATGTGATCTACTGAGGTCACACCGTTTTCTCATTATATTTACTCGAATACCGAAACAGCTACAGCAATTCCTAGAAATCAACATTGATCGCTCGTCCGATAACCAAGTACTAAGATATCGTCAGGTTTTAAAATAGCGTCAGATTTGTAGAACTGGGTCCAGTTGGGCAGGCAAAGTAGGTCAGTTAAATAATTATTGATAGATAGTTGATCGTGGTAAAAAGTTGAGCGAAACCAAAAGTTGTTGAATATTTGACCTACCTCGATCCTGGAATAGTTGTACACAAGGAAGTAAAACATGTAAATGAATCCTTTAATTACAAATTGGGTGAAAAAGCTCTTGTTACCTGACATTTCAGCCTGATAGTAGGCCTATTGATACATTTAAAGAGGATTGGGGTGGGAGTGGGAAGATGGGGGTTAAAATCTAAATAGCTGGACTTTTTTAGCAAACGTTTCAAGTTTAGCATTGAACGCAGTGAAAGCAAAACAAAAGTTATTAAAAAAAAACAACAAAAGAAAAACAACACCAATAACAGAAGGATTTCAACATAAGCACTTAGATCACTGCCAGTGAAAGGCAGCCATTGCAATACACAAACATGGGTATTTTAGCCATTACACTACACATACAAGCGCCATTATATGCGTACATTAATATAATAGCTATTACAATACACTAACAGCCGCCATTATATGTATTCAAAGGTATATGCCATTAGAATATACATACAGGCGCCATTATATGCATGTACAGGTATAGCCAGCATTACAATACAGGTCGCCCTGCATGTGTACAAATCATATGTGACGCCCACACACTGAACATATTTCTCTGAACTTGTAGCACGCTTTTCTTCGTACAACGAAAATATCTGATGTCGTCATGCGGCTATTTCTGTATTGTAAACAAACAATGCTAGTACAATACATAGAAATGTTGTACTGAGTATGAACCCAGCGGGGCAGTGGAAATGCTGACTTTCAGTATCGCCTGTTGATAACGGTTATCTGTGGGATGAGGGGGGGGGCGCTTTGACAACAAATCAAAGCTTCCATGATCAAATATGTACGATCTCGTGCTCGATAAGTAACATCTGGTGTTGGTCAATGGGAGCTAGTCGGGTCAAAGGTTATCTCTACACACATGCGTGTCTTTAGGGGTAGAGACTAATCGGAATGCTTTTTTATAAAGCATCGAAGAATCAACATATGCTTAGAGACGGAGAATAGGACCCGGTGTTGATATACGTCTCTGTCTCTACAGTAACTATTTCTTTTTTTCTTTTACTTCGTTCTATACCTTTGCATGCATCTATTTAGGCAAAGAAACAGCATTTTATTCAACTCTTTGTCAAAGTTAAGAGTTTTTCAAGGCACTATTAGGAATGAGATAGATAAACAATACATACTAAACAATTATATTTGTGTATTTATTTTTTGCGCAATTGTTTATTTTTAGATTTTATCTAAAACGTATTTACGTGCTGTACATACTGTCATCCAATGAAGTCATCTATATAAGTAGGCTTTCTTTCACTCAGTGATCCGCGATCTTAGTTGAATTACTCACTGGCGTTGCTAGGCCAGGTTTCACCCGGTACAGCATTTCGTGGTGTCATCCCCCCCCCCAAGAAACTATATATATATATATATATATATATATATATATATATATATATATATATATATATATATATATATATCGGCCGCCTACATAGGCTTATAATTTATATATATGCCGCATTCGCGTATATGTATGTTTATCAGCTTTAAGCGCAGCAGACTTAAGAGTAACGATGTTTATCTTTAGTCTGTTAATAATGCAGTTGGATGTAGCATTTCTTTCTTTATAGTTAGCACGTTTACGACATAGTGTCACCACCACCCTCTTGTAATAATTGTCGATTAATACTTTATAGACTCTATAACTTTAATTAATCATAAATTGAGCTGGTAACAGGCCTTTTTCTTCTGTATATTTTTCTATTTTTACCATGGTGTCACCCCCATGAATGGTGTCACCGGGGCGGTCCGCACCCCCCGCCCCGCCCTCGCTACGCCTCTGGAATTACCGACCTTTTTCTCTTTGTTCTAGTAAACTTTTAATTTAGTTTTAATTTGTTTAACAAGTTATAAGGTACTTTTATCTTGAGGAATAAAAGGCAAATGAAATACACATTTTTGTATAGGCTGTGTTTGTAAAACGTTGTAATCGTTTCATACATCTTATTCTTTTTCTGTTAAAATTTTGCTTGAGCTAGTTTAGAAATACTTGCCATTTCGTCCAAAATATTGTCACTAACCTATTTTCATATCAACTAAATTGCATTCACAAATTAAAAAAAAAAAGAGATACATACACACACCTCTAGCAATGCACAAATCATTCGTATATTTACAGTTATTAGGTACCTGCTTTCTTACGTAGATAGCAGACCAAGTAAGATTTAAATTTCTTGATGTTGGGGTAGCTTTGTAAAGATCAGTTGACTTAAACTGTTTCTTTGATGAATAAAGTCACTAAAGGCTATGACATTAGCATTGCAGATTAAAATAACTCAACAAACAATGCACACAGTTAAACGCATTTAAACCAACGACAAAACTGATTTGCTCAGTTAAGCTTCGTCGTTCACCTGGAATTATTGCTGTTCAACATGGTCGACAAGGATTTATTAAGCTATCACGTTGCGAAAGAATCTCTGTCTTTTTGTTTGAAAAGATTTCTCTGAGAAAGTAGTGTGTGAAGGGAGGGAAAATTAATCTCCATTTCAAGTGCGAACCATCTTTGATAAACAAGTGGAATGCCAACAAAAATAACAACCCCCCCCCCCCCCCACAAATTTAAGATTGGAGTGTCCGTTGTTCTAAAAGTGGTTAGCGGTGTGTGTGTGGGGGGGGGGGTGTCTAGATTTACTGGTATATTTCTAAATTATTTTTTAGTAAAGATAGGAGGAGGGGTTGGTTTGTGGTGAACAGATTATTAGCATTTCGGCTTAAGAGCGAAAATTGATAATACATTTTCGTATGAATATAAAAATAATTTGTCATATGAAAAAAAAAATAGTGGTTCAAAGGCGTATTTTGTAATTTTAAAAGTTAAAGAGTACATCAAATCATATAGGGAGAATCGTATTAAATCGCATATATATATATATATATGTATATATATATATATATATATATATATATATATATATATATATATATATATATATATATATATATATATATATATATATATATATATATATAGATAAATGCATGTATAAATAATAAATATGTATGTAAGTAAATGATTTTAATGTAGCCATCAATTCTATTCAATTTGCAGAATGGGTCTTTCAACAATAAACTTTCACTTATAGGCCCGCGAAGTCCTCTCATCCGGCCCGCGGAGATCTTTTCGTCTAAGGAAAAATCGTTTGTTAGTGATGGTTGAGAAACTTTGTCCAGAAAAATCAAAGACATGCTTGGAAGAAATTGGCCCCCGAACTGAAATTTGATAGTTAATGCTGCCCTGGGACTGAAAAGTTTGGAGACCCCTGGGCTATAGCAACCAGTAACATCTTTCCTAACTAACGGTATAAATAGCAACATTTTCTTTCCTGTCATTGGCTTAGAAGCGATCAATTATTAATAGTAAGCCGCCATTTTAAATATGGAAATCTGGTCTAGTCTAGTTCTAAAGTGTTTTGATATATCAGTTAAAGAGTATTTTGTTGTTGCTTGCATTCGACTTTTAAACATATAAACTAATTTTAATACCTATATGTCATAAGATAGTTTATTATATGGAATAGAAGGTAATTGCGACTAGCAAGTGTTTTATTTTTTATTAGAAGCGACAAGTGAAACCTTCCGTATTCCAGAAACACGGCTAAGGCTGTTAGGTAATAAATATTAACATTTTGTGCCATTAAAATAAAAATATAAACAAGTATTAAACTTTAGTAACACAAAAGGTAAGTAAAACGAATAAAACACTATTAATAAAACGCAGCTGTAGACCAATCCCCTAATAATAATATTATTCATATTATGAATATTTGTAATTTCGGGAAAATCCATAGTTACTATTTCAAAATGGCGTCTTAGAACTCTTGAAGGGCGAACATGTCAAAGTTTGTTTTTATGTAGATTTTAATGATATGAAGAATTTGGAGACAACAAATAGACATTTATTATAATAATTCTAAAATTATCACTTGATAACGCACAATAACAATACGCGCTATGATTTACATATACAACTAGCGTGATTAAAAAAAATAACCCTTCCACTAGATCTAATATTAATAAACTTGAATTGCACAAAGTAATATTAATTTTGTTACTATTACAATTTTTTCAGCTAGTATTATGAAGTTGTCATATTAAATTACTTTGTAATTCCTTTCTTTGAAACAATGAACAAAGCAAATTTATTAAGGATATTGTTAGCGGAAGTCAAAACTGTGTATACTAGCTCTTGTCCAAAACAACCCATATTCTTTTACATATAGTCGATTTTCGAAATAAAGATTCGGTGACAATTATGTGTTTTAAATATCATTACAATGTTTTTGACAAAGAGCTAGATTTTAGTGTTCTGTTGTATAAAATGTTGTTCTTTATAAAATTACCCTAATTTAATTTATTTTATATTCATACATTAAAGATATTAAACAAACACTTATAATGAATTCTAGTACTACATGTAATTTTCAGTAAAAAAATAAAATAAATCTGCGTCAAATGTATTCTATACATGAAAATAAAATTTAAAAAATGCATACAAATCAAATCGTTTTAATAACAAGTTTTAATAATAATGCTTATTAAGAAGAAATTAATGATTTTCTTCAAATATATAACAAAACACTATTATTTAAATAACTATACCTGTACTAATATTTAGAAAGAGACCCACACCTTTATTTTTAGTTATTTAAATAGTAGTTAATTGTTATATTTAATGAAAATAATTTTTTTCGCCTTTTAGAACATTATAACATAAAAGCTTATTATTAAAACGTTATTTAGGCGTTTTTTCAGTAGGCTACTTAAATTGTTTTAATTATATTTTAATACAATAGAGCGTCATGACTAAAAATCATTGCGCACCTAATGAGCAAAATAGTAGAAGATAATAGTGCGGAATAGTAGTAGAAGACAGACACCCTTCTACTAATTTGAGAATTTTAAAATTAATTAATTAAAATTAATTAGTCATCCAATTAAGTCAAATTTGATGTCAGATTGCATTGTCATCGGATTTTGACCCAGGTGCCGAATTTCAGAGACATTGCTGCTCGATATGTTACTCGTCCATTTCGATCTAGACAGACAGATAGATATAAAGAAAATACAGACATGGCTAGGAAGCAAGTTAAATAAAAGCTTGTAAAAAAAGAAGAGGATAAGAAATTAAATATGGCTGAAGAAAATCGACCTCATTAGAAGTTGATTGTTCATTGCAAATTTTTGAATTAAATGAAATCCATAATGAATAGCTATTTCCTTACTTTACTATAAGAAATATTAATAAAAATACAATTCTTAAATGTCAAATGGTTAAATCAATACTGTCATCTAATTAATGTTTTTTTCTCCCTGCAGAATAACCTCAACATGCGAGTAGCTGTGATTACAGTAAATTATGTGCAAGTATATTTCAAATAAAACACTCTCCCCGGAGCTAACAATTAAGGTAAGCTATAATTTTCATTGATACTTGTAATTGAACTGAAGATCAGTTTCTAAAAAAAATCGATTTAGTTTTAAATTGTTATTTTAACATTTAATAAAGTATCTGATATCTTATAACAGATCAATAGTTACTTTTTCTTCGTCTATTACATATTTAAACTGTCTATGTATCGATGTCTCGATATGAGGTTTTTTAATCTGTATCTATATCTATCAATCTATTTAATGTGGTAAGTTTAACCGTACCGTCATATATATATATATATATATATATATATATATATATATATATATATATATATTTCATTTATTATTTAAAGCGTAGTGAAAGTGATGGGTGTTATCAAGCATATTCAAGTATACTTAAGGTAAGTTACACTTAAACTGTAGGGTGTTGTGAAAGTCCTCTTTCTCTTCATCTGTTGCAGCATTTGCGGTTGCATAGCACTGAATTAAAGTTGTTTTCCTTCACTTTTCCTTCTCATTTGTTTGTCGAACTGGGCATTATCTGCTGCTTTCATGTAGGGTTCTGATGTTCCAGGTCTCTAATCTGGTTTTAGTCTTGGGCGTTATGAGATTTTTCAGCAGACTAGCTTCGTGGGGCGTTCCCTAGTAGGCATCATGAGCACTATTCTAAAGACGAACTCCTCGACCAAGTGGAAGTTGGGTGTACTTGCGGTTTCTGTAGCGGTACTATTGCTAACTTTGATGTGTCCCCTACCCAAGCAGATCTTCCCAGCTTGATTGAACCTGCCAGGAGTTTACACTCTCGCTGGTGTAGCTCTGGGGTCGTTGGGATACACAAGCTGCCAAATATATATATATACATACATATATATATATATATATATATATATATATATATATATATATATATATATATATATATGTATATATATATATATATATATATATATATATATATATATATATATATATATATATATATATATATATATATATATATATATATATATATATATATATATATACATATATACTAGGCGTTGGTACCCGTTACACTTGAATTATCGGTCTATATATTTTTAATGGTATACATTTTTTAGAAGAATATTTTATAAAATAGTTATTGGTGCTTTCCTACAGGTATAACGATATTAGTGATAAAGCAAAGAGATAACTAAATAGCTAAAAGTCCGACACATTTAAAATAACAGAGGCTACTAATACCTATTAAAAAAAATAAAACCAAATTATATACATAATTAGTCAACACAACAACATATTAAATGCACACATTGATTAAAAGACTTAAATGACTCCGTTAAAAACCCGGCTTTTCAATGGTATTTATGTTGTTTTTTCAAGTAGTTTGTATTAGTTTTGGCCGAGGAAATTGTATAAATAGATCTAAATCAAATTTTAATGAAATAGTTCATTTATTAGTATTCTAAAATTGGAAGATGACGCCATTGGTTTTGTGTACTTTCCGGCCTTTCAAACATATGACATGTGACGTCATCGATTTCGGCGTTCTTATCCCAACTATAAACACTTTTCTGGTTGCATAATTAAAACTGTTTTTCTACATTCGAACACGCCTTTATTATTTTTAATTTTTCTTCTTTAAACAAAAGTCCGTATCAAGTTCTCCTTATATCGCTGAAGATTCTGATGTGATACCCTGCGAAAATATTTTGCGGACAGGAGTGTGCACATGGTCTTTTATATATTAGGATATATATATATATATATATATATATATATATATATATATATATATATATATATATATATATATATATATTAGGTTAAAGCTTTTTCACAATGGTATTGTTTTTTTTTACTTTCGTTCTATTTTAGAACTTCACAGAAAATGGTCATTATATTAAATTGACAGAGATAGTCTATGATATTCCAACGTTTGTTCAACAGGTTTGTTGCTATTTGTAGCTCTATTTTATAAAAAAAAAATAGGAATGGAACATTTTCTTTTCCTTTTGTTCTTTTTGTTGAAATATAAAAGCTCTAAAGATGTCTTAAACATATATTTATTACACACTTTGCTTTGTTTAGCGTTATGAGAAATCATAATAATTAATCGAGTTATTATATTATTGTTAGTTAAATCATAATTTTTCAGTACACTATTTACTTTATTACATTGTTACCAAATTGAGACTTGTTAGTTATAACATGCTATTTAACTTATAAAATATTATTATACTCATTAAAGTTACGGAATATTTCGTAGTTTTGATTTAAGATTGCTTTTGAAGTTTACACAATGTAATACAATATATGCTTGCATCTGTTTTTTTTAAATTTTGCATGAAAGTTTAAAAGTTTGTAGCTTATTAGAAGTATTGTGTAACTTAATGAAACGCTTATAATTATTTATAGATTTCGGAGTTCATAAAAACTGGAAATTACGCAGAGCTTGAAAATAAATTAGACAAGGTATGACTACTATGACATTGTAGTGATAATTTTCATTTTTAATATGGAGTGAGAAATAGACAGATGATTTATACTATATTGTTTATATATATATGTATTCTACTTAAATACGAATTTCTTATTTATTTTTATCATACTGGACCAGATTATAGAGTTTCTTTCGGAAGCCAATGCTGTCTGCAAATTCACACAAAACACAAACCTGTGTCAGGAAATCGAACAGACTCTTGGGGTATCTTATAGTGTAATGTGCTGTAGTTATCGCTAAGTGCCACTTACAGTTTTTCTCATTCTTATGAAAGTTACTGAATTTTTATTTTGTCATACATTTTGTTTAGAAAAATAAACAGTTCTAGTACTTTTAGAGGGTGTACTTTACTTATCGCAAAAGAAGTTTAACTTAAAAATAACATACAATCTTTATTCAATAACTTTTATCCAGTCATAGTGTTTTTTTTTCATTGAATTTCTCGACACTATTTGTTCATAACATTTGCATTCCTCCATCTGGTAATCCAGTAGTTAAGTTACTGTTAATAGACTCAGAACCTCTGCTTTCATAAATTTTTTATTAAACTTTTACCATATACATACACCTTTGAATATCATTCAGAACTAGATAAATAAAAAACCTTGTAACAAATTGATTGTTTTTCAATACATTTACGCTGTTACAAACATTTAGCAGCATACACCCATTTCTAATGGAAATATAACCTTAGTGGCATGTTTCTATGAAAGAATAAATAGCAAGTTTCTTCATTATGTTTTCAGATAATTAAAATATTAAAACGAACGAGCCGGCCCGCGGCATAACATACGCCGCTATTTAGTTATTTCTAATTTTCAATAATTCATAATTTGTGAATTCAACAGTACCAACGCTGACACTGAAAATATTTCTTTAAAACACTATAAGTAGCTCGTTAAGGACCATAACCCCCCCCCCCCTTCCTCCCCCCCTCCCCCCCCCCCCCTACGTTTAAAATCGTTGGCTCTGCTTGTAAACATTTAGAGTGAACACAGCTCACTAAAACGATGTAGGGGTGGGGAGGTAGGGAGAGCGTTTGCAGCTTGTTTTCTAACGGCTCGAAGAGGAGAATTATATATATAGATAGCAGAGGAATCAAAAAGAAACAATATTTATAAAGGATCAGATACAAAATTTAAGGCAAGTTGATATTTTTTTCAACATTCAAATTCCTATTGTTATGTTACTGTTAAGTAAGTCAGTGTTCGTTAAAGCATTCCTCTACATTTATTGTATACGATTTAACGGAGCTAAATATGGGTAGAACGAATATATCCTTTAAAAGTTTTAAACATTTAAAAATATTTGATATCATTAAAAAATTGTAATATTCGAAAATGTTTAAATAAGGTAACTAAACTTCCCACGCAGACCCTCATTATGACAGCTGTTTTAAGAACAATTTCAAAACTTGGGATGTCATTAAACCACTATTTTACGGTCTTCACATTTCTTCAATTAATGCTGGACTTTTTGTTGTTGTTGCTAGATATGCTTCATTCATTTAAAAATGTTCTTGCCAAATTAAAAGTATCAGAAATAAAGAAAAATAATCTAAAGCATCTCTAATTATTAATGAATAGAAAACCATTTCATGTCTAAATTTTGCAGTTCTGCAAATACACATGCGCATTTTTGTTGATTTAGTCTGGATGTCTGTGTCAAACAATAAAAACATGATGGTTATATTAAGGAGAGGATATTTGTTATTAACATGCATTTTGACTTGCTTTAAAATGTTTTCAGAAAATTATATGCAATTTAAAAATAATTACTCAATTAGGTTACTGGATTCCCGTAAGATAGAATCTAGTTAAAATTAATGTATCGTGCAATGTAAACAAAATCTTTAAAGATTGGTTGCCACGTGAGTTCTTTCTGATGTTAGCTATATTCTCATCATTTCTCAATCATTTCTCTAACAGCCATTTGTTATATCTTTGTTTATTTCTTTGTTCTGAAAATGTAGCCTACTCCTAAACGTTTTGATGAAACTTGTGTTGATGATAAGACATCCTGCGATTCAAAAGAAGTAAAGGAACTAAACGGTAAGGTAAAATAGTCGAAAGTGGTTTTAATTCTTAGTACAATATTTGGTTTAAGCAGACAACAGCATATATGTTGTAATAACAAATATCATATTATAGGAGGAAGTAATCGTAACATTTTTAAACATAATAGATGATTGAAGAGTTAGCATCACAACACAACTTTCCAAACTAGTGTAATTATGTATTGTCATAAAGATGTGCTTAAATAAAGCAGGAGTGATCTCCCCTAAACATTCTCGAATATTCTTTTATAACACTACGGGGGTATGGCAACTCGGGATATAGACATGATTTTAATCGATTTAAAAATTACTTAAGCTTTAAAATTAGAATATAATCTCGTAGAAAAAAAGAATTACACACCACGTGAACGGCAAATAATATCTGTATAATAGATTTTTTACTTATAGATCTTTTACTTATATGTGAAAATTTCGTCTATCTATATGAAACAGTACTCATTTTATAGGCTTTTGAAAAACCAAAAGTAGAATAAGTTCCACTTCCGGCTACCGGATTTCCCTGAATAGTTAATACAGAACTACACATTTGATATAATACGTAGGCCTATATATTAAATTGCATCAACCTAGCTGTAACGGTACTCACGTTATCGTGTTTACAGACATACACACACACACACACACATGGACGGAATTGCAAAACCCAGTTTTTTCGACTCGATTAAGCATAAAAAAACCGAAATTTTGATGAATTTGGATTTATACTTTTTGTCCGATTAAAAGAAGTCCGTATACTCCGTACAAGATGAAGTACTGGGGTATAAAACTGTGAAAACTGTAAACATTTCTTGTGATTTTTGTGCACAATTACAATATTAACTTCCTCTATTCTCTTTATACGAGAAAGTAAAAACTGCATTAAACTTTATGTAAGATATTTTAAAATATTCAGTCATAAGCGATTTTTAAATTCTGATTTAATTGTAAAGTGCAATATAAAGTCAACAAATAAAACAGTTTTGCAACGAAACGCTATCGACGAGAAGTAGATAATTCTAGATAGTTCCTACCAATTTTCGCATACAATAATTTCTAATCAATACCAAAATGAAATTAAATATTATTTCCGTGTTCGAGTCGGTAAAGCTCATGATTGCTAAACCGAAAAGTCTCGAGTTCGAAACCTCGGGCAGATGAGGCTCGACAGTTGGGGACAGCCTCTCTTCTAGGAGAGACAATTCCAAAATCAAACAACTGCTCCCTTGTAGTTTGTTCTGGGTTGGACAAAGGAAGCAAATCCAAAAAAGCAGGCGCAGAACAAGCTGACACATAATACTTAATTGTGTTCAAAACACTAGCATTAAAAATAGAAAAACAAAACATGAACAATTATTTCGACCAATGGAATGGGGTTAGTATAATTTAATACAATTTTTTTTAAAGTTGTTTTTAAGGCTTACGTTAGTGTAAAATTTTAAATTTAAAGAGGAGTAAAACTTTTCTTCTTACTATTATTATTTTTCTGGCTTCCTTGATTGTCATGGACGGTTTATTTCAAATCTAGAATGGATTTATTACATAAATAAACGTACATCAAACATTTAATTGTTAATACAATTGCATAAAACATTATAAAACTTTATTAGTAGACGACAGACAAGATAAATCAGATGGATTAAGTACATCAGATCCTGCTGTAGATGTAAAAACTCAACTTAATCAGCGCGACCATTCAATGCCAGGTAAATTAACACATTGACCTTTTTATGATGGACCTGCTTCAGACAAAATATCTCTAATATTAAACTATCTCTGTCTATAAAATTGTCTTTGAAATATTCGGTCTCTGTGTTATTTTATCTTCAGAAATTTTGTGTGCAATATTTCCCCCTTATTATTGTGTTGGTATCTATATTTAAATTATTTATTAGCGTTGTTTATCGGAGGCTGTGATATTCATTGATCCATGTATTCGTCACCTAATTATTTAGTGTCATCCTAGAATACTACCTTTATAATTTTTTAAACATTTGAAGCCACGTATATAAAAGAATATATATGGATGCTAATTAATTTATTCGACTCCTTTATTTTGCAGAATATTCCAAACATAAAGAGTTATTTAATAAACTTTTAAAAAGTCTTCAAGAATGTGCCTCTGCCAATTCAGATGACGCAAACGAATTAGCAGAAATAGTTCTGAAGGCTGCATATAACGCTAAAGTGCATGGTGAACCATTCTCTGAAGAGGAGCGTAAAGTAATAGGACCACTGGTAAAACAGTGTATCGACAAACTAGGCGACTGTGTATTTTATAATGGATATTCATTTGATATAGACAATGGACCTTACATCTTAGTCTTAAGGTCTGCTATTCAAATAATTTTAGATAATTACAAACATTTTCCTTGTGGAGAAAACAAAACCTTGGAGACAGTTTTTATAAATTCAGATATTAACGAATCAATAGAAACACTAGATGAAGGTATAAATGACTGGAAAAAATCATTGAATGTCTTAAGCTACGACAATGTCATTCATACTAAACAAGAACTAACTCGACCTAAAGATTTGCCAGAAACACATACGTGGTGGTTTTATAATTAAGAATAGATAATAGACTAATTTCACAACACGCTGTTAAAAGGAAAATTTCTTAACAGCCACACAAAATCATTCTTTTCATTACAAAAAATGCAATATTTCAATATATTTTATTTTTAATCAAATACTAATTCCATACTGTTCCAAAAATATTTTAAACTTATAAACAATTATTGATTTTGATATAAAACAGGGACTTTAAATAATTTAGGTAATATATAATGTTACACAACATTTTAAAATAATGTTTTTGCATTATTTTTTAAATACAACAATTATCAATTAAAATTCTTGTTTTCAAAAATATACTGAATAATTTTGAAAATGTGTAGCATTTGGGAGAGGAGAGCTGAATCTATTCATGAACAGTTGGCTAATAACCACGGAAAACATGAATTTAAAATAGAGGCTCAGGATAAAGAATTGCTTTCGGATCATTTAACTTTTTTATTAACTGCGGACACTGAATTAATACCTAGTGAAAATGATAAAAAGGTCATCGAAGATATAATTGACATTATTAAGAAGAAAGAAGGCGTTGATGATGCATGTGATACTTATGTGTTGCTGATTTGCACATGTATAGATATTGATGGATCAGGATGTGCTTTAATGCCATTAATTGGGTATAGAAAAAATACATATATCAGCTTCATTGACCACACGGCAAAATCCTATGAAACATGGGATAGTTTTCAAAAGGATAACGCATGGAAAGGCTTTTCAATTTGCTTACCTAAGGATGGGAAATATAAAAAGGGTGAAAGTTTATGTTACCTTAAATCTGTAGCAAAAGAAAATGTCCAATCGTACGACTGTTTTAAAAAAGAACTTGATAAACTAAGTTTTGATCCGGACAATCTGAAACATTCAGCTTTTATTGAAAACAACTTTTTGAAGTTTTTCGAGTGGTTTTGTAAAATCTTCACAGATAGTGAAATAAAACAGTATAAAGAGACACTGCGATTTTCATTTTATTTAAATTCTCTTAAAACTGAGACAAGTAAATACATTGAGTGCGTTAGCAGAGAATTTAATTTCGGCAAAAGAGATATTTTAAATTTGCTGCTGGAGGGTTTTAAAGAGATAACTGGAAAAAGACGAGAGTATCTCGGTAATGCATACTTTATAAGAAATATATTTAGCATACTTATTGTGAGCAAAAACCTAGATTATTTGCAACTGTATAACAATAATCAGCTACAAATTACAACAAATAATCTGACATTACATGCCAAAGCTCTGGTACAACTGAGTGATGAAAAGCTCTTTAGCATCTTTGTAGAAGTCCCCACACATGAAGAAGATGTAGAATATTACGGTGAATTAAAAAACCTCCGTTTCAAATTAAACTCACAAAGACAAAATGAATTGAAGCGTATTTGCAAGGCGCTTGGTGTTAGTAATATTCATGAGTTTAAGCTAAATGGTCAAATTATATTTAAAGAAATTGAACCGATTCAAATTGATTCCCTCTTTAGTGTTATGCTTCGCGCATGTCACAAGTTTAATGCAATGTATATAGAAATAGGTATTTGTTTCGCATCTAAAATAAAATGTGAAAATATATATGATCTATGTGCAGCTTTTGAATATATAACCAAAACTCTTGATAAAAATGAAAGTAGGAAATTAAGGAAGCTCAAAAAAGAAAAAGATGAATTGAGAAGAAAAGATATAGAGAAGGAAATAGTAGAAAATTTTAAGCCGCACTTAGAAAAACATACAAAGACTTTCGAAGAGAAGATAGAAAAATGGAAGTATCTGGCTCAAACTGGAGAGTTGAATTTTGTTCGGCCAATAACTGCTGCATATCATTACATCAAACACAATAAAGTTAAAAAAACAAATGCCCTACTATCAGAAGAAGAATATATTGCCTTAGCCAGACGCCTGGTATCAAAACGTGATATTGCTTTTACCTGGACTCAGGACGGCTCGTCCAAATGTTTCAACATTACTGATGATGAACATTGTGCCAAAGCAGTAATGTATGAAAAAGTAGATGGTTCATCAGCTGTTATCGCTACTTTGTTCTTTTCAGAGCCGAAGTAATCAGTTCTAATATAACTTTGTTATGATACTAAACAACTATCAGTTAATATCACAATATTAAAGTAATGCATATTGATATGTTTATCTATTTCGCATTGAAATTACATTGTGAACATGTATATTACGTGTGTGTGTGTAGTTGCAGTGAGGGTGTACACATGTTACACTTAGTGGCGGGGTTGTATCTTCATTTGTTTAATTTTTATTCAAAGGTAATAGATGTAGCTTAATATAGCGTTAGTTTGCGATGAATTGTGGTTTTGTTGTATAAAGTAGTGCAATAGTACAATCGGTACATTTTTATAAATTAATTTAGATATGTCATGATTTAGATATGTTTTATATGACTTACTATTACTAGTATTAGCATTGTTTTTTCCCCCTAAGTATTGTTAGTTTTTTAAAGAATTTGTTTTATCTGGTACTATATTTTGGGTATAGTTGGGTGTACATTGGTTGAATACGCAGTAGAGCAGGCCTTTTTCGCTGTGTGCGACGAGACAAAAGCTGCAGTGTGTGTGGACAATTGTTGAAGAAATGAGTCGCTTTCTTTAATGTTGAACTGTGTGTCTGATAAAGTGGACAAGTTTCATTTTGTTTTATTTTTGTAACCTTTAGTATTGAACGAGAGTAATTATTACGTTAAGTCGAGTCCTGTGTCTATAGGCCTAGTAATTTAAGGCCACATATAATTTTTGTTGTTGTTGTAAAATGCGAAACTCGTTAATTTTTGCTATTAATTTTTTACATTTTTAGGCCTCCACTATAGTGATAATGTATTACTATGATAGGTGGCAACATTGCTTTACACATTTATCTTCAATTTCTTAATTACTATTTAATTTTATTGCATGCACTTAGAGCTTTTTGAAAGTGAATATTTATTTAAGCATTTGAACATCGCGGATATTTTCTATCAATGAAATGTGAACTTCTTATTTCATCCTTAACATTATATATTTATATTTACATTTTTAAAAATTCTGAAGTTATTTTTTAAATCTCAACCTGTGTTATCCTTTTGGATTTTATACACTATAAGAGTTGATTTTAGTAGTAGTATATTACTCCCTTGATGGCTGAATTGAATTTAAACGTGTACATTTCTTTATCATATTTTAAATATACTCATTTAATTTCTAATGATTTCCTTTTATCTGCTTCTATATTTTCAGACCACACAACATTTTACTTGGGTGTTTTGGTTTTAGATGTGCGTGTAGTGAATACGTTGTTTTGTTAAACATTTAGATTTGGAAACTATGTTTTCACATTTAATAAATTTTATTGATATTTAATTATGAGAGATTAAAAAAAAAATGTAGTATTACATAATAGTTGATCAAAATAGATTTAAACCAGTACTGGTGTTTGAAAGCTTAGTTTATGCTAACAGTTTATGTTTCTTGAAAATGTATCAACAGAAAGTGCTACAGCATTAAATTGCTTTAACAAAAAACAACTATGAACAATGGTTCGATCAATGGGCTTTAAGAAATCTCGCTTTTATTCCAAACAATTGTATGCATTACTTGGAATGGTTTTGTAAAGATTTCCTTTTTTTACATGCATGCTTTGGGAGAAGAGGCAGAATCGGATTTAAATTTTATGAAAACAGAATTCAGCTGTGGCTGAAAAAAAAATTGTATGTGTTGTTGGAGGGATTTAAAGAGATCACCGGGAAAAGACGAGAATACCTCGGTAACGCTTACCTTATTAAAATGTTTAGCATGCTAATTGTGAATTTAAAAATCCGGATAATTTACAGCTATACAACGAACATCAGCTAGGAATAAAAACAAATACTTTGAAATTACGTGCCGAAGCTATTACAAAACTGAATTAATATGAATTAGCCCTGATCTTTAAAGAAGTTCTATAAATGAAGATGTAGAATATTACGATCAATTGAAAAGTCGGCGCTTTAAATTAAAGTCCAAGAGAGAAAAAGAATAGCAATACAAATGCACAGCTCTATATGTTCTGAAGATCCAAGAAATTAAATTTAATGGTGAATTAAGTTTTTAAAGTCTTGAAAACAACTGAAATATATTCACTCTTTAGCGTAATGCCGTAACTTTGTCACAAATTTAAACTATTGTATATTGATAAAAGAGTTTGTTTTGCAGAAAAAAAGGTAAATCGTGAACATGGTTTTGATACGCGTTTAATTACATTACTAGAGTGCTTGATGAAATTGAAAATTAAAACTTGAGAACTTGAAAATGTAAAGATATATGTAAGAAATCTAAAATGGAAAAGGATATTTTTGATAAATTCAAACAATGTATAGAAGAAAAACGTTACAAAATTTAATGAGTAGATACGGCTATGAAAGTTCTAAACAGTTATATGAATTGCTTAAAGCCCAAACAGGTTGATGAATATGTCATTTATCAAATTCAGCGCACAGTACCACCTGGTTTGGGCATGCGTGTCGCGGTCCTTCACTAGACCACGCCGTCCTCACATATTCATCGGATGACTTTGGAGAATATTGTTTAATAAAATTGTTTTTCATTTTACATACAAATACAATTTAAGCACGTCTATGTCAAAATATAGAAAAAAAACAACAACAAAAGAATAAAAATTTTTAAAACCAACTACACTAAACAACACACAGACACACATGCATGCACACACAATCTTAAAAGAAACGTGCTTATTCTACTTAATACAAGCCTTTGCTTTTTGTTTAAATAAATAAATACATGAGCATGGGAGTTTAGTACCATACTGCGTGGATAATTAAGTATTAAAATATAAGCACAATCATTGAAAGAAAGCTAAAAATATAAAACACTAATCTATAACATTGCCATTTCATAATAAACACATACATCGAGTTGAAATCTTAAACATAATAAAAACTCTATTTTTATATAAAAACGTAAAAGTACCCTTAAGGTCGCTGGGAAGTAGAGTTCAGCTGTAGTTGTTACTTCTGGGATAGTGTTGCTACTTATATGCAAATGAGCTGAGTTATTGTAGGTGGCTGGGTTATTTAAGTGCAGTGAATGGTTGTTGTATGTGAGTGGAAGTAGTGATGTAGTTATTTGGGGCGAATGTTTTCCTGAGTTTAAAGTAACTTCGTCGATGTTTTGTTTGTTTGCTTATATTTTACTTTACTTTTATTATAATGTTTTTTTCGTATCTCGCTCGCGCTGTCGTTAAATAATTTTGTTGCATTTTGAATGCCGCACAAAATTGGTCAAACTCCTGTCATTCTAATCTTTCAGCAAATGTTGTCCCCAGCTGAATGAAATAACCATCAGATTTACTTGTGTGTTTTTTGCATGCCGGTAATTATAAATTTATTTCAACTTTCAGTGCCTTTTTTATATTTATTTCTGCTTCAAAAATAAATTTCTTTTTTAAATTGAAAGCTATATGTTTCAGTAAATCTTAAAAGCCTTTATCTAGAGTTTGTCTTTCTGCTATTTCTTAAATTACTTTCACGATATCCTTTGTTATAATTAATCTTCAAACCTCTTAATGACACACTAATAAAAATGATAAACTGGTACAGTTACTAAAAAATACGCCTCATAATGGGTAAGTGGCCTTTATTTATTGAGTTTAAAATAAAATAATCAACCGGTGGTAAAAAAAGATTAAGAAAATGTATAATATCAATGGCAGAACGTTAAAATAAATATCTTGGAAGGAAAACATGTAAAAGGATAGGAGATTAAAAAGTAAATATTGTAGGATGCAGGTTATTATACTACACTTTTACAATATATAACAAGCATTCTAAAATACACAAAAAAGTCTCTCTACGTTGTACTAAAAACTCAAATCAAGAATTTTTTTTTGGTTATAAATTGAATTCCGCTCTAATACCACTGAGTGCTATAAAGTTAAGGTTCATGACTGCGAAATAATCAACCCTGTACATTAACTGATGGTTACAATGCTGGTCCCTTACTGACTTAATATTCGCCTTAGAAGAGAATTAACATTTAGGCAAAAGAAACATAAATTGTTAATGCTTACTGACACATTTTCTATTATAAAAGATTGTTCTTGGTAAACATGTTCTTTGGCATGCCATTCAATGTACTTTATCACTGTTTTTGCCGTGTTTACTATTCTATGTAAGTCTTGATGATTTCACACACAACGTTTCACATGCTGGGGAAACTATTTTCCGCAATGTTCGAGTTTTGCTCATTTCATCTTAAACATTAACGAAGCAATCATACATTTCCCATCGGCTCGATCTATCCGGATAGCTGTAGCACCATGGCTTGTGTCTGTCACGTAATATTTCTTGGCGCATCCATCTTGTGACCATACAAATTCTATGTCGTCTTTACACAAAATAGTTCTGGCTATATCTAAATATTCCTTCACTGTAAGCTCCCTTGAAGAATACTCTTCTGCATGTTTCTTATAGTGATAAGCAGCAACCATCAAGTCACAAAAAGCAAGGTTTTCGTTCTTATGTTTGTCACATTCTAACATTAATTCCGTGAAATTGTTGCAGAATTCGTCAATGTGTTCTCGGATAAATTTGTCACCTTCAATCTTTAAGTCGTGGTTTGTCTTTCTGACTCTTGTTTTTTTGTATTCTTCCCGTAACTCGTTGATTTTATCATTTAGTAATTTTGTTGCATATTCTAAAGCCGCAATAAATTGGTCAAAATCTTGGCATTCTAATCTTTCAGCAAAAGTTATCCCCAGCTGAATGAATGTATCATCAGATTTACAGCTGTTTTTTAGTACGCCGTGAAGTCGTATTATTTGGAATTGTTTCAAATTTTCCCATAAAAGTTTATCTTTTAGTAAAAAGTTATTGTAATCTTCTACTTTCAGTAACTTTTTGATATTTACTTCTGCTTTATGAATTTCAATTTTAAATTGAAAACTGTATGTTTTCAATACCTCTTTAAAGTTTTTACCTAGAGTTTTTCTTTCCGCTATTTCTTTACCTGGCTCAAGAATTATGTTTTTTTCATCTTCAGTTAGTTGCACAAACGTCTTAGAGTGAAGTTCGAGTCCACAAGCCAATCCAAATCCTTCATCAGAAAGAGTCAGCTTTTTAAATCGTTCACTGCACTCTAGTATATGTTGGATATCTTTTATGAATAAAGCATTGCCAAGATATTTGCGAGTCTCTCCTGTTACTTCTTTAAATCCTTTAAGCAGCATATCCAACTTTTTAATTTCATCAGGATCTGGAAATTGTTCTTTGATAGAAGTAGTTATGCCTTTTACCACGTTGAAATCGATCATGTATTGGTAAAACCAAAGCCGAATTTTCTGTTTGAATAGTTTTGAACCATTGAGTTTAAAAGTTTTCGAGATGTTTTTAAAATCTTCCACAATCGCATTCTTAAGATCTTCGTGATTGTTTGAAGGTGTATTTTCGCTATCGTAACGCAGTTGAAATTTTTTGTAATTATCTTTTAACTGTGTTTTAAGATAATGAAGATCCTTATCAGACGTGTATTGTCCATTTGAAGGTACATAAAAAGATTTGCACCCTTCATTGCTTTGGCTGATAAAATCATCCCATGATTTGTACTCTCTGCCAGTGTAATCGATAAAACAAGTATTAGCGTCTAATTCCTGTACAAACCTCACCAGAGGTATCAAGACGCCAGGTTGAGCTGATTCTGGTTCAACGTACATAAAAATTAACGAAAAACTCACACTGTCTGTGCTATTATTTATTTGTTTCATACATTTGTCGGTGATTTTTTGGATAATTTCAACTTGTTCCTTAGTAAACGTTGGCTTTGAGTCAGCAAAAAATGAAAATGCTAACTGATCCCAAAGGAATTCTTTTGAAGCCATCGATACAGTCCAGTGATGGTCTTTAAGATAATTCCCTATTGTTTTCTGAATAAATTCAGCATCCTTTTGACTTTGGGTATCCATTTCTGATACAGAAAAATAGGAAGTGAATATCAGTCTCCTACAGTCCACCAAGTATGAGTGGCTGGTACCCCAACAGGTTTTTGTAGCTCTTCTGGTGAATGAGTGATGTTGTAGAAACCACCAATTTCAATATTATTTTTCCAGCTATCAAAACCTTCGTTTAATAATTGAATAGAACTGTATAAGTAAGAATCCTCACTCTCGCATTCAGCTTTAAAAGATTCATCAGCGTCTATCAAAAACTGCAACCCAGATCTTAGAATCAAGTATTTTGGGACGTAGTCGACATCAAACGAGTTGCCGTGGTGATAGATAGTGTTGTCTATAGAATCGCTGCACCGGTTCAGTAGAGTTTTAAAGTTTTGTATTCGAGTAAAATCTATATTCCTTATTCCTAATTTGAAAACGGTCTGGAGCAGGTTCTCTACCTCGCGACGAACCGAATTTTTCTCTCTACATTCTATCAGGCTGTTGATGCAGTTTTTAAATTGTTTCACCAAATCATCTGGAGATAAACTCTCGTCTATTTGATCTGTAAACAAAAAGTAAATAAATAGTCGGTAATTTCAAATGTTTGGGCATGTTGGGTTTTTTCAATAGGTGAGCTTTCATACCCAGGCTTTATAGAGCTTTAAGTTTCTCCTTTTAAATTTATTTATGAGGCAAGAAATCTTCCATTTGGAATAGGAATATTTTTTTCGTTTTAAATGTCGGTATTTAAGAGATAGTCAATTGAATTTATAATTTTTTAAAAATAAATAGGTCTACTCTTCGGATAGGTACCAAAAAGAAAACACATTTTGATTTCAAATTAGTTGAAAAAAATTGCTTGTTCATTTTCTTCTTTCATTTAAATATTTCTAATAAAACAGCCACTATTGTTAAAATTCAATAATAAGAACTTACAGAAAAGATCAAAGAGGTATATGTTCTGAACAATTTTCAGTTTGCAGAAAAGATACAAAACGTAACAATTTTTTAACGTGAAAGTCACAAAATAAAATTTTATTTGACATGCAGCAAAGTTTTAAATTGTTTTAGAATATAGACCATAACCTGGATCTAGTATTAAGACTACATAATTATCTTTAACATGGAGCCGCCATTTTTGTTAATTTTTATGGAAATCTGCATGAAATTATCGTCTTTAGGCTATAAATATTTCAACTTTTAGATAATGCTACCTTATTCTGTCTAGTAATGTAGTTGAAAAGAGGGAGCTCTGTACTCAAACGTTTTGTAAAATAATTACCTTGCATAAAAACTTAAACTCGGACATTTCTAAAATAAAATATGGAGGTGATTTTGGCAAGTAGGACACTTTGTGTTTTGACTAGTTCCTGATACATCAAAACGGGAAAATCTATTTAAACATTTGGTTTCGTATTTTTACAAAAGAAAATAATTTCACGGGTTTAATTATCAAGTATAAAACTTCATAAGGCGAAGCACCCCCCCCCCCCAAAAAAAAAGAGATGCTTGGAACTTATAAACACTGCTACATAGATCTACAATATGTCATAAAACAAGGTGTCTGAAATATATTTTATTGAAAATGTTTAACTAGACGAAGCACTTTAATTTCTTTTAACAAGCCTCTGTGCTTGACTTGCAATATTTGATAAAATTCATTATGACTACTTAAAAATGTTTGACAAAATATTCTTAAACCAAGTTAATTATTATAGATTAAAACCATACCAACATTCACAGCAAAACAAACTTTAAAAATATAAAAAACGGGAATACCCGATATTACCTGTGCAGTAACTTTTCAAGCGCCGGTGTCAGTGCAAACATTTATAGCACACGCTAACTACTTACCCCGGGTAAACTATTTTTACAAGCTTTTATTTAGCTTGAATTCTTGTGCTTTTTGTCTATATTCTTTGTTCTTGTCTCGAAATCGCAAACAAAATTTTACCCACTTTTACCCAGTGTAATTTGACTTAAACTTTTGCATAATTCAATTAAATTAAAAAAAAATGATTAAATAATTCTATATTAAGAATTATTTCACACATTCGGTACGTTCATTTGATACGCAGGCGATTTTAGTTATGTAATTTTAAATTTTTAAATAACAACGTTTATAAAAGCAATCTATTTTAACCATTAAATAATCTAAAAAGAAGAAAATGAAATGATTTTCTCTACATATAAGCTATGCATATTAATAAACCCCCATTTACATAACTATATGGTAAATTCTGCTTCAATCATAGAAACTTTAGCATTGGCATTTAATACATAAAAATTAATTATTGTCCATAAATGACGCTATTTTACTTTTGCGTATTCATATCCTCCACTTCTTGTTATCACACGTTATCATAAAAAAACCAGTCCAGACCTTAATTTAACATCAAAAAGTTCCATCTACCCACTCAACAAACAATAATTATAATGCCAATGCTCACCAATTTACTACAAGAGTAAATCATAATGTGTGCATCTAAGCCCTACCCTGCCTTATTTAGCGAATCGACCCAAACCTATAAACCTGTTCACCCTAGGTTTGTGTCCCCGTGTATACACGACACCTTAAGGAGAATAATGTAATGTAAATTCCATTGAACTCACAGAATAAAGTTAAAAAAAAAAGTTAATAAAAAGTCTAGTGACAATTTAAGCGCAATTTCCTTAATTAATTTTTTAAATTATAAATAAATTAATAGGGTACAAAAATAACGTTTGAATTAATAAGTAAAAAAAAAGACAACTATATTAACCTATATCAACGGAAATAGTTTTATTTTAACGAGTAGGCCTACAAGATGCTCAGTTTAAAAAAGTAGTAAATATCATCCTAGGCCTACACGATGCTCAGTTTAAATGTTCTTAATTAATTTTTTGTAACCGAACAAAAGGATATTTTTGAAAACTTTCTTAGGCAATATTGGTCTAAATTATGACAGGAATCGATTGGTATATGTTTCAAGTCGCTAAGTGGTCTGGTTGCCGAGATATGGCAAAAAATTAAGTGATTTCTTTCTTCACAGTCCATAAAAATGTTTATTAAAAATTCCCTTAAACATACAAAACTAATCGATTATTTCAGTAATAATTGTATCAGATTTTGCTTCTAAGATAAGATATTTTGGGTTTCCACTTTCATGCTTAAAAGAAACACCAACACAAAATGTAAAAAAAAAATTAAAAAAAAAACTAAATGCCCTATCAAACCTAAAGTTCGATGAGGCAAGTGAAGCAGAGTTGACTTGTTCCAGTGACCTATGTACACATGAAAGAGATAGTGTGTTCCGCACTATGCCCAGCCGCCTTTATTTTTACCTCATGTGAGCCACAACACATTATTGGATCTTTTAAAACAGTTAAAGTTTCAAAGTTAATATTTCAATCCACTAGGCCTAAAATGGTAGTTATTGTAAACGTGAACTGCTGTAAAAACGTAACTATTTCTTATTTCTGGATTTCATCAACCACACACAGAACACAAGAATAACAAAACAGTTTTTGTGTGCATACAATCAAATATACACTCATCCTGTTTGGGTAATGGCCGGAGTGTGAGTGGGGATAGAGTGGTGACAGAGAGAATTAAACAGGACATTTTTGTCATATATATATATATATATATATATATATATATATATATATATATATATATATATATATATATATATATATATATATATATATATATATATATATAAGGATTTATGAGAAGGACACACATAGCGACATTTTAACATTCACTTAACTGTTGTGCTTTTTCTTCTTTTTTCAAGTAACTTTTGATCAGATACACGTTAATTAGACGGTATACCATTTAATGTCACACACTGTACTTATTTGTAACGGAAAGAAATTACTTGTATTAAAATTACAGTTAAATTAAACAATAAGCTCAACCATTAAAATAAAAGCTTAAATTGCGGCTTCTAGCTAAATGGTCCCAGTTTCCGTGCAGGTTACCCAAAGAGTCGTTAAATATAGTGTAAAACTGAACTGTTTCATTGTAATTGTATATGATTATTTACCTGTATGATCGAATCATAGTACACAAGTGTTGTGAAATTCGTTGGTAATTAGTCATAGTCCACACTCGTCAGTTTCAACTGAATGGCGTTTTACAGTATGTGTATTTTATCATTTGTATTCAATTACACATTTGACTGATCATTTTATTATCAACTACCATCACCCCCAATAAACTTGTTTTTAATGGTAAAACTTTTATAATTATTCCTCAGATTTATTTATTAAACAATTTTTTTTATAGCTGATGTGATTATTATAAAAATGTATTGTTTCGTTACTCTAATTACATGTACTTTCACTCAAAGATGTTTTAAAATATATAATAGCATTTGAAAACTTTAATATTTATTCATGGTACAATAACTCTTGTGAATATTTTAACCCCATATCTACTGACGGTACTTATACTTTAATTAAGTGCCTGTATTATTTTTAATTTATTACGAATTTTAAAAATTATTGATGTAATTAAATGTATTATCTCCCCTGAGTCGCCGGTAGTTGGAGGGATGGATGTTTTTTGAAAATTTCAATGTCTTGCTCTATCGGTATGTCTTGCTGTATCAATTGTTCTGTACTGATCGCACACACGTTCCTGATTTCCCTTTGTTCTACCTTATTCATCAAGTTTTCAACCCCAAATATTTTTTATTGGCACCTTCAATAGTCAGGCAAATACGTTTAACTTCTAGTTATACAATTTTAATTAAATTGTCTTTGTATTAGCTCGATGTTTACAAGTGGACTTTTAAGTACCGTCAGGGCACACGATAATTTTTTTTTTAGGATTTCTAGGAAATAGCAGATTTTCGATGTGGAGTGACATAAATATTATAATATATTATAATCGAAATGTAATTAAAAAAATGATATTTTGACATTGATAAGAAGGTTAGCATATGGTTTACCTAAGAAATATTGTAAGTACATGTTGATTTCTAGTAAGAAAAGAATAACAAGAATAAAGGTAGCTGTTGCAGGCTCGTTTACTAGGTGTAGTATACTTTATTCGTATACCAAAGTGTAGTTCTTGTAGTAAGATGTGTTAGTTTTATTTGCTGCAAAAAACTGTCTTGCCTACAATAACTAGCATGTACGTAATGTATACCTGTAGACTAGTAATGGTCCATACTTCTGCATATAATATAGATCTCTATGGTAAATGTTAATCAGTAAACAGGAAACAGTAGGCTACTACGGCAAATCAAACACAATGAGCTTACTTCTATTTATGAACTTTACACTGTAGTGTAGACTTGTTATAACATTCTAGTAGTCTACAATTATACTAGTATTATTAGAAGTTTTGTACTGAACGACTAGGCTTTTGTTTTCAAAATATTTGTTTATTCGGCTCATTGTAACAGCAAAAGTGGGTTCAGTCCGACATCTGTTGCTACAGCAGAAAGACCACAGATAAAAATGTATTGATGACATGTCGGCACCTTTTGCTGTGTTTGAGGTCTAAGATGTTTTCCAAGTAGAAAATCCAGTAAAAATCGTACTCAAAGTATACTTTTGTGCTGTGTTTAAAAAAAAGTTCCCTTTTTCAAACCTGACGGTCTATAGGGCAAGTGAAGTAGAGCTCACTTGTTTCTATGACCTCGGCATATGAAGGGATAGTGTGGTCAGCACTATGCCCAGCCACTTTTACTTTCCCTAATGTGAGTTTGATACCCATCAGAGTTGGGTGGACTCAGCGACGGTCTACTGACTTGAACCAGGATTCGAACTCGAGACTTACGGGTTAGCAGTCCAGCTCTCTACAACTAGACCACTCCGTCCCATTGTGCTGTGTTTATGTGTGAACATTACAAAGAAAATGATTGTTATAATGATAGACATGTTATAGTTAATAAATTGTATCGTTTGTTCCTGTTTGTAAATTTTTTATTTTTTGGGAAAAAATGTCCTACATTCCTGACGGTACTTTTTGAGTACCAATATATGTTTGGACAATTAACAATTTATGAAAAAAAAAGTATTTTAACATATGCTTTACGTGTGCCAAAAGCAATATGATAACATTGTTTAAGAAAAAAAATTCATTCAGAACCTAATTCCGTAAATAAAGGGTTAAAAGAAAAACAAACATAAAATAATGTATGCCATACATTAACTCTACAACTAGAAGTGAAAGTAACGCTACTTATTATTGATGTACATTTAATAAATCAAAATTGTCAGGGCATTTTTCTTAAAAGTATGTTTGCATTCAGACGCCACTTTATAGTCGCTCCCACAAAATTTTAAATTAAAATATATGTAATAAGAAAATTGAATATCTATACAAAATCGATTAAAAATATGTTGCCTGCAAAACAAAGCTTTTTATGCAGTTGTTTTCCTTGTAATGCAAACTCTAGATACCAAAATTACTTGATCCCTCCGACAGATTCGAAATCTTGTCAAGTGTTACGAGGTTCACTTGTCACTCAAGTCACAAACAGGTTGACAGTGACATGATCTGTTACGATGGGCATACAACAATATTTATTACAATTTCATGATTAATGTCGCTATCAAGCGAGTTCCATCATCCTTGTCTATACGAATGGCGTGAAATTTCTCATCGCGATATTCATACCGCTTGACTGTACCATCCTGGGACCAGGTAAACTCCAAATCTTTGGTCGACAAAACCTCTCTGGCTATTTCAAAATATTGTTTCAGCTCTCTTTCCGATTCCTCAGTGGATGTATAATGTTTAGCGTGTTTTCTAAAATGATAAGCAGCCAGCTTCGAGCAACCAAAGTTTAGACTGTCGTTCTTGTATCTTTTACAATCTGAAATCAATTGTTTGAAGTCACGACAGTGTCGATCTATATTTGCTTGGATATACTGAGACGCCTCTTGATCGAGCTGTGCTGGGCTCTTCTTCTTAACATTGTGCATACCTCTCGTTTCTATTCTATATTTGTCTCTCAATTCACAGTGTATTTCATGCAACAGCTGGGCAGCATATTCAAATGCTGCACAAAATCCGTCAAAAGATTTGCAGTTTAAGTTCTCTGCAAATATTTTTCCAAGTTGAAGATATATTTTATTTCTATCTTCACGTTTATGTTTTGTGAACAGTTCATGAAGTCTTATTATTTGGAAGGTTTTTAATTCTCCCCAAACACGTCTATTATTCAACATAAAGTTGTTAAAATCATTAACGTCTAGCGCCTTTTTAATGCATTCTTTTGCATGTTCCAGCTCAGCATTTAATGTAAAACGATAAGCTTTTAGCAAACCTTTAAATGACTTCTCTTCCCTTAAATCTGCCTGATGGAGAATCAACTTCTTCTGGTCTTCTGTTAGCTGTACAAAAGCTTTTGAGTGAAGATTGAGTCCGCATATCATGGTGAGTTCTGTCCCATTGAGCGTCACTGTTCTGAACTGCTGACTGTATTTTAAAATATGAATTGAGTCCTTCATAAAGAAAGCTTTCCCGAGAACTTCGCGAGGTTCTCCAGTCACTTCTTTAAATCCCTCTAGCAGGACATTCAACATTTCTGCTGGAAATTTTTCTCTTATTGAAGCAAATATCTCTTCGACGACTTCGGAGTCTACTGCATGTCTACAAAACAATATTCTAATTTTCTCTTGGAATAGCCTGGAGCCGTCGGAATTACAAGTCTCCGAGATGGTTTGTAAATCATCTTTAATCATCTTCACTATATCCGAGTCTCGGAAATCCTGGTTATTTCCATCAGATATGTACTGAAATTTATACTTCTTGTAATTATCTTTCAGCTCTATTTTAAGAAACCTCAGGTCGTCATTAGTGTTGTAGACACCATTAGCAGGAACACACATATGCTTGCTGCCAGTGCTGTTCTGACTGACAAACTCCTCCCATGTGCTGTACACCTTTCCTGTGTAGTCGATAAAATGAAAATTGTCATCGTGTTCTTTTTTAAACCTGACAAGCGGAATCAAAACACCAGCGTCCGTGGATTCTATTTCAATGTATTTAAACACAATAGAGATACACAGCCTGTCGTTGGTTTTCTCTAGTAGCTTCAAACATGTGCTGGTCACATTTTCAATACTTTCCTTCTGTTCGGTGGTAAACATGGGCTGCGTGTCTCCAAAAAACACAAACGCTAACTGTTCCCAAAGAAACGGGCTTGAACTTTGGCCCACTGTCCACTGGAACTCTTTGAGATAATTCCCAACGTATTTGTGAACAAATTCAGCTTCCTGTTTTCTATCTTCATCCATTTTTGTCGTAAAATATCAGATTTCTAAACTGTTTGTTTGATTCGTTATTACAGTAAAAATATGAATTAAATCTTAAAATAATTCTTCAAGCTCCTTTAATTGAGTGTCCACTCAACACACTAGTGCCCCGTACAGCTACTGAAACTTTAAGATCTTCTGTTGAATGTATGATATAAAATACAGTAACATTAACGTTTGATTTCCAGCTGTTAATGGGTTGAACTAGAAGCGGACATCATACGAGTTACCATAGTGCCGTCTATAAAACAATAGTATTTGCTTTTTCTTATCTTGAGTTTAAAAATATTTCTTTCAGATGTATCTTGTTTTTCAGGATTAAAAACTGAATAAAAACTGTTCTTTAAAAAAACAAAGATTTCTCGCAGAATATTCTATTCTTTCTACTTTTGTTCAATTACATTGTCGATGTGGGTTTTAAGCTTTTAACAATGATCTTGTTTTTAAAGAACAATCATCCTCCGTCCTACCTGTGAAAAAAAAATTCAAGATTGTGTGATCATCTTATGTTTTTCAAAATTATAATAATGTCTGAATGTTGTTAACATTAACTTAGTATTATATATCTGAGTGTTGTTTAAAGCTGAGTTTCCATTAGTATAAAAACGGTTGATTAAATTTTAGTACAGTGAGATCATTTACATGCTAACGCTCAACATGATACATATTTAATGTAACACCGCCATGTTTGTTGTGTTGAGCTAGTGGCTTAAATGTAAACACCATTTAATAGATAGTATTTTATATTATACATGTGTCGAATAAATCTGCACTTGAACTTAAGTTCTACTGAACGAAACCTGATGATAAACATTTACCATGTATAAAAAGACGTCAACGTCAAAGTCATTAGACGAATTGAGAAGGTGACTTTTTCTTTCTGATTTACCCTTTCCTTGTAAGTCATAATGGGAAAATCCGTTTAACTGTGTGTTTAGTTTCGTATTTTAAAAGTAAATAAACGAAAAATCTCAAAGTTAAAACAAGCTATAATAGAGATGAATCAACTATTTTAGAGTTTTCACACAAAAAATAGTTGACTATAAAACTATTAAACCACTGAGCTTCGATCGTTACCTGACTCATGTAAAAAAGTATAGGCGGCTGATTAAAAGACACACATACACACAATACATTGCTTTATGTAATAGAAATAATTTACATTGAAAAAAGTATACTTTGACCAGCGTCTAAATAATAAAACGATTAACTGTATAAGATAATCTATTGGTGATGTTGAATTGTAGCCTCCATATTTCTGTGCTGATGTGTAATATTGGTTTCAGTAAAGACCGGGTTGATACGACATCAATCAAAACACCGACGTCAAAAGTCTTATTTTACCAAAGTAAATGTTACTTTAAGAGGTTTTGTATTCGTCTTGTGTTGTATTACACGTAACGTAACAATGTATTTCTTGTAACTTTCTGTTATGCGATTTCACTTGTTATTTCAAATGCGTTTTACTTTTAAAAATAAAGTTATAATTTGCAATACTTTTTATGTCTTTATAACTTCGTGCTTTTATTGTTGTTTTTACTATTCTGTTCTACTTCATTATGTTTGCAATAGATTATTAATATTATTTTTTAAGAAACTAATGTTTTGTTCTTGAAAATGTAAATAAGTTATTTTATTTTCGTATTTTACTACTTATATTTTTAAAACAGTAACCTTTATATGCTGAGGTTAAAAAATGAACTCTACTTCATCTGCACAAAAGATTGATAATTCTAAACAGAATTCTTTACTTTTTTATGTATGTGGTTTACACCTTCTGTACGATTCAATACAAACATAAATTGACAAACATAAACAGTCTAGTGATAATTTTAATTGTACATTTTTAACAGGAATCTTTCAGGAACCAGGTCAGCCTTCCTGTTGTCACAGAACCAAGGAAAAGCTCTGGCACTGACCGCTATAGAAATCATGTCGGATCTCAGACTGTGTGAGGAGATTACTGAAGAGTACAGGGAGACAACTGGACGAAATAATTGACCTGACGATTAAAAAAAATGTTTTACTACTATTCCAGATGTTGTTTCTTATAACAATAGGCCTAAACATTCACATATAAATTTAGGGGAGGGCGATTTGGGACCAGCACGGAGCGACAAACTGAGTAAAAAAAAAAAAAAACTTACTTTGAGCTGCATCATTGGACATCACAATGACAAGAAAAACATTATTAAATTTTGACAGGCTTGACATCAGATTTAGCTGTTGTGTACATCATTTTTGTAACAGCCATAATGTGCAATACATTATTAATTGTATTTTTTAAGAAACTGATGTTTTGTTCTTGAAAATGTAAATGATTTATATAAATTGCGTAATATACTGTTTGTGTAACAGCCAAACAGGTACCAAAGGACCAGTGGCTTCAGCTAGAACCCAACTCCCTCCGCTTCCCACCCCTTCAAAATCGAGATGTGGAGTGTATTTTTCCGCCAAATCAATCTTGTAACAATTGGAAAAGAAAACAACTCTACAAAAATAAAATATATTTATACATAATATAAGGGTTGGCACATTTCCAATCCGTTTTTTATTAAGATATAAATCAACTGTTTCCTTGTACTAATTATCGAGTCTCTATGATGTCATAATTTTTGTGTATTGATTTCGGCATTGGATTTTTAATTATATGTTTACTCTACAATCAATGACACATTTTATTGTTTGTACTTTTCCGGCTTTAAAACTGTACATGTTTTATTTTGTTTTGAATTGGTCGGCGTGGTTGAGACGGACAAAGCTCACGGTTGTTAAATTTGAAAAAAAAGTCTCGAGTTCGAACCCTCTGGCAGATAATGTTCACTCCCTTCCAAAAATGAAAATTAAGAAAAGAAGAAGAAGAAAGTAGCATATATATATATATAATAAATATACTAGCCGTCCCGGCCAGGCCCTGCACTGGCATATCTGAAAAACGTATATGTAAAGGACCATAACCACAACCAATCAATACACAAAAAAACGCAAACATAACACTAACACAAAACAAACACAAACGAAAACACAAAAACAAACGCAAAGACAAACCCAACCACAAACACAAAGACAACACAAACACTAACGCAAACAAAAAAGCAAACGAAAACCAATCCAAACGCAAACACAAACCCAACCACAACCAAACAAAACCAAAACACTCCCCAAAAAAACAACGCAAACATTACACAAACACAAATACAAACACAAACGAAAACACACAAACAAACGCAAACACAAACACAAACACAACCACAAAGAAAACACAAATGCAAAAAAAAGCAAACGAAAACACAAACGCAAAGAAAAATAGCAAACGAAAACAAGCCCAAATCCAAACGCAAACACAACCACAAACGCAAACCCAAACTCAAACACAAAGAAAACACAAACGCAAATATAAACTCAAAGTGTCCATAGTCTAGCCCGGGGCGCCATATTGCACCATGACGACGTGCGGCGTAACCGCCCGATTCAACTTAGTAAACGACTATAGTACCTTACTTATTCATAGTATTTTGAACTCACTTACGCGAACGTAGGTACCATAGCGTACACGGGAAGGCCCGGGGTGCCAAATAGCACCCTGTCGGGATGCCGGAGGACGCCCGGATTCGATTCACTTAAAGCAGGGGTTCCCAACCATGGCGCTCGCCAAACGATTCGTATGTGCCCGCCTCTCACTATTCGACAGAGACATAATTTTTGTCATAAACATTATTGAAAGGTTGAATGGGATGAAAATCGAAAGTTTGACGGAGGGGGGGGGGGGGGGGTACAAATCGAAAATTTTAAATTTTGTTCCCGGGTGACGGGAAGGGTCGCTACGCCTCTGGAAGGAGTTTGTCGATTTAAAATAGGTGGTGCCCGCCACCCTACCGATATTTTAGAATGTGCTATAGAGTAAAAAAAGGTTGGGAACCCCTGACTTAAAGACTATAGTAACCTTTCTTATCCATAGTCTATCGCACTGTTTAAAAACAAAATTATGCATGATAGCCCAGGGCGCCAAATCAAACTGTGCAGAGCGCCGGCGGACGCGCCTGTTTCAATTTAGTGAACAAAATTATAATACTCCAAGTTTATCCGTAAATGGAAAGAAATAAGCATATATGATGTGTAGGACCTGGCTTATTAAATGTAATTGATTTAAAAAAATAATTAGTAAACAGTATGTTCAGTGTATAGAATAAATAAAAGGTAGTATTAAAAATACCAACGACATTGCACTTAATCAATCCCCGCTAATTATGTTTTTTTTCCTTAACACCAAAAACAAAGTAATAAAAAGTAAATTCTTTCTTCCACCGATTTAATGGTTCTTTAAAGGGAAGTAACTTGTGTTTTCCAAATCAAGGGACGTTATGAGAACTAAAGGACAAAATGCAAATACATTTCAGATACAATTTTAGAAATTTTATAAACGTTGATACACTTTTTTAAAACCAAAACACACAAAAAAAGAACCGCGAACATAACACAAACAAACACAACACAAACACAACACAACCACAACACAATCACAACACAAACAAAACACAACGCAACACAAACAAAACACAACACAACACACACAAAACACAACACAAACGGGACGGCTAGTATTATATAAAATTGTATATCTTTTTGTAGTTTGGTGCAGGTGTCTATAAAAGAGCTTTCGGAAACCTATCTGTCTGTCAAGAAACATGACGTGTGTGTTTAGTAATCAGCATATACCCGGCATTGCCCACCCTAACCACAACCAACCAAAACCAAAACACAAATAAAGAAAGGAAACATAACATAAACGCAAACACTAATACAAACGATAACACAAACCCAAACACAACCACAAACACAAAACCAACCACAAACACAAATACAAACACAAACCCAAAAGAAAAAACACAAACGAAAACGAAAAAGAAAGAACGAAAACGAACAAAATCAAAACGCAATCCCAACCACTAACGCAAACCCAACCTAAACACAAAGAAAACACAAACGCGAACATAAACGCAAAGTGCTCAAAGGGGCGCCAAATCGCACCATGCTGGGGCGCCGGCGGAATCGCCTGTTTCAGCTTAATAAACAACTTATTTATAGTCTTTTGCACTCACTTAAACGAACGTAGGCGCCCGGGGCCCCAAATAGCACCCTGTTTTGGCGCCAGAGGACAATTATAATACTCCAAGCTTATCTGTAAACGGAAAGAAATAAACATATAGAACATGTAGGACCTGGCTTATTAATTGTTATTGATTTTAAAAAAATAATTAGTAAACAGTAAGTTCAGTGTATAGAATAAATAAAAGGCAGTATTAAAAATACCTACAACATTTGCACTTGATCAATCCCCGCTAATTTTGTAATTATTTTTTTCCCAACACCAAAACAAAGTAATAAAAAGTAAACGAGCCGACCCGCGGCGTATTATACGCCGCTATTTAGTTGTTGTTTTTTCTACTTTTCAGTAATTAATAATTTGTGAATTCGACAGTACCAAGGCTGCCACTGAAAATATTTGCTTTAAAAAAATAAACCCCCCTTTCCCCCCCCCCCCCCCTTGAAAGCAGCCTCCTCTTAGTTACCTCCTCTAAGTTTAAAATCGTTTCAAACTAAATTATCTGCCTCTAATAGCCGTCACCAAACCTGGCTCTACGATTTGTAAACATTTTTAGCGTGAACCACAGCTCACCAGATCATGTGAGGGGGGGGGGGGTGAGGGGGGGGTGGTAGCGATAGAGAGGAAGAGAGGGGACTGCAAGGCGCGCTTGGAGCTTGTTTTCTAACGTCTCCCAGAAGAGAATTATATATATAGATTCTTTTCCACTAATGCAATGTTTTATAAAGGGAAGTAATTGTGTTTTCCTAATTTATCAAAGGGAAGTAAGTGCTAAAGGACTAAATACAAATAATTTTTGTAAAAGATGATATTTTTTAAAAATTGTGTTTAATGAACATGCCGACAATTATTACTATCAGTTTGAAAAATGAAAATGATTTCCCAACACTTTCAGTATTAATTTTTAACTCATAAATTTTTACCATAAGCACTATAATAATCTAACACTTAAAGCCATCGAAGTATCCACGACAAACTTATTACAAACATTTCTGAAACATACAGAATTGAGCTTTATATATATTATATATATATATATATATATATATATATATATATATATATATATATATATATATATATATATATATATATATATATATCTTTGTGCATGTTCGAACCTGTACTTGAGTTTATATTATATGCGCTAACAGATCTCTAACAGGCAGTTATCTGCCTCTTTCTTATGCCAGTGGTAAAAAGCAGTCCGTGACCTACAGTTCAATGATGTATAAAAGTATATAGAGTAATAGCTTGAGATTTATGTACTAACTGGAATGTCTTACTATAAATAGGTATTCTTGCATTGTTACGAGAGGCAAATGTGTTAGAAAAGTTAATCTGATGAAAATCATTGCATTAAAAATGCGTCAGAATTAAGTTACAATATTACATCCCACAAACAAAGTAATTAAAAAAAAACAATAACAGACATTAAAGTAAAAAAAATTATAAAAACACCTTCCTTAAATGTAAGGGAGCTACATGTTAACTGATGCACTTGGTTTTCTAAAAAAAAATTGCGATTTTTTTTCGTTAACTGATATCAGGATTTATTGCCTAATGTTATTGTCACAAAATCGTTCATCACATATTCGTAACGAGTAACTAGTATGCAATGAAACCCCAAATAAACAAGGAGAACATAAACTGAAAGAGAGAATAACACGGCCGAGCAAAAGACCTCTTCTATGTTCTGTATGAAGTAAAAATGAAACTCCTTGGTTGTTCAATTTCTTGAACGAACGTCTGTTTTGATTTCCACGGCTTGCAATCGTATTTCCCTATACGTCCCTCCCTAAAATTTCGAAGAACAAAGTACAGAGAGAACAATGGGCTGTGGGAATGGAATGCGTTCATTTATTCTGCGTATTTTTAATTTTTATTTAAGGAGCGGTGTTGTACAGGGTAGAAGAGCTAACTTCTAAAAATACACAAAAGAAATCCAGAAGAAACTGGTTTTCGAAATGTTATAGCTATGGTATTGTTAGCTTTGATATGTCATTTCGCTCCAGCGGGAATGGCAAATCCATGTCGATCTCAGCAAAGCTTAACCCATATAATGTGCCGTGTTTTGTGAAACCGACTTTAAAGTGTCTGTAGCCATGGGGGGGGGGGGGGGCGGACAGGGGCGGACGGGGGTGGACGGAGGGGACTGCTGCCACGGGCGCCGACTCCAGGGGGGCGCCAAAATGGATGGACATTTTTTTAAAGCAGATTTTGTGCTGCAGTTTTTAATTATAAACAGTCTAAGTTAAGGAATGTAATAGCTAGAAGCCTTTACATAGCATTTAACTCTTTTCTGCTTTGATAGTGTAACTTCAAACATATACCCTTTAGAAACAGTGACCGGCAAAAACCGCTTTCCAGCTTTTCCTAGATGGGGGGGGGGGGGCGCTTTTTCGCAACCAAATTTGAATAAATTTAAATAGATTGGTTAGTCGAGGTTGAAGTTTCTTTGTTCCCTGTTCTGTAACACTACACACAGGTAACACAATAGCACGTCCTCAAGTAAACAGTTAAAAATGTGTGTAGGTTTATATACATACGTGGTCTCTTTTGTTTGGGCTTAGGGTTAGAGTTTGAGTAGCATGTTTCATGTCGTGGAAGGTTTTTTAATATTTAAAATCGACATTGCTTCATATAAAATAACTTGTGCAATATTTGGTGGTTAAATGGGAGTGTAACCTATTGTAAAATTAAACGATATAAGATATAATTTTAAAATTCAAAACTACTCCGTATAAATTAGAAAAGGCATGACTATTCCGACTGCATCAGTAGTACATTATATTAAATCTGGAGCCCTTAACACCCGTCTGTTTCAAGAACTGTGCAAAGACATGAATAAAGATCACCAGGTTCTACACTACAGTAAGATGGCTGTCAATAGGAAACGTGAATCGTGTTTTTGAATTTAAAGATGAAATCAAGTTGTTCTTGGAAGTGAAAGGGAAACAAGACCATTTGATATAGCCTATTTCAACGACAAAGAGTGTTTGGAGAGAGTAGGATAGCTATCAGATATATTCGAACAGCAACATAAGCTTAACCTGAAAATGAGCAAATATTACCTCTTGTCCTGATAATCTCTTGGCACTTTTATCAAAGCTGCAACGTTGGCGAAGAAAAAATAATTGTTGGAAATATTGCCATATTTGAGAAGCTCTGCAGTGTGGAAGATGCATCTGTGAGATAAATAAAATTTTGAAAGAGGAAAACGAACTGTGGCGTTTTTTTTTTGACACGTTATCCATTCTCTGTTTCCCTGGATGTTGCCAGCATTCCCAATTAATTACAAGATTAATTCTAAAATTTGCTGAGTGATTCCGCGTCACGTATCGTGTTAAATGAAAAACTACTCAAACGATTTTGGTTTAATATGCACCGTTCATACCCAAACGTGACATCAATTGACTTTTGAGTTTTAGTCTACATATCTTTGCGAGAATAGATTTTCAACACTTCTCCAATTAAAAACAAAACAAAGAAATAAATTAAACGCTGAGAATTACACGAAGTTGGCGTTAACAAATACTCAAACGCGAATTTAGATGCATTCAATTTCACCCATTGCATTAAAACAGTTATCAAGAATAATAATATTGAAAGTCTACTAGAGAATAGTATTTCAGTGCTTACCAATATTCTCACTAATTTCGACTTTTTAATTCTATGGGGGTCGCGGGTCACTTACTTTTTATAAAAGGGGGTCATCACTCGAAAAAGTTTAGGCTTTTAGCTTTTAGGAATGGTTTTCAATTCTCGTAGCATGGCTATTTTTTTATTAGTCTGTCACGTACTTTTCTTTTAGTTAGTTAGTGTTAGTGTTATGTCTAACGAGGTACACGGCTTGAGCTAACGCTAGTCACGTGACCAGTACTAGCTGGTAAGCTACATATTTACTTTGGTTACGAAGGGGCGGAAGTCGGTAACTTTGTTAGATAAAGCAGAAAAGGGGCGAAGATTCGACGAGTGTGAGAAATTGAAAGAGTTACAATGGGAGGAAGAACAACGAAGTCACAAAATTAGGAGAAGAGGAGGTGGTCTATTCTAGTCAGTTACTGTGATTATGAAGAATAGGAATGGGTTAAGGAAGTATCAGAAGATGAATAAACAGTTGATAGAAAATCTCTCTCTCTATACGGAAACCGGCTCAGAAGGTTGACTTCCATTAGCCAGGCAGGCCTCAGTGCAGCAAACTCCGACCACAAGAGTTTCCCACACATCGGTCGCTACTTCCGTCGGCTCTCACCGGGCTTTCCTTCCCCACCCACCAGACGCGGGACGTCGTCCTACCGCCTGGTACCCAGCTTGATCGTGGGGGTCGTTCGGCCAGATCAAAAACCTCTAGCTGCTGTTGGCTACCACTAGCCATTCCGCACCCATTAAGGGGGGGGTCATGAGCTTGGTTCGAATAGTGGCACTCTTCGGAAGCCACGTGAAGGCCACAGCTTAAATCTAAATAAGACGAATTTATAAAATGAGAAAGATAGATTTCAGTTGGCTGAAATCTTCGTAGGAAAAATGCCCCATAATATTTTATGGTTATTTTTTTTCCTTTTCGAATATATAAGGCGTAATTTTGAATTATATCTTAAATCATTTAGATTTACGGTGGGTACACTCCCATTTAACCGCTAAATATGGCACAAGTTATTTTTGTATGAAGCAATGCGGATTTTAGACATTTAACAATCTCCCATGAGATTACACTTGTCACTTGAACCCAAACAAAAGAGACTACGTATGTAAATCAAACTACAAACATTTCAAACTGTTTACTTGAGGACGTGCTATTGTGTTACCTGTGTGTAGTGTTACACAATAGGGAACAAAGAGACTTAACCCTCCAGGTAAAATGTTGTTGCACTCATCTCTATAAGACATGTTAATGACCTTGATAAGGCAGACAAACGACGTTTGAAGGTCGTATCCTCGTTTCTAAATATTAAGTTATAACGTCTAGAAAAAGCAATCTGGAAACATTTATTAAAATATCTCTATCAAAATAAAAAAAAAACGATAATATCGTTCACTATATCGTATTTCAAAATGAAAAAAAACCAATTCATTAAAAAATTATTTTAGTCAATAAAATAATCAGTAATGTTATAAGTTAAAAATGTAGTAATATATTCTCCCTTTGATGCTAACAATAATCAATTTTAAATTATTACTGTTCCTCTATTTCTGATGTAAGATTTGCTATGGATTTAATCGATTGGAGGGGGGACGGTGGAAAGGGAGGACAACATTTTATAATGCAATGTAGTAACGTCATTGATTGGTCGAAAGCAGTCAGCAGTGTTTGTAATTCATATTCTAAATATAGACTATTCTTCACAAGGGGGCGCTGTATAAATGGGCTGCAACCGCAAGCGGGTCATCAATCCTTCGGGTAATTTTAATCCATATTCTACAACTCATGACGCTTTTGTAAAGTATATCACAACGTTTTACTTCTTGATTAATTGGTAAGTTTTATTAAAACGTTATTCTTTAACAAAGGTTGTGTGTTTTTAGCTTTAAACATAGAATACATAGTGATTTTCTAAACATTTACATACAATGAAACTGATCTATCTTTATTATAAAAACGCACATGAAATACATTGTAAACAAAACAGTATATAGATCAAACACTAAATTAGTATTTATGTTCAAGTGATACATATATTTCGTGTTATATACAAGATAACTCGTGGAACCAATCTATATATATATAAAGCAGTGTATGTGTGTCTGTGTTTGTGTGTCTGTGTGTGTGTCTTTTATGCATTACCACACCTCTTATCACATCGCCGTGAAACTTCGGGAAGTTGTTGAGAATATTCCTGGGGAGGTTTCTGGGAAAAAAAAATTTCAAATTCGCAGGGGTGGCGCCCCGGCAGGGCGCTATTTGTTTTCTCTATATACGGTATATAAAAATAAAAGTCTATTTTGATTTCACACTGTTCATCCGATAGGCATGCAACTTTGGGGAGTTCGTTATAACCCTCTAGGGAAGGGTTCTGAAAAAAATAATTTTTAATTTCGCAAGATTTCTGCGCTAAAAACGTTTTTAAATTTGCAGGGGTGGCGCCCCGGCAGGGCGCGATTTGTTTTTCTCAAAATGCGGTATATAAAAAAAAATAAAAGTGAATTGCGGTGACACCGTTCTCACTATCGCCGTGAAACTTTGGGGAGTTCATTATAAAACTCTAGGAAAGGGTTCTGTAAAAAATCATTTTTAATTTCGCAAGGGCGGCGCCACGGGAGGGTGCGATTTTTCTCTATATACGGTATATAAAAATAAAAGTCGATTTTGGTGTGACACCGTTATCCGATAGCCTTGAGACTTTGAGGGAGTTGATTAGAACAATTCAGGTAAGGGTTCTGTAAAAAAAAAATCCTTTTTAAATTTCGCAAGGGCGGCTGCGATTTTTCTCTATATAAGGTTTATAAAAATAAAAGTCTATTTCGGTTTCACACCGTTCATCCATGTACCATGAAACTTTGGGGAGATGATTAGATCCCTCAATAGTAGGGTTCTGCAAAAAAAATATTGTTTAATATTGCAAGGGCGGCGCCCTCCGTATGGGGGGGGGGGGGGGGGAGCGATTTTTTTTCTCTATACACGGTATATATAAAAAAAATTGGATGCGGTTCATTCGAGTGCCATGAAACTTTAGAGAGTAGATGAGAATACTCCCAAGAATATTTCTGCGAAAAAGAAAACTAAAGTTTCTTATGGGCGGCGCCATATAGGGTACAACTTTCGTCTATACACGGTTGGGCGCCAAGAGTTTTAGAGCGACTATGTTGGCACTTGGCATCCTTTAATCGAGCGTCCTGCATAGCGAGTAAGAGGTACTACTATATTCAGCGGTAAAACTACAACAGGCTTCTAAAAATAACTTTGTAACGAGAGGAAATACTTCTGTACAGTTTCGTCACCTTGCCAAAGATGAAAAAATAACTTTATGAATATGAGGAGCCTACTGTAGAGTTTCGTCACTTTGCGAATGATGCAATAAGCATCTATTATTAGACAATCCAGTCAGAAATTGAGATCGAGCATCTAATAATAGACCATTAGTAAAGCTAGCATATTGCATTGGTCACACTGATGTTTAAAACACGTCAAATACTTTTTTTTTCGTGTTAAAGAAAAAATTCCTGTTCATTTGTGTCACTTTAGCGAATGACGAAATCTGCATCATTATTAACAGGATGCAGTTTGGCACGATGGCGCCTGTTAGTTTTAAGGAGCCAGGGGTCGTGCGCAGCGCCTATGCGGTAGTGTAATCGGGGGTGGGGCCCCTGAGAGCGCCCCTCTACGTCTCTGACACATGGGCGGTCACCGAAGTGTGTTCTACCATATTATTTCGGTGAGCGATTAATGTACACTCAATGTTTTCATGCGGTAGTGTAGGTAAACCCGTGTCCCGATATTTATGATCCATTGTTTACATTTAAATCACTCACTTTTAGAAAAGACGGTAACTCGTCTAAGAACATATGATTGGTAACGCGTTGGTGAAATCCTAATGCATTCGTCAAACTTTCTTCTATCCCCGCGGCAACGCGCGGGGGACGGGTACGCTAGTATTTAAATAAATAATGTATATATTAATTCTTTTCATTTTTCGAGTAAAGCTTATCTTCAATCAGGTGTCTTAGTTTCTGCGAATAAAATAGTACATTGCCCATACCAGTAACCAGAAAAACTAAAATTCACAAAACAAAAAAACATCTACAAGAACAAAGTGGGTCAACAAAATGGCGTAGTTGAAATAATTTAAGTCCTTTGTGTTTTAATGTACGCTTGGTTGTCTACCTACCTCGTGGGGAGGAATAGGGGCGGACAGTTGTAAACTATATTTTAAAATATTTCATGCAGGGGGAGGGGGATATAATAGGGGGGGGGGGAGTAACGAAAGTTCTTCAGAAGGGGGGGGGGGCACAGTTCATTCCTCCCCGAAGTAATTCCTGAAAGAACCTGCGTGCAGAGATATCAGAACCACGATGTTTTTTTATATTATTATGGCGGATTATTGCTATCAGCCTTTCTATGTTTGGTTGTGATGCATTTATAAAACTCCTTGATTGTTCAATTTCGAAGAAAACTGTACCTATAGAAAATGAATGAGTCATGGGAACGGAATGCGCGTATTGAAAATTTAAGGAGCGGTTGTGTACAGGATAGAAGAGCTAACTTCTAGAAATACACCCCAGAGATCCGCATAAAACCGGTTTTAGAAATGTTTTAGCTATGCTTTTGTTCGCTCTGGTATTTCGTTTCGCACCCGCAGGTGCAGCAGGCCAACGTTGATCCCAGCAAAGCCCACAAATTAATCCGCCGTTTTTTGTGCAACCGACAATAACGTGTCTGTAATTTGAATAAACTTATATATGCCTGTTTAATTACTTCATCGTTACACCTCAGTGATTTGTAATGTGCAGTAAGAACATTTACTTTTAAAATTATATTTCCTCTCTAAGCAATCACTGACAACTAAAAGAGTCGACTACAATGTAAATAGCGGAAAAGGATAAAAAATGTATTTGCCATTTTTAAGGATACTTGAAAAGATATATTTTAGAAAATTGTGTTCTGTACTCGTCATTTAACCAATATAATTTCTCTTGTAATCTTCCCACTGTTGTAAACATTAAGCTTAATTATGATGACTGATGTTTACGTTCACAAAAAGCACGTAGGTTTAAAAGAAACAAGAGAGATAAATGAGAGTTGAGCTTTAAGGAGACAGAACAAAAAAATCCAAATTAGTGAAACGTTTGTGAGATTAGTGCTTCCTTCTCTCTTACAACACTTACTGCAAGGATACAGAACACATTGGTACTTGTGTTTCACATATTCACATACTATCAAGTTTAACCTCACAAGTCATATTATTTGCTTCAAGAAAACGAATTTCATTGAAATTAAGCATAAAAATGTATAAATCTAAACTTTAAAATAAAAATGTTGTGACATTACTTAAACATTTAAAAAAATCTACTCTGTGTTTGGCTCCAAGTCCGGATAATGATCTTTTACCTGAGGTTTGAAGAATTAGATTGTCTGAATATTTCATCCTTCTTTTTGAAGCAAAATGCAGGTGTTTGTTTATCTCACTCGTTTCATTTCATCAATAATTAGCCATTTTTTTCTGCCTTCGTTTTTTTTTCATCGCCACCACATAAGTTTTCTACAGCCATAGTTTCTTTTTGTTCAAACGAGTGTTTTGTAAAGTGAGAAAAATAACTTACAACATTAAACAAGACATGACGCTGTCTTCGTCTTTATCAGACATGGTACACTAATCACCTCTATGTTTTAGCAATCTCGGTTATAAATTTTAATTTATATGTGGTTGCTTCTAGATAACAATTCTTTGAAACCTCGACCAACTTTTTTCATTAAAATCTTACATTCAATTTTATATAATAAAAATACAGAATGACCTATCAAATCATATTTGTTTTATCGATTAATATAATTCATTGTTACTTTTCTTATTTTCTAATTGTTTTATTTCCATGTTATACAAAATTAAAATCTGTAATCAAATTAACCCAGCTATATATAAAAATGTAGGTAAGTGTCTACTAGTAAACGAACACTTTAAATACAATCAACTGTAGGAGACTTTAGAATATGTCCTTTTTTCAAGTCTTTGCATTTAGTATAGGAAACTGTATTAGTATTAGTGTTCACATGATTGTAAGATAACAACAAATGCATGTGTCTCTCTTCTCGTTTACAAGAATACTCATCTGCTGTTTAGATTTTATTTTTCTTTAGCACAATAAAAAATAAGTGTATTTATTTCTTGTTTTGTTTAGTAAATGCAATTACGCTTTGAAAATTTTAAAACCATCAAATCCACTGTAAGAAATGAGATGTCTTTTCGGTAATCTATCGCTTTAGGTACATAAAATCGGCCGCGGCTAGTAATGTACGAAAAAGTTACCTCATTGTCAAGGCTTTAGTAGAAGTATATTGTGAAATAATTGTGTCAAATATTATAGATAACTGAATAATAAACCAAAATTAATGGCTAAATATATCAATATAGGCCAGAAATTAACTTTAAACAGCAGTGTTTGCGAGCAAGATTTGCTATATAAACAGCAGCCTTTTGTAAAATAGAGTAGCTTCCCCTGAATCTTCCGCTATAATTTTAACAAAATAAAACTTAAACTAGATGGCTGCTATAGTAAATGAGCATGGTTGCATCTGATGAAAACATCGCTACTAAATCGCTAGTCTTCATTTATTACTGAAAATTTTTTATTCAATTGTTTAAAAACAGGTACATAAAAGAAACAAGAAACAAGGAAACATTTTTGTATTTTTCAAAACATAAATCCTTCTCAAATAGTAAAATAATTATTAAAATTTAAGGAGTCACCTGTTTTTCACATTACTAGTCGAGGGCGATTTTACATACCTAGAACGAGAGATTACCGTCTTTTCTTATTTGGACTGATGATTTTCACAAATGGTAATCAGTTCAAATAATCACTGATATATACTCTCTCATAAGGAATGTTCTTTATAAATAATTATACTACAGCTTTTTCAATTATTTTTTATAAAAGTGTCTATTTTATCAATATCACTAGGAAAAGTCATACCATGTTTTAACACTTATTTTTTATATCAACACTAACAGCAGCAACAATTTTCAACATATTAATTGGTTCAGCCGCGCACTTAAAGGCAGAAATTTTACACTGCCGCTACCAACCACCGTCTTGTTGTATTGTTGTAAAAACGTCATTTATACTGCATCATGATCTTTAATAAATGTTTTATGGTTGATCTTTTTAAAAGTTGTTAAGGTCTTTGAGGTCACTTCATATAGTGTAAATGCCATACATTTTAACATAAATTTAGTGAATATTGTTTTCCACACATAAGAGGTATAATATAGAAGCAACTGCCTGCATCTGTATTATTGCAGATTACTATTAAAATTTAAAAATAAACATTGCCTATCATTTTGCTACTCATTAAAATCGCTGAGAGCAACTATCTTTTTGAAAATTGTATGTGTTTTTTAATCATTAATATGGTGTAATTTAGTTGAAGCATATTATCTGAAATTAAAAATAAATAATTTAATGCATTTTCCCTCATCTATTTAAGGTTTTTAAATTATAATAATTTATAACTCTATTTATATTTATTAACTTCATAAGCCGTCTTTTACATTATTCAAAGCTTAAACAAACGGATATTGATATAATTTTCAGTGCAAATTCAGAGTTTTCCAAAGTTGTGTTTACACGAACAATTTTATGTTATTTAATGAACTATAACTTTACTTAGCACGCATTTTTCTTCGCCTTCAGATTGGGATGACCGCAACCAAACAGATGTCAATTTGACATTATTTACATCATTTAACGTTTTTCGCTGCTCCTTCTCTGCCAACTAGATATTTTAAGAGTTGTTGGAAATTATCTCCAGCTTGTTACCTGTGTTTATTGTGTGGTTCCTTGATCAATTTAATGTAAACTAACAAATTGGCTTTAAAATGTGGCAGTAAAATATTATTATTTGGTACGCTGTGTTATCCTGGGTATGATTTTATTATCGTGTATCCTATACCGTAAGCAAAATTTCCTGTGCGTGTATAAAAACGGTATGTTTTAAATGTTAGAAATTGTTAGACTTGATTAACGGGTGTAGTGTTTTTATAATTTTACTTACCTATTTAATTTTGTTACTGTTTAAATTTGTCAGCAGGATTTCAGAAAAATCTTGTTTATTAATATTTTTCCCCTTTGCTAACCAAGTAATTTTTTTAACCTGCAGATCGTTGGATAGCACGAGATAGTGTTGAGGCTTAGTTACGATAGTTATATTGATTAAGTTGAAGATTTACAATACAACAAACTAGAGTCAAAACTCTAGTCTCACTACAATGATTTTTTGAAAATTAATGTTGTTCAATAAATTACTACTTGGTAGCACTAGGCAAATGATTTATGATTAATTATCATACATTTATCTACGACTGTGTTTCATAAACTTTCAGATTACCGCCCTGTATATACTATACTATGCCTATTCAAAATTGTAACAAACATTCATTATGAAGAATCAGTACTAGAAATCTTGTTAATTTGTGACTACTATTTTGTAAAATGTGTTTTTTTTTTGCTGTGCGCAAATCCACGTCTTATTTGGTCTTCCCTGTTTTTGGTTTCCATAGGTTTCCAGTTCAGCGCAATACCTGTGATAACATCCAGTCCCATTCTTGCATCAGGGTCAATCCAGCACCATCTTTTTTTATTACCCAATCCATTTCCATTTTCCCCGAGTGAATCCTCATTGAATATGATGCTTTACCACTGGTCTACATTTGGTCTTGGGAGAATTGTTCTACGATCGCCATGTTTTTGAATGGTTGTTTTAGCTTTAGAGATTCGTATTTTCAATTAAATGACGCAGTCTCTTTAATAATCGACCATGCTGACTAAATATATGAAATCTTTTTTCTTAGTGTACTCCATCCCCAATCGAAAACGTAGGTACTCTGAGCTAGTTGTTAGCGTCAATCTGTTGCCTCTTATTTGGTCTGTAGCTTACGGCTTCAGCCAGTAAATTACTAGGTTAAAGAGCAGTGGAGACAGAACACGCCTCATTCTTTTACTTCTGCCTGGACCATAATATATAGGCCATTTATATGGTTCCGATAAACTCTGCATTGAAAACCTTTTATTTTAATGTCTGATTATTTCTCCTGAAAACCATGACACAGTAAGATTTTTGCATCTGACTATACTATCAAAAGCATTTTCAAAATCAATGAAAAAAGCAAAAATACTTTTTTCTAGTATTTGTCCCAAGGTAAATGTGTTGTCTATTATTCTTTTCAAAGCCCGCCTTGTTCTTTCAACGATTTTTCCTCTGCAAAACTGGATATTCTGTTGACATTGATACCGCAAAATATTTTACTTGTGAGTGGTGAAGTGTGATGCCTCGACAAGTTTTACACATGATTTATTTAGTGTTTTTAGCATTTTGACTACTAGACCATTTTACATTCATTACAGTTTCTTTCGTTGTTCCAGACTTCTTGCAAAAAATGTATGTAATGAATGTTTTGTGCGTTTCTTAATTTAATTTTTTGTATACCTGCAGCAAGCAGTTTTATTAATGCAGAATTTTTATAATTGATTGGGCAAAATAACGACTTTACGTGCATATTTATTTTTAGCAATGTTTGTTCTGCAATAGATGTTTCATTATTCTACACGTAATCATAAAGTCCTCTAGTTTTATGTTAATAATTGCAACTGCTGTTCTTTTCTTTCTAACATCATACACCCTGACATTTGTCCATACTCTTATATATTTGTGGTCGTCAATGTTTGGAGGAAAATTATACCTGTTATAAACACTGTTATAACGTGTTTGCTACAGATAGTAGTTACTTGCTCATGTGGAATTTTAGTGTTAGGGACGTAGAGGGGCGCTCTCGGGAGCCCCCGAGTACACATGTAGCCGGGGCGCCGCGTACGGCCCCTGGCTAGATTTAATCATCGAATGTCGCAGGCACCATAGTGCTAACAGGATAGCACAGGGCGCCAAATCGCACCTTGGCAGTGAGAGACTCTAAAACCCCATCTTAAAGTCTACCGCACTGTTTAAAACGAACGTAGGCGCCAAATCGCAACCCTCAGGGGCACCGGAGGAAGCTCCTGATTCGACAATGATTATTGTTGCCCATCGTGTCCGTAGTGTATAGCCTTTTTTTGTAAACGAACATAGGCACCATAGTGCTCACAGGGAAGTCCGGGGCGCTTCATGCCAAGCAATAGCTGGGGCGCCTGCGGCTGTGCCTGTTGACGTTTTAACGCTGAATATAGTAGTTACCTTTACCCGCTATGCAGGACGCTCAATTTACGGATACCTAGTGCTACGATAGCCGCTCTGAAATTTTGGGCGTCAAAACCATGTATTGAAGAATATCGCACCCTCCCGGGCACCGACCATAAGAGATTTATTTTCGTAGAAGCCTGCTCGGGAGTATTATCTTTAACCCCCAAAGTTTTCATGCCACGGTGTCAAACTGCATCCGACTTTTATTTTTATATACCATATAGTGAGAAAAATCTTTCCCTTCAGGGACGCCGCCCTTGCGAAATTAAAAAAAAAGATCTTTTTTTGCAGAAACCTCTCCTGGATTATTCTAATTAACTCCCCAAAGTTTCATGGCGCTCTGATGAACGGTATCAAACCGCAATCTATTTGTATTTTTATACTAGATAAACGGGCACTAGGTTGATGTGTTTTATTTTTCTCTAAACCGAAACCAAAACTAAAAGCACCGCTTCACTACAAATTTAACCAGAAACGAAAAATGTAACTGAAAACGGTTTTTATTCAGAATCAGCATTTTAACTGGATTTAACCGTGATTTACACGTAGTTACTGCATATTCATACTAAAAATAGTCGTAGTCTTGTCCCTTACCCTTACACGTAAGCTCAAACTTGACAAAAGTCGCATTCGGAGTTTCTTTCAGGCAACTCTCCAGGGGAGGGCTGAGTCCCCCGATAGAACGTCTACCGCTCCCTATTTTGAAATACAATTTATATAGAAAATATATACTTTTACCAGTGTCCGCCTCCTCGCCCAGGGAGTTCCGAAATTACAGAGTGACAGAATAGCGAAACTATTATTATAGATACCGTGTATGGAGAAGAACAAAATCACGTCCTGTCCGGCCGCCACCCGTGCGAATTTAAATATTTTGTTTCGCAGATACATCCTTATGAGTATTCTCAACAGCTTCCCAGTTTCATGGCGATTGCATGAAAGGTGTAGCAAAGCATAAAACAGAAGCAGATAGCCTTATTACTGAGACTGAGACTTCCATACAGCGCGCCCTTGGGTCTGCTGGGTGGTAGTGTAGGCAAACTCGTGCCCCCGCAAATGCGCGCGGGAACGGACATGATAGTATATACACATACGTTTATTAAACATATATTTAAAATTCGGCGACTTGTTTTGCTCTTTTCGCTTAGTGCGTTCACGAGGTATGGGGTCTAAATAAAACTATACTTGTGATCCATCGTTTTGGTTATTATTTTACATTGCAAGTTAAAAAGTGACCAGTGACTTTGTAGGTATCTGACTCAGGCCTGAATGGAAAAAGAAGCTACAATAAAAATATAAGTCAGGGCTAGGGCAACTCAGTTTAGCGTTTTCCCCCCGGGCCGCTTTGATATAGAACGTCCACCCTACACATGCGCATGATTGTTTAAGTTTTTTTTTAATTATTATTACTTGAACCTAGGATTACACAATTTTGAGAATACAAACTAAAAGAGTAAATTTATTGTTTCTTATAATTGTGCACATTATTTGTATTATGTAGTTTATAATTGATTATGTATATTTTTTTCATTATGTTGTTGTTCCTTTTTCGCAGATCAAGATTTGAAAGAGTGTTTTATCTTGATTCCCGTTTAATAACGTCCGACTTTGAAATCTATATTATATCAAACGTAAGTTTTAGAACATAATTTTCAATAATCAACTATTAATTTATTATGCTTTGGCTAACAACTTTACGTTTAACATAACGAATCGCTTGTGTATGCGTTAAAATATTTATTTAAATATTTTATTTATTTGAAAATTCAAGCTTTACACACACTACAAAACAACAACATTACAATACAAATAACAAATAATTTATTGCCATTGCCTTAGCTACAAGTGGCCCTAAAATATGTTGCACAGTTTAGGAGGCGACTTTAAAAAATTGAATATAGTCGATCACATTCAATTGTTTAGACAATGTATTTAAGTTCATACTTAATCATGTGATTGAATTATGTATAAAATAAATTTAGTGTGTTGGATATATTGACGTGATTTTATTTTTCTGTCTGCCATGATTTGTTCAAGATACTTTATCATATAATACTTTGTCTGAGATTTATGTCATGAGAAGTTTGTCCTGAGATAATTGTCTGTATGTATTTTATTTAATAATTGTGCCCTAAGATAATTTGTTATGTGACCGTTCATCGAGCTAATGACAGTTTATTGCTGTTTTGTGTAAAGTATAGTTAAACTGTCTGTATACTAAACACGTTACATAAAGTTCGTTATCTTTATAAAAGCTTAATATACGTTTTGTATTAAAACGACACCCTGTGTGCACACTTAGGACCAGATCTATTTATACCAGCCAATGGCGTAGCAGGGTGTAGCAAACACATATTTTTATATCCCGCACAACATATGTGTAGCTCAGCGGTCCTCAGATTTCATATAGTTACAATTATGGATTTTTTTTCTTATTTCTACAAATATTCCTTCTAAGATATTGATAACGCACACTGTATTTAAACTACCTCTAAACTTGCATTAAATCTTATTTCGTACGCGTACGTTTTTTTAAAAATTATTTTCAAATGTGGCTTCTCGTTTTGTTGTGCTATGGATGACATAGTTGCACTGCTTTAGTAATCAAAGGCGCCCCTAACAGAATATTCTACTTACCCCTTATGGTAAAAGCGCTTCTAACATGCAATATTATAGTTATCCCTAATAAGGGATGAAACAATGTCAGATTATACCCTTTATTCCTAAAAATTCCCTGACCTATTTTGTATGAATTTCACCGCGCAAACCCTCTGAACGCTAACTTAAAAAATTAAATGAAATCGACAAAATACGACAGAAAGATTGTAGGGATGCCAAACACACAGGTCTATTTTAATTCAATCCCAAATGTTTAGCGATCCTGAATTTTTTAAAAGACTGAAACTAAAAGTCACTCCGATAATATTTTTTTTTAAAATTCATAGATATTTCATTACATTCTAGACATTCTCGATATAGTCCCTGATATAAGTGGCTTTTTATAGTTGTTCCAAGCTTTATATTAAATCTAATATTTAAATGATTATGCATACTATAAAAATAGTTTAACATTTCAGACCGATCTTGACCCCATTATGTAATATTACAGAATATTCTATATACAGGTAATAATAGAACCGCTACCAATAGAGTATTCTAGTTAACTCTAATGTAAGTGACGCTTTAAACAGGCTGTTTTAGTTACCCCTAATGTAAGAGGCGCTTTTAGAAAGGATTTTTTTAGTTACCCCAAACTTTAATTAAAACATACAAGAACAATCGGTTCCAGCTAAGATCATGAATAAAACGATACTGTAGCGTAAAAATAGTAACAAGTTAACGGGATTTTCATTGATTCCTATCTTAATTGACAATAAGGACAGGGAAAAAAAAAGAAAAATTCACATGGATATAACTTCCTAGTCAATGTTGCGTAGCAGATAAAAATTGTGCCAAACACTTGCCAATATACTACAATGAAAATATTACTTTGGTTTTCCCCAGCTATTTAAAAATACAATGTAGTTTCGGGAAAAGGGCATGATGATAGCGAATTCCCCTGAAATTTGTTTAGAACCATTCAAATTTAAAAAATACTGACACAATAATTATTATATTGAAATCGTTTTCACAAATGAGAAATAATTATTTAAAAATGTGTTGAGATACCTATTGCAAAAACCGTATTCAAAAACAGTTTATTCAGAACAAGAAGTATTAAGCATTAACATTAGAAAGTATACTTGTAATAATTAGCTTTATGTATTAAATTAATTAAATTATTGGTCTTTTTAATTAAAGATAAATATGCAATCATATAACATCTTTTTATTTGCGTTACTTGAATTAACCCAGAGGTTTATTAAAATTAATTTTAATTGCATTATAAGTACTAATTGTTGAATTTATATATTTAATATATATATATATATATATATATATATATATATATATATATATATATATATATATATATATATATATATATATATATATATAAGTGTGTTCTACCTCACTATTAAGGAGATTAATTAATTAAACTCAAGGCTTTCATACAGCACGCCCTGGGATGTGCTGGGCGGTAGTGTAGGCAAACCGATGCTCCGACAAATACGATCCAATAAATGTAGCGCAATCATTGTTTACATTTAAATAACCCAGTGTTAGAAAACAATACCGCACTTCTAAGATTATAGGCTTGGTAACGCATTGATAACTTTGAAGGTTGTGATGACTCTTTTAGTGGAATCGGGCTATAAAAAATAGTAGGTATGTTTGTGACCAAACTGTTTTTTTTCTTCATAGAAACTTTTTAAAAATACGTTGGTTTATTAGAATGTGATTTTAAATTATCAAAGTATCAAATTTTTAGCTTTTAGAACTGGCATCGAATTCTCGTAGCATTGCTAATCTTTCGGTTTTCCTATCACATACTTTTCTTCGAGTATGTTATTGTTAGTGTTATGTGTATTTACTTTGGATAGCAGCTGTATTTTAGTTGCCTGAAATCTTCCCAGCAGTGTTTTATGGTTATTTTTTTCGTTTTCTAATATATAGGCTACGGCGTAATTTTGAAATACATCTTATATCGTTTAGATTTACGGTAGTTACACTCCCATTTAACCACTAAATATTGCACAAGTTAGTTTGTATGAAGCAATGCGGATTTTAGACATTTAATTTAACACTCGCCCATGAGATAAAACTTGTCACTTTAACCCTAAGCCCAAACAAAAGAGACGACGTATGTATATAAACCTACACACATTTTAAACTGTGTTTACTTGAGGACGTGCTATTGTGTTACCTGTGTGTAATGTTAGAGAACACTTAAAAAGAGACTTAACCCTCCAGGTAAAATGTCACTGTACCCGTCTCAAAAACAAATTTTAATAACCTTGATAATGCAGACAAGCGATGGTTGAAGGTCGTATCCTCGTTTCTAAACATAGAGTTATATTTATAACGTCCAGAAAAAGCAATCTGGCAACATTTATTAAAATATCTCTATCAGAATTTAATAAAACCGGTAATATCGTTTGCTATATCGTATTTCAAACTGAAAAAAAAACAATTCTTTAAAATTTTAGTCAATAAATTAATCACTTTTATCATAAGTTTAAACTGTTGTACTTTGATGCAAATAATAATCAATTTTAAATTATTACCGTTCCCCTATATCTGACGCAAGATTTGCTATGGATTTAATCGATTGGAGGGGGGACGGTGGAAAGGGAGGACAACATTTTATATTGCAATGTAGTAACGTCATTGATTGGTCGATAGCAGTCAGCAGTGTTTGTAATTCAATATAGGCAATTCCCCACAAGGGGGCGCTGTATAAATCTGCGGCAACCGCAAGCGGATCTGCAATCCTGCGGGTAATATTAATTCATATTCTACAACTCATGACGCTTTTGTAAAGTATAGCAAAACGTTTTACTTCTTGATTAATTGGTAAGTTTTATTAAACGTTATTCTTTAACAAAGTTTGTTTTTTAGCTTTAAACATAGGATACGTAGTGATTTTCTAAACATTTACACACAATGAAACTCTGATCAATCAAAGGCACTTAAAATACATAGAAAACGCAACAGTATATAGAGTAAACACAAAATTATTATTTACATTCAAGCGATACATAATATATTTCTTGTTATATACAAGATAACTCGTGGAACCAATCTTTAAATAAATTATGTATATATTAATTGTTTTATTTTTCGAGTTAAACTTTTCTTCAACCATTCTCGTCAACGAGAAAAAAAAAGTGTCTTAGTTTCTGCGAATAAAATAGAAAATTGCACATGCTAGTAGCCAGAAAAAAAGCTAAAACAAAAAAAAAACCCATCTACAATAACAACGTAGATCAACATAATGGCGTAGTGGGCATAACTTGAGACCTATGTGTTTCAATGTACGCTTGGTTGTCTACCTACCTCGGGGGGAGGAGTAGGGGCGGACACTGGTAAACTATTTTTTTTCTATTTCATCGGGAGGAGGGAGGAAATAAGAGAGGGTGGGGGGGGGGGGGGGCGTTGCGAAAGTAGTTCGAAAGGGGGGGGCACACTTCACTCCTCCCCGAAGTAGTTCCTGAAAGAAACTGCGCGCGGAGATATTAGAACCACGATTTCTTTTATATTATTATGGCGGTTTATTGCTATCAGCCTTGTAGACCTTTTCTATGTTTGGGTATGAGGTAGGGGCGGAACTACAATGCCGCCAGACCCCGCAATGCGGGGAGGGGGGGTCACTCCGTTTAGGGGCCCACACCCGACCAAAATCAATTTTTTGATAGTTAAAAAACTTAATTTTCTTTCACTTTTGACTTGATGGTTGTTTTGTAAAAAGAATACTGTGGCTGCCATTGGATTAACTTTATTCTATAGACACAATCTCTCGCTCTTGTATAATCTTTTTACTTTTGTTTTTAAACCATTGTGAATGATAGGCAAACGTTTAAACCACTTACATGACGTATTTACTTCTTTTAAAAATACGTGCTCTTAAGTAGGCCTAACTTTTACTAGATTTGTACTAAACAAATTAAAAATTACTTCTCTCAATTTTTTTTTAAAAATACATACTAAAGAATAAAATAGTATAAAAAGGAAATGTACAAATACAAAA